TAACGCCGCACTCAGCAATATTCCAGCTATTGGCGGTGGTATGTAAGACTCGATTATTTACAGACCACCGTCATATAGCTGGAATATTGCTGAGTGCGGCGTTAAACAACAAATAAAACAAACTCCAGATGGGAGTGGTTTCCCTTTGCAAACTCGCGTGGAGCACATTGCCCAATGTTTTATTACTATTAATGCTGTAAATTCGTTGAACTCCGCCTATATTCCGTTTGGGTAGGTCGGGTAGCCTAGTGGTTAAAGCGTTCGCTCGTCATTCCGAAGACCCGGGTTCGATTCCCGACATGGGTACAATGTGTGAAGCCCATTTCTGGTGTCCCCCGCCGTGATATTGCTGGAATAATGCTAAAAGCGGCGTAAAACCATACTCACTCACTCACTATATTCCGTTTGGGCCACATTCATGTCATTGGTTTTGTCTGTGGTTTGTCACTGAAATAATCTACAATTAATTACAAAATCACACCGGTGTCTTATAAAATTATATTTTCTCATTACTTGTTATTCCTATGCACTGTACGTTTATTCTGCACTATCATTATAAGTGTGTCACTTGTGTCTAATCCATTTGATTTTCCGCAATAAGATATGTTTAAATAAAAAAATTAAATTAAATTATTCATCAAACAAGATGACATTTATGTAAAATATCTTAAAAGAAAGGGCAAAAGTAATTTTCATATTTAAAAAATAATAAGTATCAATGTAATATTGTTAAATAATTAATATCTAGTGAATATATATTGAACAACTGCTTTCTAGAAATATTATTTTATTATTACTCTTATTTCCTATTCTTCGTTTTGATAAGGTCGGCATAGCATCTTTTCATATAGCAGAAAAGGTACACATGCAGGATATGTTTAGGATGTTACGAAAATTGGGATCGATGACAAGAATCAACCAAGTCAGCGAGCCTGACCACCCGATCCTGTTAGTCGCCTTTTACGACAAGCATAGTCGCCTTTTACGGCAAGCATTGGTTGCTGAAGACCTATTCTACCCCGAATCTTCACAGGTCGTCTGCCAATGAAGATCAAGCAAAAGACCTTCTTATATTTAGTCAGTGTATATCCAAGTCAGTTTGTCACAACCTTTTTAATCCTCTTAATCCTTACCCTTACTGTACATCTGGCTTTATTACCTATTTGTTATTTTTATTGTACGTCTGGCTTCATGTAATTTTTGGTGTGCTACTTGTAATCTATTACCTGTTATTAATGTTAATCTGCTGCTCATCACAACATATCATGCGTACATACCTCTCTCCAAATCTGTGTTGTGGTGTGTCAGCCAGAATTAACACACGCTTCAGTCTGTACACAGGTTGATAGTAATTCATGTTTTTACTATTAATAAGTAATCATTAAGCATCGTACATCACGTGATACTAGTAAATATGTTAATTCACGTTCGGTTCCCAGTTAAATCTACAGGTAACCAAGCTCTGCACTCTTTATTTCAACGTTAAACGTGTAGTTTGTCTGATGCTGCTACGTTCAAAACACTATATCAACCCTGTTTCAACACTGTCCATTTGATATTTGAAATTATGTTGAAATCTGACAGTGTTTCAACTGCGAATTTTTATGAAATATAGGAAATCAATATCTATTCATACGTTTTCTCAAAATCGACAGATAAAATAACTTTAAAGAATTTTGATGCAATGATCGGAAGAATTGTATCGGAAACTATTTTGTTACAAGGAATAATATTTTTTCAATATCGTGTTATTTTAGTTGCAGCCCCCATCCTCGCGAAAACTTTGTATCAAACTAGAACTAATATCACTGTTAACGAGTCAAAGTCTAGCATTTATGATGTATGAATCCAATATATGTCAACTAAAGTCCATTTATCTGACCGTGGTTGATATAAATAATGGTGAGTTGTGCGATCTACCGATCACTTCACACACGATTTCGCCGAAATTAATGTAAACGATATTTAATGAAATTTTGAATAAAATAATTCATAAAATAGGTTACAAACATAAGTTTAGATATAAAACGAACACATTTTTCAAACAGACAGTGATTACTTTGCGTACTTAAGTACGGATTTGTTGACATCGTATTTCCTGTGTAACGTCCTCACGGAAATGTCTTTACGTTGGGAAAAAAACTTCAGAACTTATTATGGTGTGTTTAATGCGCTTACCCCGCCACACAGTTGTATTTTTAAAAAAGAAAGTGCGCATTATATTAAACAAAATACGTCTAATGCTATTCAAATTAATACCCTACTAATGTTAACAATATTCATTAACATCCGTAATGAGTGTGTCGTCAACAATGTGTTGTTTGAATAATAGCTATTTCGTTTTTCAATGTAATTTCAATACCGTATCTAGATGAGCATCATTAACCTGTTGTTATAGTAGTCATAAACAGAGCCGACTGGTCGACAGCTCATGGTATTCAATCAACCGTAGTTCGTGCGGAACTGTACATACATATAATTTAGAATTATTTCAGCTCGTCCATGATCGACCCAATAGAGTAATTAACATTTAATTAATTTTATTTTAATTAAGTTATGCATTGCGACAGCTGGTATACTTGTACTGCATGTCTGTGAGAGAATTAACAGAGCAGCTGTTTACTGCATCTGCCGGTTGACTGGCAATTCTACGAACACAGGCAAAAGGGGAATATGAGTTTGTATGGGAGAAAGTCAGTGTTGTCACGATAATGAGTGAGTGAGTTGGGTTTAACGCCGCGTTTAACAGTATTCAAGTTATATCACGGCGTGTCAGCTTAAGGAAAGGAAAGTCCGAAGTGATGCAGGTCTCAGACGTTTAATACCTCGGTGACACCAACGACCACGGGTATGGTGCTGACAAACCTAGAAACATAATCGCGGCTAACCGGGATTCGAACCCACAATCATAGGTCATTGGCGTGCCCAAGGGACGCAACTCTGCACAGCGAATCGTGACGCCTCAGACGACTCGGCCACTCGTTGCTCGTGATAAGTAATAGTATGATCTTATAAAGTGCTGTCGATTGAAGAAGATGAATTAATTGATTGTGTTTATAACGCTCAGCTGTTAGCATTAACGATAACTATCACAAATAATAGTGAAAATAGTGAAAAACAGTTCTGTGTTCTCTACCAGATAACCAGATACTCTGATTCCGTGTTAGGTCCTGGATCAACTTTGATTGTTTTATATTTGGTACCGTCTATATCTAGCCTCTCCTAATAACATAATCCAAATTATCCACAACTCTCTCTGTCAGGACAATGGGGGCGCGGGTGGCCCAGTCGTCTAAGGCGCCGCGAATCGCTGTGCAGAGTTGCGCCCCTTGGGCACGCCAGAAACCTATGATTGTGGGTTCGAATACCGGTTCGCCCCGATTATGTTTCTAGGTTTGTCAGCACCATACCCGTGCCCGTGGGTTTCACCGAGGTGGTAAACGTCTGAGACCTGCATCACTTCGGGCTTTCCTCCCACATTAAGCTGCCACGCCGTGATATAACTGGAATACTGTTAAAAGCGGCGTTAAATCCAACTCACTCACTCACTCTCTGTCAGGACAAGCCTACTCGTGTTGTATTGTATTGGTATGTACGTTTATTTTCTTTCTATGTGTATCAGCTGGACTTTTGATGACAATTGGAACAAGCCCCCCTCAGTGTAAAACTCTTAATGATACAATCTTAACGTAAATATCACTCTTAATGTAAAACATTTTACAGAAAAGGTTACGTGTTAACTGTTAATTTAAAATGTTTTACATAAGAGTAGCGCACGCAACCCTAATGTAAAAGAATATTGTTTTACATTAAGTGTTAATATCGCACATATCGCCCCTTGGCTTAAAATAATCTTATAAACGAAGTTTGATCGGACATATAGGGTACTTTTTGTTATTTTTACATTTTTCGGTTTCTTGTAATTTTTCGTAGTAGAACTTATTCTTCCTTCAACTTTGTGCATTTTCTCAGAAACTACAACTAGTAGAGCCATGGCCATGGAACAGTTGTATTTGCAGTGCGCCTTTCATATTCCAACTCCCTCCCAACAACGACCACCTGGTTGTTGTTTACAGGTTTTCCTTTCGTCGTCATTACTAACATGTTATTTAGTCGATTTTTTCTCAACCTTGGTACATAGCGTATCTAAGGACAATATATAATATGACTTTATTTACGTTACTACCTTGCTTACAATCGGCCTGTGAAGAGTTGATTGTCGATATTTAGAGATTTCGTTCAAAGCTGGTATTTAGACATTGAGAAATCGGTAAAAAAGATCAGAAGTTTTATCAGGACCTCTTATATGAAACCTGCACATAACAACCAGGTGTTCGTTGTGGAGAGGGAATCGAAACTGACCAGTAATTTGCACTTCTGGACCAAGTAACGACCAATTAAACCTGTGAAGTTTCATGACTGTTTGATAATTATTATTTCATAGTAATGATCGGAACACGTGGCGGGTGGCGGGTTTACCCGCCATTGGCGATTTGTGTCACGTATGTCATCTTTGGGCTGAAAATGACATATCTCATCATCAACCATGATGTGGAATTGCGTTTCCCGACTCTGCACCTCCACACTTATTGTGGCTGCTATTTTTGCACAAATGCAATGCCTCTGGGTTTTTGTTTGAATCATGATTAAAATCTCAAAAACAGGATAAACTATTTCTGTTTTCTTATTGTCAGAGGTGACTTCTTGCAAACCACATTCGTCTTTCCTAGGTTATATCATCAGGATTTCAATGCAAACCCACGCACCCCCTATACAGGGGGTGTTTGACGTTTTTCTTTGCGTATATATTACACAGCATTTCATTATGACAGAGCCAAGGACACACATATACATTTCTTCTTATTCCTTTTCGTTTTTCAAGTCAGTTACATGATATCCTTTCAATCCGTTAATGAAATAGATCTTTTCAGTTACGAATTCTGTCCTTACCCCACATCCTTAGCAAGGTTTCGTTCTGTAGGAAAACGTTGAGGGGATGATGGTATAAATTTCTAATGTTTTGTCTTTTTGCTCTTGAAATTAGACGCCAGGCGGATTCCTAGTTGGAATTGGTCCAAAGCAAATTATTCTGTTGGTAATGCTGGCGACTTAATGGGCCGAGTGGTCAGATTTGGTGATTTGTAATCGTTGCGCATAATATCAATCACTGGTTTGTATGCTTGAGCGTTGCTCATTATTAATTCCTTCGCAACTAGTGTATATCTTGGCATATATAAATGGTCTAACAAAGGCGACTTTTGTTTTATTTTACATTCAAGAGTAACCAATATTTTAGATTGTATCTGTGTCCTATATTCCTGAAAACAATGTTTTGATCAAAAATCATATACTTGACAGAATCTTGAGTATGAAAACAAAATAAAAAAATCGTTAAAAACATCGACCAAGTGGAGAAATTGTTCATATTCATTACACACTCCATGTTGGTCACCTTATATTTCGTGTTGATGGTATCTGTTTACCGATTATTTGTTTCACAGCACGTCAATGGCATTATTGCCCCAACAATACCGGTAACGTCTTTGGCGGCGTATCTAGTGATCCTCTCCCAGTGTTTCTTTAACATGATCTATTGCGACATATTTATGTGATTTCTTGCCCTTGATGACGTCAAGCTCTATGTCGTCATGATCGTTCCATGGCTGTGTCTCACCACTGGCAAGAAAGGTGAAGATCAGTGCACCAGCCACCAGAAACCCCGCACATATGTACAACACCAGACGCCATTCCTCTGCAGTTTTCTGAGAAAAGAGGGTCTAAACAAGATATGATGCTGGATATTTCATAATAAAGATGGTTGTGATGATAGTTTAGATGTGACTCGCAGTATGTTGGGCTATGTTGTTGCTTTACCCAGCAGACAGTGTGCTCATAGCGTTAACCAACAAACAAAAAACAAAGAAAGAAAGTCTGTCTATGCATGCCAGTCATTTTAGCGTAGTTAATCTGTCATTTAGATTGTTTGTTTGTTTGTTTGTTGTTTAACGCCGCACTCAGAAGTATTCCAGCTATATGACGGCGGTCTGTCCATTAATTGACATCATGATCATTAGCATCGATCTACGCAGTTGGGATACGATGACATGCAGCGACCACCCGATCCCGTTAGTCGCCTCTCACACCAAGCATGGGTTGCTGAAAACCAATTCTAACCCGGAATCGTTATGATAATTATCGCTAGCAACTTAGTGAGTGAGTATGGTTTTACGCCGCTTTTATCAATATTCCAGCAATATCATGGCGGGGGACACCAGAAATGGGCTTCACACATTGTACCCATGTCGGGAATCGAACCCGGGTCTTCGGCGTGACGAGCGAACGCTTTAACCACTAGGCTACCCGACCGCCCCGCTAGCAACCCTGCTGGGGTATCAGGCAGGTAGCAGAGGTAGTGTAGGTGTTTCTCGTTTTCATAGCACATATGTGGTGAGTGAGTGAGTATGGTTATATGCCGCTTTTAGCAATATTCCAGCAATATCACGGCGGGGACACCAGAAATGGACTTCACACATTGTACCCATGTCGGGAATCGAACCCGGGTCTTCAGCTTGACGAGCGAACGCTTTAACCACTAGGCTACCCGACCGCCCTATAGCACATATGTCATGAGACTATATGCTATGTTTGCTTCCTTGGGGATGCCTGGTTAGAAAAAGTCCCAACTGTAGCCTATGTCTGTCGTAAAAGGCGATTAAGAGAAATACCGATGTCATCGTTCTCGGAAGGGGTGGGGGATGCTCATAAAACCAATCACTGATCACTGGTTCGTCTGGTCCGTCATGCAGCTGGAATATTGTGCGAGTTAAACAACAAACAAATACTTACGTTAGGCGTGAGAGCCCCAGCTACTAGAGGGGCTATCATCCCCGGTACAGTGGCTACTGTGTTGGTAATTCCAAATAGTACTCCAGAGTACCTGCAAACATTGTGAAAACTAGCCTTACCAACAGTGAGTGAGTGAGTGAGTATGGTTTTACGCCGCTTTTAGCAATATTCCAGCAATATCACGGCGGGGGACACCAGAAATGGGTTTCACACATTGTACCCATGTCGGGAATCGAACCCGGGTCTTCGGCGTGACGAGCGAACGCTTTAACCACTAGGCTACCCGACCGCCCCCTTACTAACAGACATGATCAATGACGAAAGATTGTATTTCTACATACGTTTGCGTACACTGACATGCCTACCTCTACATATATTATGCAATGGTTTATATATTCGCTTTCTGAGAAAATATATTTTTATTCATTTCGTTTATGATTATGATCATTTCATATTATTTTCATCGCCCTATGGAATGTGGTATTCGAGATTGATTATTTCCTGCCTTTGACTTTTTGAATTCACTTGAAAAAGTAATTTGAGATGATGTCAGTTTTAATAGATCAGCCCGACCTCAATTCAAAGGATATATATGAAATATATGTTTCCGGCAAAGGATTTGGTTTGGTTTGGTTTGTTGTTTAATGCCGCACTCAGCAATATTCAAGATATATGACGGCGGTCTTTAATAATCGAGTCTGGACCAGACAATCCAGTGATTGATATCATGAGCATCGATCCTCGCAATTGGGATACGATGACATGCATCATCCACGTCAGCGAGCCTGACCACCGATCCCGTTAGTCGACTCTTTCGACAAGCATAGTCGCCTTTTACGGCAAGCATGGGTTGCTGAAGACCTAATCAGTCCCGGGTCTTCACGGGCTTTCCGGCAAAGGAAGGCGTATACAACTTCCCATAAGCATGAGAACGAGCTAAGTTTTCTATTTGGGTGGTTACGTACTTGGGGGCAATGTCGACGTGGTTCACCATGTATGCCCCCTTGCTGATTCCCATACACCCCACGGCGGCACACAGGAAGACGACGGCGACCATCCTGTTCTCGCAATTTATAAAGCCTGTTGCCACAAGGAAAACAGCAACTGACAGAAAGGCTGAAACATAAGTGAGTGGATTGTGTTTAACGCCGCTTAGAAAAGACTATCACTTATTTCACGTCATGTCAGAATTCAGTGGGTTGGTTGGTTTGTTGTTAAACGCAGCACTCAGCAATATTCCAGCTTTATGACGGCGGTCTGTAAATTATCGAGTCTGGACCAGACAATCCTGTGATTGATATCATGAGCATCGATCTATGCAATTGAGATACGATGACGTGCATCAACCAAGTCAGTGAGCCTGACCACCCGATCCCGTTTGTCGCCTCTTACGACAAGCATAGTCGCCCATTACTGCAAGCATGGGTTGCTGAAGACCTATTCTTGCCCGGATCGAATTAAGGGGGGGGGGGGGGGGGGGGGGGGGGGGGATTGAGTCCAGGATGAAGACATTTGCCACTTTGGTTGAACCCAAGGCGCATGAGTACAGTGCTGACAAACCTAGAATCATAACCAGGGCGAATCTGGCACTCGATCATCAGATCCGTCAGAGTGAGTGAGTGAGTTTACCCCGCTTTTAGCAATATTCCAGCAATATCCCGGCGGGGGACACCAGAAATGGGCTTCACACATTGTAAGATCCGTATACCTTCGTCTGGGTATAATTTCGTCAGGGTACAGCTGCCTCTTTGTAAAATAGTACACCATCAGTGTTCAACGTCGTTAAGGTACTACCGCGATGCTTTGAAAAATCTGGGTATAACGCCCTCAGGGAACAACACCGCAAAGGTGCAACGTCGTTAGGAAACAACGAGTTTAAGTTACAACGATACAACGTCGTCAGGAAACAACGAGTTCTAGTTACAACGCTACAGCGTCGTCAGGAAACAACGAGTTCTAGTTACAACGCTACAACGTCGTCAGGAAACAACGAGTTTAAGTTACAACGCTACAACGTCGTCAGGAAACAACGAGTTCTAGTTACAACGCTACAACGTCGTCAGGAAACAACGAGTTCTAGTTACAACGCTACAACGTCGTCAGGAAACAACGAGTTCTAGTTACAACGCTACAACGTCGTCAGGAAACAACGAGTTTAAGTTAGAACGCTACAACGTCGTCAGGAAACAAAGAGTTCTAGTTACAACGCTACAACGTCGTCAGGAAACAACGAGTTTAAGCTACAACGCTACAACGTCGTCAGGAAACAACGAGTTTAAGTTACAACGCTACAACGTCGTCAGGAAACACGGGTTCTAGTTACAACGCTACAACGTCGTCAGGAAACATCGAGTTCTAGTTACAACGCTACAACGCCGTCAGTGTACAACGCAGTAAGGCTACAGTGACGAAGTGAAAGCCAGTCATTTCATCGCGTATTGTATTATTTTCTCGACTCATTCACAAGTTAATTACTTCAACAAATAACGTACAAGCGAAGACGGTTTCATGGCGCCAAAAAAAGCTGGAAAAAAACCTGGGCCAATATACTCTTTCCAAGCTTGAAACATACATTGTATGAACTTCCATTCCTTCCTTAGTGGCCACCAATTCCAATAGTCCAAATTATATTTCCAGATTGCAATGCGGTGCTTTTATTTACAATGGATCGTACAGAGAATGATCTGTGTGATCTGTGCACTGATTAAAACAATCTTATTTTGGTTTTGGAAACAAAACTAAAAAAACCCATTTTAGTATACATCCAGGTTTGAATGAATGCTCAGGACTGTAAGAATTTAGCCAAGTCTAAGGTGTCCTACATGCAACGTGATGTGTGAAGCGCTGATACAGCATTTTGGAGTGAGTGAGTGAGGTTTTACGCCGCTTTTAGCAATATTCCAGCAAAGAGCATGGCGGGGGACACCAGAAATGGGCTTCACACATTGTACCTATGTCGGGAATCGAATCCGGGTCTTCGGCGTGACGAGCGAAGGTTTTAACCACTTGGCTACCCGACCGCCCCCTTTGGAAAAGGAAGTGTGCATTTGGGGATTTTGGAATTTTGTAATTCGCGTTAAAAAGAATCAGCTTTTTCACACGTTTCTTTAAGAATACCCGATCACCTGTATGGTATCCCCCGCGTGTGGTGTAGCACTTCGTTCCACCCCTCCGTATTTTGTTTTTACGATATTGTGTACTTTACACACGTTATGGTGAAATAATCCTAATTTGTATTTAAAATGTACGAAAGCCTATTGGGGTCAAAATTGAAATATGGAAAAGACACGAAAAGAAATTCGTTATAACGGAATAAAAGATTCGTTATTACGGAAATAATTTCGTTACAACGGAAAAAAATCGCTATTACGAAAATAAATTCGTTATACAGGCAAAAGATTCGTTATTACGGACATAATTTCGTTATAACGAATCTTTTTTTTCGTAATATTGAATCTTTTCCCGTATTCCGTAATAACGAAAAATATTTCCGTAATTACGAATCTTTTGTCCGTAATAACAATTTTTTGTTCGTAATAACGAATTTATCTTTGTTATAACGAATCTATTTTCGTAATAACGAATTTTTTTTTCCGTTATAACGAATTGTCTTTTCCATATTTCAAGTTTGATCCCAATAGGCTTTCGTAAAAACGGCATCATGCTACCATGGTCTGTTTCTGCAATTGCCTGGATGTGTGAAGACACAGCAGATGATGAAGTAATCTGTTCTGCAGTCAATTTAGCATCAATTTACCCTTGAGTGTATTCTGAATGCTATAGGTATCATACCAATCAGTTTAGCATATACCTGCATTTTGCCAGACCTTCCTGACCCTCGTGGTACCGAGTCTGGTTCTGGCTCTCACGATGTCAGCGAGTTGACCAGCCAGAACTGCCAACACCGAGTGACAGACATAGGGTAGGGAGGATATAACGCCGTTCTGTAAAAAAAACATCATGCGTATGTATTCCTTTGGATGTGAAAAGTAGTGCTGTGCAAGGTTAACTCGACATATTAATGAAATCAGTGTGACATATTACGCATGTCATCATGGGACGTTGATTACGCTACCGATGGTTTGCCTGGCCCAGACCCAACCCCAGAATAATGGTGGCCATGGCGAAAACCGTACCCAAATAAAGTAAATAACGCCGAACTTCACGATGGTGGTCTCTAAATGTCTGATGCAATTCCCTACTTTGACTTTTACCATAGGTTCGCTTGTTTTCGCACACAGACAAACAGACCGCCTCCGTGGTCTTGTGGTAGAGCGTCCGCCCGGAGAGCGGAAGGTCCAGGGTTCGATCCCGGGCCGCGTCATACAAAAAGACGTTAAAAGATGGTACTTGTTGTTACCCTGTCGTGCGCTTGGCATTAAGGGGCTAAAACAAGGACTGGTCGGCTCGGAGTCAGTATACTGTGTCTGAGTGGGGTATTCATGTTAAACTGCGGCATGGTATCTCAGTGAGCTAGCACTATAAATCGGCATCAGTCCGGACTAGTACAAGCAGCCACACACACACATACACGTGCATGCACGTCGCTATATAAGTGCAATAATCTTGGACGCGACGTTAAACCCAATTTCACCTCACCTCACAGACACACAGATACGCGCGTGCGCGCACGTTGCTTTGAAAATGCAATAATCTAGAGTTGATGTGAAATGAGGTTAAACGTCGTTGAAGATTATCGCAGTTATATTGCAACGGGCATCCCCCTTTATGCCGAGCGCTAGGCAGAGTAACAACAAGTACCATCTGCTAATGTGTTTTAGTATGACAAGGACGAACATCGAACCCCTGACCTTCCGCTCCAATAACTAAACAACCTTGAACCGATGTTAACCCCATTTCACATCACCTGTCATACCATACCATACCATACCATACCATACCGTACCGTACCGTACCGTACCATACCATACCATACCATACCATACCATACTATACAAGCAGTATAAATGCAGTGAAAAAATGTTTTGTTCTCAGCACGCCCAGACATTTACCCATATAAAATAAATACTTAATCGTCAAAGAGCGCTTATTGGGTAGAATACGATAATCATACCCCATGATTATTCCGGGTTAGAATTGATCCCCAGCAACCTATATGCTAGTCGGAAGAGGCGACGAAATGGATCGGGCTCGGTAAATTAGTTGATTGTGTGTCGAATGCGTGATGTAGCTCATAACACTCGATTATTTATAGGAATTGCCTTGAAGCAGAATATTGCGTTAATCAACAAACAAACCTGGCGGATGTCGAACTTGAGAACTTCCTTCATGAAAGTAGGGAGGACAGTGATAAGTGTATAATTGGTCCAGTTGTTGCACATATGAGCCAGAATGATGGCCCAGAGAGGTCCAGACTTGGCCATAGCCAACCAGGGGGTAGATCGAGTCTGAAGTAGAGTGAGGACATACTTGTTACATGCAGTACATGTGAAGGCCAACGCCAGAGACGATAGGGGAGTCACCCGAGTCATGATACAAAACAATATTGTCTAAACTGACCTCCTGTGGCGTACAGTGTGCTGCATTTTAGGAGTGTTGCCCCATGGTAAAATAAATATTGCCATTTTACTGCAAAGCTGGATTTGTACCTCTGTTGCTGGAGAAAAGCTTTACCTGCAGCAATACAGAATTCCATTCTTTTATCGACATATCAAGACAAACACAATTGGTCAAAGCATTGGATATAATCGCGTATCATCTAGACAATCTACGTGTCATATTTAGTTTCTTCTGAATGTCTTCAATAACATTTCTGGATTGACTTTAAGTCCTTTGATGGCAACCGTGTGTTGGAAACCAGAACATAAAATGGTCGGTCCCGAAATCCTTAAAAGCTAGAGATGAAACTCCCTTCTCAGTGGCCTTGTTCATCTTATGTAATTTATGCAGTGCATTTAAGGTAATGCCATTCATTCTACCTTAATGTTAGTCTTGTAGCCAATCTTCCTTTCGATGTATGCAATCTCCTTCTCAGAAATGAATTTATGTTTGCGGGGATTGTCAGCTGACAACATCAACCACAGACCGACCCACACCAAGTTTCCAGCACCTGTTGGGCAACGTGTAACTTATATCATCAGATGAACAGATACTGTGATTCTCCTGTTGTGAGTGAGTGAGTGAGTGAGTGAGTGAGTGAGTGAGTTTGGTTTAACGGCGCTTTTAACAGTAGTCCAGTTATATAGCGACGTGTCAGCTTTATGTGGGAGGAAAGTCTCAGATGTTAACACTTTGGTGAATACCATGAACAAGGATAGCGTGCTGACAAACCTTGAACGTAATCGGGGCGAACCAGGATTCGATCCCACAACAATACGTTTCTGGCTTCATGATCTGTTGACTCCCATCGAATTTTAAGTAACGCCACGGTCAGCAATATTTCAGCTATCCATCCTGAAAGTCCTGTGGAATCACACCAGAATGACATTTTTTTATATTGTGTGATTTTCAATGTCAAAGTATAACTGCAAGTAAATATATATGCGATAAAAGAAAGTAAATCGTATTACGTTACCCTTTTCTCTTTTTACCATTATTCTGACGACGACGATGACGTCGATGACGTCGATGGCGATGATGCAGGTGGTGAAGATAATGATAATGATGGTGTTGATGATGATGATGACAATTTTGCCTAAGCAGCTCTCAAATGTTCATTGTCAAATATACTGAATAATCAATACTTTTCCACGCAACCGTATAAACAACCATTCTTGTTGTAGGTTTCGTAAATGTATTTGTGTGTGTATATTTTATTCAAAAAGCATTAAGCATACAAACCGAACACGTAGAATATGGAGCCCCAGCCGTTGTCAAATCCGTTGGCACAGAGGTACCCGGACAGTGCAAATGCGACGATAGTGCCGACGTGAGGCCCTGCAGAGAAGGTGATACTAACGTCAGTACACAACATGTATTGGTTTCTAGTTATATACACATGTGTCTGTATTCCCGCAGTGGTTTGGTGTCTGCATATGACCCATCTTATTTTGTTCGTCATTTGTGTCAGACATGATGACAATGCATTCATTTTATCTGTAAATTACCTTTTGAACATAGCATTTATAAGATTAATTTTGGGGAATAATGATTACACTAACTTAGGTATATGCTCAAAAACAATAAACAATATATATATATATATAGTTATATTTTAAATCAAGTTTATCAAGGACAGGTTACATGTGTTATGTCATGTTACCTGCATAGCAAACCGACATGAGTTTGCTTCTCTCGAGGGGTGGTGCCCATCTCCCCCATAGTGAATGTGTAGCGGGAAAAGACACCCCCTGTGACATCCAAATAAAATGTAGATAATAATATCATTTTCTCACATTTAGCACGTAAAATTTAAATATAATGGAATAGTGATTTAATTCCGGGTTCCGCGAGGTCCCCAGGACCCGAAATGGATCGGGTGGTTGAATGATTGGTGATGACGAAAGAGATGACTTCAACTTTCTAATTGTCGACTTTATGTCGAACACTATTCCAGCAGCTCCAGCCTTTGGGGTCTACATTTCACAACGTTTGAAATTCAATCGAGTATTCTCATTCTGAGAATATTTTAAAGAGTTTCATACGACTCTTGTATACGTTGTTTGATCAGATTTGATTCAATACCTTTTTAAGGCTTTCAAAAAGTGTCTGCTTTTAGCAATAATAATTCTGAATAATAATTCATATTATTTTCATTAGGATTTTGAAAATGATGTCCCGTTTATTTGATCGGATTTCTGAGGCTTACATCATTTAACATAAACGTGTTTGATATACATTGTATGTCAGATAAAGGACGCACAAACTCACCGCTGCAAATCCTATGATGAATCTCACTGCATACAAAACATACACATTCAGACGTGCACTGACAGGGGTGAGAATGGTCCCAAGTCCGTTCACAAACATCCCAAGTCCCCACACCCGGCGAGCCCCGTATCGTCCTGCTAACCATCCTCCGGGTATTTGAGTGAAAATGTAGCCATAAAAGTACAAGGCGAGAATACGAGACCTGGTGGGCTTGTCCCAGTCGAACTCTGCTCTCTGGAACACAATCACTGGCAGTATGAATACATGTGTATAGGAATCCTACCCTCAGTTAGTGCAAACTATAGGGGCGGTCGGGTAGCCTAGTGGTTAAAGCATTCGCTCGTCACGCCGAAGACCCGGGTTCGATTCTCGACATGGGTACGATATGTGAAGCCCATTTCTGGTGTCCCCCGCCATGATATTGCTGGAATATTGCTAAAAGCGGCGTTAAACCTCACTCACTCCCCTAGTACAAACTGTATTTTTGGTTTTAAAAAACAGTCTATGATGAAGTCATATACGTTCAACTCTAATACCACAAGCACATATGTCGTCTAAGGCGCCGCGATTCGCTGTGCAGAGTTGCGTCCCTTTGGCACGCCAGAAACCTATGATTGTGGGTTCGAATCCCGGTTCGCTCCGATAATGTTTCTAGGTTTGTCAGCACCATACCCATGCTCGTGGGTTTCACCGAAGTGGTAAACGTCTGAGACCTGCATCACTTCGGGCTTTCCTCCCACATTAAGCTGACACGCCGCGATATAACTGGAATACTGTTTAAAGCGGCGTTAACCCCAACTCACTCACTCACTCACTCACTCACTCACTCACAAGAACATATAAGTGCTAATTACATACTTCAGAGACGTCTATTTGATATTTTGGGGCCCAGAAATAACAGCTTTCCCCTGCCATGGGGCACATTAGAATTTTGTTTGTTCATATTGTAGTGAATATAAACTATAAAAAGATTCATATAAAGTCTTAAGAAGAGACAGGAACTAGCGTCATCAGAATTTTTTTTATTAAATGTGAAATTAATACACACAAAAGGCCCCATCTCTGGAAAACATAATTTATGGCACCAGTTCTCGAACTCAGTCTTGATACGTATCTTTTAGAAAAGCCAACTTCAGTAGTTTAAGAGAAAACTTGTCCCCGTTGCACTTTGAAAATAACATGGATCAAGGGCCGTAACTGTGTATGGTCAAAAACTGAAACAAGATGTGGCAAGGGAAATAACTCTGTTTGAAATTAATTTACGGCTCCAATTTTCGAACGGTCTTGACAAGTATCTGCATGAGTAGTTTCATTAATATTACGCCCGTAGTTTCTGAGAAAATACGTCCCCATTTCACACCGTTTGCACAAAGTTGAAAGCAAGGAGCAAGGGACATAATAAAATGAATTTAAAACACCAAGTTTCATACTCATTTGAGATCACGACCAGTAATATCAGTGTAAAAGAGTATTTCTTTAACATGGGAGAAAATTAGTCCTCTTTGAGAAGCGGACGGACGGACCAACGGGAGATAATAAGATGATCAAGAAAATCCTGGAAAAATACAATTCAGAAAAAAGTATTTACAAATAATATTTGAGTTGCAGATCCATCCAGAATTGTTTCTCTCCTTTTCTCCTATGTCTCAAAGCAGTGACAGAAAATATAAATTCTGTCTCATAGAAAAGTCCCAGGCCACCTCAGAGATAGTGTAGTCACCGAATAACACAGCAAATTGTAAGGAGTCCTATTCACTTTAAGGAAAGGGGCACGGGTGGCCCAGTCGTCTAAGGCGCCGCGATTCGCTGTGCAGAGTTGCGTCCCTTGGGCACGCCAGAAACCTATGATTGTGGGTTCGAATCCCGGTTCGCCCCGATTATGTTTCTAGGTTTGTCTGCACCATACCCGTGCTCGTGGGTTTTACAGAAGTAGTAAACGTCTGAGACCTGCATCAATTCGGGCTTTCCAGCCACATTAAGCTGACACGCCGCGATATAACTGGAATATTGTTAAAAGCGGCGTTAAACCCAACTAACTCACCCACTCACTCACTCACTTTAAGGAAAGTTATTACTATATAAAGAAGCATATGTAAATTCATCTATTGAAATAAAACATTGCCAACAAGATTCTCGATAATCTGCAGAATATCACATATTTACCTGCATTGCATGTATCATATAAAACGTATTAAAAACATAATTTGGTCAAAAAGGGAATGTTTATGCCATAGATGTATGTACGTTCACTTAAATACATTTATCAAACAAACAAACGAGAAGATTATAATACAATCAAACAATTACGACACTGGCTTGGAGATTAAGAAATAGTCTACCTGTAGAGTGGAGCTAGCCTGTTCCAGTATGCCACAAGCTTCATCTACTACATTAACCGACTTCGACGTGACGTTGAGTCCGGTGCTGTTGTCAAGTGATGTGACGTTGGACGTCGACGACCGCACCATGCAGATGATGGCCACGCTGATGTTGACGCGGGTGGCGTACAGAAACACAAAACCAAAGAAGGACACGTAGGCCAGTATCCATCGTCTGGCGAATGGGCTAACTGCATGGAAACATGAATCAATTTGAACATTATGGGAGGCGTGTTAAGCAGGAATACAGATTGTCATAATTGTAACCCAATGTCACCTTCACTTCTGAGTATAGATCCGTGAAGACCTGGGTTAGGAGACTATGCTTCTCGTAAGAGGCGACTAACGGGATCGGGTGGTTAGGCTCGCTGACTTGGTTTGATGCATGTCATCATATCCCAATTACGTGGATCGATGTTCATGATGTCAAACACGGGACTATCTGTCTGGTCCAGACTCGATTATTTGAAGACCACCGTCATGTAGCTGGTATATTGCTGAGTGCGGCGTTAAACGGGGGGATTGAACACGTTTTTACAAAAAAAATAATACAATACTTGTACACCCTACGATCATCCATCACCAGTGAATCAATTCGGCCACTATGGGGTGTAGTGCTATTTTAAACGACAGTATCAAACGACGGCCTGTTTTCAACGAGAGGGATGCCAGCGAGTGCTCTGACCAATGACCGCCCAGATTAGATCGCAGAAACAGCAGTAGTTTTGTCGCTGTTGTTTCTTATCCCCAATTCAATTCCAAGCCAAGAAATATTTTTAACTGTCTTTTTCACATTTGGTTTTCATTCCAACACTCTGACCAAATACAGTAAACTCACGTTACAAGTGTCATTTCATAAAGAAACCACCGGTAGTCAAAACACATTTACATTCTTGACCAATTCACATTTTGTGAAAAAAATACAAAATTCGTCCAACTTTGTCGTATTAACATACACGTGTGACTGGACGCAAGAACACTTTGTTCGTTGTGATGTCATACATATTTGGTAAATGTTTCATTCGATCTAAAATTTGCATATCGATGTATTTATCCCTTGACTTCCCATCATGACACGAGTACCATCAAATTAAACATTTTCAACAGTCCAGATGTTCGCTTCTTGAATTGAAACTAAAGTCTGACGGAGCCAAACACAACAAAGCCATAGGCCGACTGCAAACAGGAAAATCATCTTTGGACGTACCCAGGTTTTTCCACGTAGCACCAAATACCATTACAAGGCTGTGGAACCGTTATCAGACACACGTGACAACACGGGGCATTCCCAGATCCGGTCGACCACGTATCACTACTCCACCACAGGACAGATTCATACGACTACGTCACTTTCGTGAAAGAACCATCTCGGCCACTTCTACGCAGTACAGCAATACAGGATTGCCTAGGATACCAGCCCAGACACTTACGAACCTTTTACGCGCTGAGTGAGTGCGCGAGTTTGGTTTTACGCCGCTTTTGGCAACATTCCAGCAATATCACGGCGGGGGACACCAGAAATGGGCTCCACACATTGTACCCAATCGAACCCGAGTCTTCGGCGTGACGAGCGAACGCTTTAACCACTAGGCTACCCGACCGCTCCCTTTTACGCGCTGAAGGTATTCGCGCAAGACGACCAGTTCGAGGAGTCATTGTGACGGACTTGCATCGTCGCCTGCGACGTCAATGGTGTCAATGTCAGAGAGTATGGTCACGACTGCGATGGAGAGAAGTTTGGTGAAGTGACGAGTCACTTTATGCTTCGCCGTGCGGATGGTAGACGTTGTGTTTACAGGCGTCGAGGGGAAAGTTATGCACGAAACTGCCTACAGGAAGTGGACAGATTTGGCGGTGATAGTGCGATGATGTGGGCAGCAATCTTCAAATTATGCAACAAGCGAACGTCGTTTTCCAACAAGATAACGCCCGAACTCACACAGCAAGACTGACAACAGCTTTCTTCTGGAATCACAACATCCAGGTCCTGCCATGGCCCCAAGGTCTCCAGACTTAAACCAAATCGAACATTTATACGATGCACGGGCTCAACGACCGCGAGCACGTCAACGACAACCACAGAACCTCCGACAGTTGGCACCACAAACACTGCAGGCAGAGTGGGCGAACATTCCCCAGGCCACAATTCGGGATCTGATTGCTTCCATGTGACGTCACTTTTGGACTCTGATGGTGGCCATACAAGATATTGGTAACAGATGACCTTCACCTTGAAAATCTACTGCCATATGGATCCTGAGACAATGACATTGATGGACAAACGATTACCAATTTTGAACAATCGATTAGCATCTGTTGATTATTTATATGATATATAAAATATACATCTAAAATCTTTTTTGCGGTTTTTCTTGCAGAGTATATTTACTGGACAATCTGGTGACAATCGTTAACTCAGACGAACCCTCTTCCTTTTTATACAAAAAGAAGCGAGACAATGACATCACCTTTTTCATCCTCCTCCTTTCCCGGGTCGCTTTCAATAAAAGATTGCATTGGGTATCCGCTGGCGATTCGACAAGTCTGTTGTAATCAAATAATCACAGGAGAAATTACCCTGTACACGTGATAGAAACATGAATCTTTGCTGTTGTCAAACAGATGCTTAGGCACACACGTCTTAGACACGGACGCAGTGCAGCATTAACACGTTTCGTGATATCCATAATCGCCTTGCCAGTTGTGTGGCTGCCTGTTACTCAATTACACAAACGATCCCACATTAATGCCTTACAAGTTGTTAGATAGTGCCCATATGTATTTAGATACTTTAATGGATAATATGTTGGTGGGTTAACATAGTTGCACTGACAATATCCAGCTTCCAACGCCAACCATAAGAGATAATTCATATACTTTATTTGACGATGACGCAACAGTCGTGTAATTCACATCAGAGATTCCATCTTCCCGAGGCAAGGGAATTAACTGACTAAAGTTTCCACCATTGCTGAAAGAGGCTGGAATTATGGAGTTACATTTTGGCTTGACTAACGAGTTTATACATATAAGTCCAATCCAAATCGCGAAACGAAAACGACATCCAGTTCATAAACAACATGGCAACATGTTCTTAATCAAGGTGATTAGTGTAGATCAAGTGATTTGATGCACTTTGTAGGGTAAGACCCGTTGTTGTTATTATAAAGATCTTGATTAGCGATTGGATCGTCTTGACTGGGCACCGCCATTTTGTTCAAAGCAAAAGCAAGTGATATGAGAGGTGGAATATGACTGGTCAATAAGGACATAGAAGGGACATAACTCACAACAGCCACTGGTGGCGCTACGTTCTAGCCTCGTAATTCCGGCCTAGTTCGACAAGGATGGAAACTGGACTCTTACAGTCAGTTAAATCCCCAGCCTCGGGAAGATGCAGAGGTTCATTCTTCTGTTGTACATCAGTTCTAACTTTGAGAATGTCAGGCTCTTAAATAGTGTGTGCAGTCGACATGATACATACACTAGATTTGTTTGTTGGTGACGGTGTCACTAAATTTTTTTTCCAGTTTGATGACCCTACAGTTCCTCACTACCATAGTGTTGCCAGCTCTGGCCAATTTGGTACTTAACGTTTGATACGATCAGCTGCACTTGGAGCCCCTCACATAAAACTAGAGGAAGGCAAGCGTGGATACAGTTTGTTTTGTAAAGAGAGGCGCACATTGTGATCACAAGTAATCTGTATTGTGATCAAATCTAGCAAATATCGTTGAATACAAATATAAATAACTAACTTTCCATGGCAGTCGTTTTATGACATTATCCAATCGAGGACTGGGGGTAGCCTAGTGGTTAAAGCGTTCGGTTGTCACGCCGAAGGCCCGAGTTCGATTCACCTCATGGGCACAATGTATGAAGCCAATTTCTGGTCCCCCCCCTCCCCGTGATATTACTGGAATATTGTTAAACGCGGTAGAAAACGATACTAACTCACTAAACCGACGACTCGTGTCTCTGTCGACATTGCTTAGTTTATCTAAGAAACTGCTTGGACACAATTGCAATTTTCAGAAACTAACATTTAAGGTCGAGATAGGGGGAAAGGCTGAGCGACTTGAGTATTCAACTTTGTGAATTGCTTGTCAATCAATCAATCAATCAATCAATGAATGGTTTATTGTATGAAAGGCCATTGGCCCATATACATGTGAGTTACATAGACATACAGTTATATTAACAAATATTGTAGTATACGGAGTATCAAGACAACAACAACTGACGTAACACAAAAGCCTGATGAATGTATAAAGATACTTGTAGTTGAACGTTATACCCTTTGCTTGACAGCAGACATTCAAAGTTATTAGTAGATATACATGAAAATGACCAGACGGGTAGATATTTCATTCTTATTTTGTTATATACAGGGCAAATAAACATAAAATGAAATTCGTCTTCAGCACCAAGGTTACAGACGGGGCAAATTCTTAGTGACTTTTCAATATTTAAATATCTTCCTCTATTAATTTTAAGTCATTCAGACCAAGCCTAAAGCCTATAAATGTATTGCGGAGGTGTTTGAATCTTAAATTTGAAAGATACGACTCTGGTTTGAGGAGAGACGTAATGTTACGATATGTGTCGTATCTCGAATTGCCTGTCATGTACCAGTCCCCAACTACGCCAACTTGTTGACATCATCTGATATTTTGAATCTCTCATAAGCATACAGACGTAAGTATACATGTACGTCTACCAAATGAAAGAAACATTAAGCACTTACTCTGTTCACGTTTCTCTAAGAAATGAAAACTTCAGGTGTCATCTCGTGACGTTGTTATCCAGAAATAGCCGCCTGAAACCGCCTCATGAACTCTGCAGATCCATGCCTGAACAGGATACTGTTTGGTGGGTATCTTCCGATAGCTTTGCACGGTCACTGAGGGACATTATTTTGAATCTAGGATACTCAAACAGGATCAGAATGATATAGATTGTGCATCTGACAAGTTTGTGGATAGTGTTTCATGTGAAATGTCCAACTCGCTTCCCATAAGAAGAGTGCCTTGTAGATCACAGTTGGAAATATGAAGCGTCGTAATTGTAAACAATCGAGTTATCTACTCTGGAACAATATTTGCCCAGCAGGCAAGCTCTGGTTTTGATGTCTTTGGTCGAGGAAACCTGTCTACGTCGGTAACGTACGAACTTGCACAGACAAGTCCAGAAGGCGAAGCGAACTTATCAACTAAAACCCCAATAGTATCTAGAGAATCTATGTGGAGGGAGCAATAGTGAGTTTTTGGAGAAATATAGGAAAGGTCGGATATGGCTTTAACAGCAATATTTTTCCCATGCAAGCCAAACTGAGTAAGGGAGATAATTCTATGGATATACAACTTCTAAATTTGACTCTGTTATTATGTCTTAAAGTCGAGCACCTGGCACCACTGATCGATTGAAGCACTAATAAAATATAAATAAATGTATTTACAAATCTGAATGTTATCTGATGTAAATCTGACCTGTTAATATTTGATGATTGTATCAAAGGAAAAACCTATAACATGTGTACATATTTCATGATTGGATCCAAGAGAAAGGCTTTATAATGTGTTTCTATTCCAGGATTGGATCCAAGAGAAAGGCTTTATAATGTGTTTCTATTCCAGGATTGGATCCATGAGAAAGGCTTTATAATGTGTTTCTATTCCAGGATTGAATCCAAGAGAAAACCTATATAATGTGTTTTCTAATCCAGGATTGGATCCAAGAGAATATCTATATAATGTGTACATATTTCATGATTGGATCCAAGAGAAAGGCTTTATAATGTGTTTCTATTCCAGGATTGGATCCAAGAGAAAACCTATATAATGTGTACATATTTCACAATTGGATCCAAGAGAAAACCTATATAATGTGTTTCTATTCCAGGATTGGATCCAAGAGAAAACCTATATAATGTGTTTCTATTCCAGGATTGGATCCAAGAGAAAACCTAAATAATGTGTACATATTTCACAATTGGATCCAAGAGAAAGGCTTTAAAATGTGTTTCTATTCCAGGATTGGATCCAAGAGAAAACCTATATAATGTGTACATATTTCACAATTGGATCCAAGAGAAAGGCTTTATAATGTGTTTCTATTCCAGGATTGGACCTAAGAGAAACAAGTAACATTTGAAAACAGCGAGATAAGAGACACATATATAATGTGTACATATTTCATGATTGGATTCTTGAGAAATATCTATATGATTTGTCTATATTTCAGTATTAGAGCCAAGAGAAACATGTATTGCATGAACATATTGAGGGAAGTGGGTGACGAAAAACGAAAGAAACTTCAGGAAATTTGACGCATCAGTGACAAAATTATGGAATACTGTAAGGGGCATTCTCGCGATCTCGCGATCTCGCGTTCTCGCATTCTCGTGTTTTGGGCATATTTAGCTCGTTTCCAAAGGTCGAGATCGTGAGAATGCGAGATCTTGAGAATGTCCCTTACAGTATTCCATACAAAATGATGTCTGATGCAATTCACTATTTTGACTTGTACCATATGTTCCATTGTTTATTTTTTTAGGGTGAACAATTGACTTGATTTTGCATGTGTTTGTGACGGGTGTCACCGGTTGGGCAGGATACGCTTACATTTCCGCGAACACCTGATATCATTACTATTTGATAGTGATTCTTAAACGTGATATAGTCGGAATCGTACAATCGACTCTTTGATTTCTTTAGGATATGGAAAGGGTTTTGTCGCTTTATTTTTGTTTACAGATTAAAATAAAAAATACAGCAAAGAGGGTTTGGGTGATCCTGGCACAGTCAGGCTGGTTAGGCTCATCATCAGATCAGGGCCCTTGCCCCCTCTACACGCAGCCCAGACAGCGAATGGGACTTCTCCCAGGAAGCGCCTTGTCAAACCCTCCAAGAACATTTCGGGGAATGTGAAGACTCCAAACACTGTAGCCTTCTGCATTACCCATAATGTCAGAAGGGCTGTATTCCTGGTAGCAAACCCGGGTACTCTCCCAATGTCAGTAAACAGATTGAAAGGTACCAAACCTAAGGTACCGAGAACAATGGGGAGTCGGACAACTTGGTACTTGGGATGCAAGCGTGACATTTCGAAAGCGAGGTCCGCATATTTGCCATGTTTTACCTTAATCTTGTCAATCACATACATATGGCTGACAAACATATATATTTCCCAAAGATGTAAGTATTTGTCGATTTTACTGACAAATAGAGATTGGACGTGTGACATATCCATGTTTGGAACAATATCATACATATACATGTTGTACCTTGTTTTCGAGGATTACTACATATGATTGCTAAGGACCTGTCAATGATTATTTCACGTGTGCAACTTATTGACCATCATGCCTAGCGAACAATTATTCATTTCAGAAACAGCTCCCCCATCTTCCTCCGATTATCAAATGCTTTGTAAATATGTATGAAACACAGCCACAGTCAATTGATATTCGACAATATACTTGGGCGTGCCTGGGCATAGCTTCACAGTATATTACAGTATACAACATTTGCGTCAGCTTGGTTCAAAAGTCCTTGCGTTGGGTGAACTTCTCACGATATTATTTAAGATGGACAGAAAGGAGGCACATAGACGTAAAGAGGGTAAGTGTTGTCTTATAAGTTCAAATTCAGGTATTGACATCAGGAATTGGCGTCAGAGACCTTTTGTTAATCAACTCGTCCCATTTTGTTGCTGGTGTATTTAATTAGACATTACACCCAAGAACTTGCTCACAGGTAAGTTGGTGTTTTCAAACATTATATAAACAAAGACAGTTTAAGTGATTTGAACATACCGTATGACATGTACAAGAACACATGATTAAACGGTTTGTTTAACGCCCCATCAGCAATATTCCAGCTGTATGACGGCGGTCTGTAAATAATCGAGTCTGGGCCAGACAGTCCAGTGATTAATATCCTGGGCATCGATCCACGCAATTAGGATATATGACATGCATCAACCAAGTCAGCGACCATGACCCTCCGATTCTGTTACCCGCCTTTTAAATTTAACCCTCGATCATGGTACAGAACTTACAGTATATTATATCATATTTGGGATTCGAACGTACGGCCAACTGGGCCACCCGAACCCGAATTGGTATGTTAAGGGCCCATTTTGGCCAACCGAAAATATTTTTATAACTGATAAGACATGACAAATAGGTTGACAGCTGGCCTACATCGTCCATATATTTTCTTCCACGTTTCTGCTTGTCATGTTCAAGGACACAAGCAAAGCTGAAATGAAGATTTTTCAAACTTAAAGCGAACATTTTTAATTAATCTATGTATATAATCGAGTCTGGACCAGACAATCCAGTGAATGTCATCATGAGCATCGAACTACGCATTCGGGATACGATGAAATGCATCAACCAAGTCAGCGAGCCTAACCACGTGCACCCGATCCCGTTAGTCGCCTCTTAAGACAAGCATAGTCGCCTTTTACGGCAAGAATGGTTTGCTGAAGACCTATTCTACCCCGGATCTCCACAGGTCCATATGCGGCGTTAAACAACAAACAAAACAAAACATGACAACTGTTCTAACAACTGATCTAAACGTTTTGCTAATTTGTTAAATAATGCAGATTCTGGGCTCGAGACTTGCCCTTTGCATGTCTTGTCATTGGCTATTGTATAATGACTATTTCAGTGCCGTGTCTCTGCTCAAGAAGATGGATCCTGGCCTACATGTGTTTCCTTGGCATGTTCTTCCTGTACGCGACTCGGGTCAACATGAGTGTTGCCATCATCTGTATGGTCAGATCAGATAATGTGAGCGAGTCGTTCAACCACACACGCCGTACGGGAGACAACGTGTCATGGCCGAGTCAAGCACATCCGGACCACCAGATTGAACGCGACACATGCGCAAGACAGGACACATCAACATCTGCAACAGCCACGGTAACATGACTCAAGACGAGAATTCAAATGTTGGCGTTAAACAACAATCAATCTTTTTGTACTTGGTTTATAAAATATGTTACAACTCTAGATTTCAAGATAGTATCGCATAACAACCCCCCCCCCCCCCCCCCACCAATAAAAATAAATAAATAAATAAATAAAAAAAAATAAAATAAAAAAAATAAATAATAATAATAATTCTTTTTTTAATAATATGAAGAAAAGAAAAGAATGAAAGACAAAATACTACAAACACATTAAAAATAATAATACTGGTAATCCCCTTCCCTCCCTCTTTAAAAAGCGCTAATGCCAGAGAACAATCAGTGTCGATCATAGCCAAACTATTCCATTGGACGTAAAATAGCGGTAACAATTGTATGAATGGATTATTGAAAATCAGTAAATACTGGACACATTCATGTTTTTACTTTTTGTGTGTTTGCAGACAGCAGAATTTGACTGGGACAAACCCACCCGATCACGGATCCTGGCTATGTATTTCTACGGCTACATCATCATGCAAGTCCCCGGGGGGTGGCTGGCTGGGCGCTTCGGGGGCAGGAGGGTGTGGGGGATCTCATTCTTTCTGAATGGGTTGTTTACAATCTTAACCCCTGTGGCAGCGAGGACCAGCCTGGCCCTTGTGTATGTTCTGCGGTTCCTCGTTGGGTTTGCGTCGGTATGTTTCGAGTCCAAAATCATTTATATGTGCGTGTATGTGAACGTATTGGGAACGTAAGCATCTGCGTCCTTTAGTTTTGTCAGAGGGCGGTCGGGTAGCCTTGTGGTTCGATTCCCGACATGGGTACAATGTGTGAAGCCCATTTCTGGTGTCCCCCGCCGTGATATTGCTGGAATATTGCTAAAAGCGGCGTAAAACAATACTCACTCACTCACTAGTTTTGTCAGATGTGTGTTCACTGCGTATTTCCATAATATCAGCACTGAAAAATATTTATTTGAAGCAAGGCGGTTTGAATACCATCAGTGTGAAACATGCCATTATATCTGAAATGGCATATTCAAAAGTGTGTCGCTCCCTTTGTTGAAATAGGATTCTGCATGTTCGTTATAAAAAGAATAGTGGTAATTCGCTCGAATTGTTTCAATAGGGAGTGACGTTCCCCAATGTGCAGTCAATGTGGGGACGCTGGGCACCCCCTCTGGAGAGAAGCAAGTTGATAACGTTCAGCATGGCAGGTATGTGGACCTTTAACCTTTAGGCTACCCAAACGCCTCTTTTTGTTCAGGAGTGAGTGAGTGAGTGAATATTGTTTTACGCCGCTTTTAGCAATATTCCAGCAATATCACGGCGGGGGCCACCAGAAATGGGCTTCACACATTGTACCCATGTCGGGAATCGAACCCGGGTCTTCGGCGTGACGAGCAAACGCTTTAACCACTAGGCTTCCCGACCGCCCCTTTTTGTTCAGGATTATATAAATATAATTCTGTATAACATGAATAATATATTAAATAAGTAATACTAAAATGCAAACTTACATGCAGACTGTTACAACTCTGAGGTGAAATGGGGGATTAACCTCGGATCACATTTTTTTTAAACTAGTATATGAAGTGCATGTAACGTGTGTGTACATGTGACGTGTGTGTGTCTGTTTGTGCTGGTCCGGATCTGTGGTGGTTATTATACTGTTAGCCTACTGAGATAGCATGCCGCAATTTAACACGGATACAGACTCCGAGACGACCAAGGCCTAGCTCTACAAAGCAATCTTAGCGCTACGATATGGGAAGTACGATCATCTTAGCGCTGAGATCTGTTTGTGGAACGGGGCCCAGTCCTTTCTTTACTCCTCAATGCTGAGCGCCAGGAAGGATAACAAGAGTGAGTGCGTGAATATTGTTTTACGCCGCTTTTAGCAATATTCCAGCAATATCACGGCGGGGGACACCAGAAATGGGCTTCACACATTGTACCCATGTCGGGAATCGAACCCGGGTCTTCGGTGTGACGAGCGAACGCTTTAACCACTAGGCTACCCGACCGCCCCAGGATAACAAGACCTATCTATTGGCATCTTGTGATATAACGCGGCCGGGCAAAAACCGACCTTCCGCTCTCAGGGGAGATGTTCTATTCATTACACCACGGATTTGTTTGTTTGTTTGTTGTTTAACGCCGCACTCAGCAATATTCAAGCTGCATGACGGCGGTCTGTAAATAATCGCGAAACGGCTTGTGTATCTTGCCCCAACGGTGGCACCCGTCACAAACACCTGGAAAGTCAACTTGAAGTCAACTCTTTGAAATCTTAATCGAAAGAGCACAGTACCGCAAAAGCTGTTAATCGTAGATTCCAAAAGATGGAGCTGCTAGAATATTGCTCGACATGTTTGAAAACTTTAAGTTATGCCTCTTTTCATAGTCTTGTGGGGAACTTTTTTCACTCTGAATCTAAATATGAAAGAGACCAGGCGGTTCCACTGGTCTTCTTTACATGTAGTTGTAGTTCAGATGTCAAACAAGACCTTAATTAAGTAAAGCTTCTGTGTTGTGTACAAATATGTGCATTCCATAACGATCTGGTCATAACTATATCGCAAATATAATATTTTACTGATATAACATTTTAATATATCAAAAAAATAATTGTCTGCACACCTAGCTAGGCTTTTTCGGTACTATTTACTGTGATTTACAGATAATGTGTATACAGAAATACACTGTGAGCTAAAGTACTGTCGGAAATGCTAGAAAAATGCTTTTTGCCCGTTAAAAATGGATAGAATTTTTCACAGACTGTTGCTATTGAAATATCGAATAACTACCGATTGACCTACTTGTGGTTTGAAGATGTCACAAGGAGTCCTGTCGACAATTTTTCAGGTGAAAAATTCGAACGTGAACATTAAGTTTGGATTTATTCTCAGTCTAAACGGACTATTAGAAATATGCGCACATGACTCCGTTATATTGACTATAATGTAGTCCTCATGAAACATCTAATCAACACAGGGGGCACGGGTGGCCCAGTCGTCTAAGGCACCGCGATTCGCTGTGCAGAGTTGCGTCCCTTGGGCACGCCAGAAACCTATGATTGTGGGTTCGAATCCCTGTTCGCCCCGATTATGTTTCTAGGTATGTCAGCACCATACCCGTGCTTGTGGGTTTCACCGAAGTGGTAAACGTCTGAGACCTGCATCACTTCGGGCTTTCCTCCCACATTAAGCTGACACGCCGCGATGTAACTGGAATACTGTTAAAAGCGGCGTTAAACCCAACTCACTCACTCTAATTAACACAAAAAGGCTTGGTAGTCCGTATTGGGAAATGCATACAAGATCTTTACACTTTTAGAGAGATGGGGGGAACCAATTATTAGTTTAGATAGGGTGAATTACCGATCTACCTAAGTTATGGGGTTTTCAATTCATTCCATCAAGTCATCCATCATTCCATCCACGGTATGATAAATAAAACTAAAATGGTAAAGGGGGGAGGGGGTAGGTCTCAAAAGCAAAACCGGGGATATGACATTGTCGACTTGAATAAGTAACCAGTAAAGTACAAAAAATATATACTGGCGGCACAACACGGTCACGTTGTCTTGCGTACGCCAGTCAGACATTGTGAGCTCAACCCTGTTGCGCCTATCGTGGCTAACTGTACAAGGTTCTTGGCAAGACATAGCACAATATACAAATTCACACATGTCAAAGGGAGGATCAACGCAGTCTTTGCTAGCGATCAGCCTTGTTGAACCAGTTATCAGTTATAGTACAGATTCAGAAACGTCATCAGCGGAGATAAATGCTACCTCAAGAAACCATCTGTAGAACAACAAATACTCCACGATTCCAAAACCGCAACCTTCTAATACTCATCCTGTTTCATAGCTCTTAACTAGTCCATCATGTTTCCAAGCACATATAATGCAGTACATATCCCAAGCCGCTACCCCATCAACGCATGTCAAGTAAGTAGTACTACAATAACAGCAATATTTTGAGACCACCCCAAACGCGATGACATTTGCACCTGGGAGAACCTGGGTCAACCCCTCGGGACAGGTGTTAGGTAATTACCTCAGGTTATAGGCCGTTTCATACATGCATGACAACACACGGATATTTTCTAAGTTCATCATCATTTTACTTGTAAAAGTACATTTTAAGGGCAAACACAATGCCAGTTAGGACAGGCTAGATTAGGTCAATTAGCGTTATTTTGACATAGCTCTTTTTATAGTCCTATGACTCGTATATATGAAATGAAACCAGAATTGCTTTTTTCTAGCATTTCCGACAGTACATGAATTGTATTGACCCAAGCTTCATATCGACCTCAGAGCTTGTACAACAATAGGGAATCATATAATATTGACATGCAGATTTTCCAGCAAAACTTATATATTTTTGTGAAAACAAGAGGCAAACATCCCTCCCCCACCAGTATTCAAAATACTTTTGTCTGTGGTAGGTACCTCATTATACAAACCTTTTCCACAGGGCCTGCAATGGGAACGATTGCGGGATTTGCTTTATCAGGACACCTGTGTGCATATGGCTTCGATAATGGGTGGGGCTCAATATTCTACGTGTTTGGTGAGTAAAACAAGACTGTTTGTTTTGTATGTTTGTTTGTTTGTTGTTTAACGCCGCATTCAGCAATATTCCAGCTATATGGCGGCGGTCTGTAAATAATCGAGTCTGGACCAGAAAATCGCGTGATTGACATCATGAGCATCGATCTACGCAATTGGGATCGATGACATGTATAAACCAAGTCAGCGAGCCTGACCACCCGATCTCGTTTGTCGCCTTTTACGGCAAGTATGGGTTGCTGAAGACCTGTTCTACCCCGGAATCTTCACGGAGCATGATCATGTGAGGTACAGTTCGTGTATAGTTATAGTAATACTAATGGTACCCCATCTTCTATTTGTTTTATTATTAAGATGAGCGAAAATGAGAAATGATGCAAAGATTAGGCCCCATAAATACTGGTATGAAACGTCATCACCAGGGAATAACCAGTCCGTATTATCCGCCATTGGGCGTAAAAGAGGCAAATTTATCACTGGAAATGAATGACGGAAACCAGGTCTTCTCTATAAGATAAGCACACACACAATTTGCGAAAAAAGGCAACTGTGTGTTTGCCTGTTACCACACAGCAGTTCTACTGCAATGCAAGAACGGCCGATCAAGTGATGGTAACTTGATGGACCTCAAAATCCATTGCGACGATAGCGCATTTTTAAAACTAAAAACTAACTAAAACTATTTTAATAATTGCGTCTGTTGTGTACAAGTACAGAAACTAGTTTTGAAAGAATTCTTCTTTCTCATCACTGATAAACCCAAAAGTTAGAAAAACGCTTTTACGGCTAAATTCAGCCGCATTTGCTCGTTTTTGTCGAGTTATTGTACCATTCTTAAGTTCATGTGATATGTTTTCAGAATAGTATGACACGACGACGCAAATTGTTTCACTGATTAATTGCATTCAAAGACCACTTGCATGTTACATTTGACAAAATGCATCTTTCCTTTCCCCAAAGCTATATCGGCTCTGGGGCTTTTATTCTCCAGTTGTTACATTCAAGTATAATTTAGTGTGGTATATGCATGCATGGTTATCATGAATGACCCTCAGTCTACAATGATGATGAGATGTACAAACATTGCTATTTTTAGACAAGACAAGACAAGACAATTTATTCAGTATAGAGGCCAGTGGCCCAAAATACAGACATATAAAGGTTTCATTTCTGAGCGCTATTTGACATCCATACACACACACATATACATGATATACATATATATATATGTACACATACACACATACCGTATGTAGCATTCTTGGAAAATAGGTATATTAAGTAGTATTGAACATATTTCTTATTTTTTGCACATTGAATAGGTATAAACAGAGATCAATTATTGTTTGTGTATTTTGAGTCTTCATAATATTTATGAATATGTTTACTGCACTTTCTGATGTATTTACTAATATACTTTTTTCTAATAGAGGTATATGCATCACATACAAGTAAAACATGAATCTCGTCTTCTAAGTACTATGTAACATTGCTATGTTGCTATTCTTAAGTACTTTGTAACAACTTGTTCACACCATCGCGCACAAAATACTTCCAGGTGTTGGAACTCTGGCGTGGGTCGTCTTCTGGTTCTTGCTGACTGCAGACTCTCCGAGAGATAGTTCTAGGATATCAAATGCTGAGCTGGAATACATTGAAACAGAGATTGGTTACAAGACAAACGTGCAGGTGAGGACATGTTTCTTTGTTGTTCTACATCACAATCAGCAGTATCACAGATATATTACGTCGGCTTGTGAATCACCGAATGTAAAAAACATACTGCGTTACATGCAAGACTCGTGTACGCAATGTCGCTATAATACCAAGGCTTGTAGATGCATATCATACACTGAAGAGGGCTTGGATCACTGTTATCTCTAGATCTGCAAAAAAACCAACCGACACCGGGATGAATGTCTGCTTCATCTAACTGGTCTCTCGTTGTTATCAAGCTTGAACGAACGAGTGGGTTAGTGAGTGAGTGAGTTGGGTTTAACGCCGCTTTTAACAGTATTCCAGTTATATCACGGCGTGTCAGCTTCATGTGGGAGGAAAGCCCGAAGTGATGCAAGTCTCAGACGTTTACCACTTCGGTGAAACCCACGAGCACGGGTATGGTGCTGACAAACATAGAAACATAATCGGGGCCAACCGGGATTCGAACCCACAATCATAGATTTCTGGCGTGCCCAAGGGACGCAACTCTGCACAGCGAATCGCGGCGCCTTAGACGACTGGGCCACCCGTGCCCCCTGTGAATCACCGCATTTGGACCAGACAAACCAGTCACTGATCTGAGCAACGTCAACTCCGTCGGATACCAGGGCAAGCAGTCTACCAAGTCACAGTGCAGTCTCTATGGTATGCAGCAGACGCCAGGGCACTTGATCACAGGCTGATCTCCTGAAATGTTTAAAATCTTAGTTAATTAAGTAAATGATGGTTTTGTTGTATCTTGCACACCGATTCGTTACAGTAACATTATTTGATCTTTCAGACTGTTCGGGGTTTAACTTCATCCTATCCCAGCATCAAATCCTTGAAACAAATTTTCTTCGAGAAACATTGTATACAACACTAAAGAAGGATATTAAGAGGTGCATATGATTTTTTATTGCCAACAAGCATACTTTGTTATGAGGCCAGGGTTTAATATTTGTACGAGAGTGTCAAGATGTGAAGTTACGTATGGATGAAACCTTAAGAACACAGGAATGTATGTCCCTGCCTGCAAGATGTATTCGTATAGTTGTGTGTGGCTATTCTGACATCCACGTTTCCGTTTACAGAACAAATTCACACCCTGGCGAGCCATATTTACTTCGGTTCCAGTTTGGGCAATTGTTGTGACGCACGTGTGCCACAACTGGTCCAACTACACACTCCTAACGGGGCTACCCACATTTATGAAGGAAGTACTTAATTTTGACATTAAACAGGTATGTTCATTTCTCTTTATGAAGGCGGCATGAAGGCCATATTGGTACATGTCGTCGCTATTTGTTAATATGTGCAGAATTGCATCCCTCAGACAATGATGATCTGAAGGTCTTTGGTTAGATTGTTCTTGTTGTTGTTGGTTTGTTGTTTAACGCCGCACTCAGCAATATTCCAGCTATATGACGGCGGTCTGTAAATAATCAAGTCTGGACCAGACAATCCAGTGATTGATATCATGAGCATCGATCCACGCAATTGGTTGGTTGGTTTGTTGTTTAACGCCGCACTCAGCAATATTCCAGCTATATGACGGCGGTCTGTAAATAATCGAGTCTGGACCAGACAATCCAGTGATTAATATCATGAGCATCCATCCATGCAATTGGGATCGATGACATGCATCAACCAAGTCAGCGAGCCTGACCAACCGATCCCGTTAGTCGCCTTTTACGACAAGCATAGTCACCTTTTACAGCAAGCATTGGTTGCTGAAGACCTATTCTACCCCGGAATCTTCACGGGTTCATAACAATAAGAAATATCTGCTGAAGGCAGAGTCAAACAAGAAGGGGCACAGTTGGTGCCCATGCAATCTCGTTAAAAATCAGATCTTAGTTCTTGCTTCTGCTTAACAAAGATCTGAGCCTATGTTTACATTTCCAGTTGACAAAAAGGGCCATTATCATACCTTTGAGTTAGACACAATTAACAGAAGTTTATACAAAGGATTAAACAAAAACAAGTTTGTGCAAGGGGTGTAGTCAGGTGCTGATCCAGCAAAAGGAGTGAGTGAGTATGGTTTTACGCCGCTTTCAGCAATATTCCAGCAATATCACGGCGGGGGACACCAGAAATGGGCTTCACACATTGTACCCATGTCGGGAATCGAACCCGGGTCTTCGGCGTGGCGCGCGAACGCTTTAACCACTAGGCTACCCGACCGCGCCTCAGCAAAAGGACCATGCTGAAAACGTGGATATTTTTTCCTTCAGAACGGAAGCCTGTCAGCTGTACCCTATCTGTGCGCCGCCATCGTCAGCATCGTCGCAGGCCAAGTGGCAGATTGTCTGCGGTCAAGAGTAGGACTGGCCACAGCGACAGTGAGGAAGATCATGGTTATCGCAGGTGATTGACCCTATTTCATTTGTGATTATACCATATGGTAATGGCACAAAACATCTTTTGCACAAATTTTGATATCGAAAACACAATTATATGTTCCCTAAAAAAAAACTACTCAAAGAGATCTAGAGATAGGGGTCCAAAATACATTGTTTGGTTTATCCTTTGAACGTCAGACGTTGCAGTGACAGAAAACATTCTGAATCTAATTGCCAAGATAGTGTTGTCATTTTTCACATTATTTTATTTTCTTATACATCGTAGTATCGTGGAATCAATACTCCTTTGGGAACACGTGAGTGGGGTACAGTTGCATGTGGCTATTTCTTCAAAAGAAAAAAACCATTTCCATCCACTTAATCATGAATGTTTTGTTTGTTTGTTGTTTAACGCCGCACTCAGCAATATTCCAGCCATATGACGGCGGTCTGTAAATAATCGAGTCTGGACCTCGATCCACGCAATTGGCAAATGATCATATAATTGGAGTACTTGCCCCACTATATTCGGAATTCTTCAATCTTGTACTCTCATGCGGTGTAATCCCCGAAACGTGGCTCTCGGGAATTATAAAACCTATCTTCAAAAATAAAGGCGACCCATCTGATCCAAACTCGTATAGACCCATTACGATATTAAGCTGTTTCGGAAAACTTCACCAGTATCCTAAACGAACGACTGACAAAATTTCTAGATGCCAATAATATCCTAACTCCGGCACAGTCGGGATTTAGGAAACAATTTCAAACTGCTGATAATATATTCGTTATCCATTCGTTGATGCATATTTTGAAACTGTCAAAAAAAACCTTTATTGTGCGTGCATAGATTTTACAAAAGCATTTGATACTCTCTAGAGAGTAGGATTGTGGTCTAAAATGCAAAACAGTGGAATTGAGGGCCGATTCCTAACTTTAGTTAAAAATATGTACAGTAATATTAAATCAATGGTACAATCAAATAATGCAGAATCAGAGTACTTCCCTTGTCAATCAGGTAGAAAATCTATCACCACAACTGTTTTCAATATTTTTAAATGATCTTGAATCGTATCTTACAAAACAAGGATGCCAAGGGATCTCATTTGATTGTATATCGGGAAATGACATCACAGTTTGGTAACATATTTTAGTATTACTCTACGCAGACGATACAGTCATATATAGCGATACCCAATCTGGATTGCAAAAATCGATAGATTCCTTTAACCAATATTGCTTACAATGGAAGCTAAACGTAAATATTTCAAAAAGAAAAATAATAATCTTTGGAGGGGGTCCAGCCAAATCAACCAAATCAATATTTTATTTTTGGGGAAAGATACTGGAGATTGTTGATAATTATACATATTTAGGTATAAATCTTCACAGAAATAGACAACTTGTGTTTTGTATGAAATCACTAAGAGCAAACGCGACAAAAGCAATGTACTGCCTAATAAAAAGAGCACGAAATGTTAACCTACCATTAGATTGTTTATTGAAGGCGTTTGACGTGATGGTAGTGCCAATCCTTTTGTACTGCTCCGAAATATGGGGTTTTGAAAATTTAGAAATGATAGAGAAAATGCAATTGAAATTTTTAAAAATAGTAACTGGTCTGAGGAATTCAACACCTAATTTTATGGTTTATGGGGAACTTGGCAGGGAACCCCTCAAAATTAAAGTATTTAAACGGATGATTTCCTTCTGGCATAAACTAACGAATTATAACGGACCCACAAAGTTATCTAATATTTTATATAACTATTTGATAAAAGATTATGATGCAAACGCAAAATCGTTTAAGTGCACGTGGATAGCTACAGTAAAAAAAATACTAAATGATGTCGGACTGTCAGAAATTTTCATAAACCCGTCTATTTGCTCTACTTCATGGCTGGTTTCAAAGGTCGAGAGAACTCTTAAAGACCAATTTATTCAACAGTGGCGAGAATCTATTTTATCAAGTTCAAAAGGTTAATACTACCAACATTTAAAAGAATTACCAAAATTCGAAAAATTTCTATTACTTCCCAAAACTATATACCTGCCAATTTTACAATTTCGCACATCTAATCATCATTTGCCCATTGAAACCGGCCGATGGAGAGGGTTACTGAGAGAAGACCGTGCCTGTACACTATGCAATTCATCTGCTGTTGGAGACGAATTTCACTACCCTTTTAGGTGTGAAGCACTTCTCCAGCAACGACTTCTCTACATCCCACAGAATTGTTATATCTGGCCAAACATGTGTAAATTGCGTAAAACGTTATCACCTAAATAATCCAATTTGAAACATCTGTCCAGATTCATCATAAATTTGAACTCATTATTGCGTTAAGGTGTCTAATTTTATTTCTTTTGATGATGATGATGATGATGATGATTATTTTTATTACTTTATTTGCTTAATTTTTATTTATTTTAGGCTTGTTACCATCTTGATCTGCATTGTATATTATATGTTGTATATATATATAGATACTCTTGTACCACCGTATATTATATGTTGTATATATATATAGATACTCTTGTACCACCGTTGGTGGTTTTTCAGAGAAAAATAAACTGAACTGAACTGAGAACTGCCATGTATCAACCAAGTCAGCGAGCCTGACCACCCGATCCCGTTAGTCGCCTTTTACGGCAAGTATGGGTTGCTGAAGACCTATTCTACCCCGGAATCGTCACGGGTCTAATCTTGAATGTAAAACATCGAAAACCACCAATGCATCGACAATGTATATACATTACAGGTAACTTAAAACATCATGGTCATAGCGTGTTTCAAGAAAAATATACATGTAATTAAATATTTCAGCATTTTCGACTGTCGCATGCTTCCTTGTTGGTGCCAGCTTCGTGACGTGTGAGTTTCGTCATGTCGCCGTCGTGCTGTTGTGCTTTGCTGTCAGTGGCACTGGAATCACCAGGGCCGGGTTTCCGGTTAACCATGTTGACATAGCTCCCAGGTAGGTCCTGCTTAAGAACTGCTTCTACTCTGCAGGTAAATCATACCGTGATTGAACGATTACAGGTTAGAAGTGTCATTATTAACCTTTATTTTGTGAAAGGAGACTGAATGTGTGGTCAGACCCGGTTAATTTCGTGTCATCGTATACCAACGGCGTCGGACGTTCACACTGGAGAAACAACAATCATTAACCACTGGATTAACTCGATTAACCGTCATTCAGCTGGAGTGAGTGAGTTGTATTTAACGCCGCTTTTAACAGTACTCCAGTCAAATCACAGCGTGTCAGCTTAATGTGGGAGGAAAGCCCGAAGTGATGCTGGTCTCAGACGTTTACCACTTCGGTGAAACCCACGAGCACGGGTATGGTGCTGACAAACCTAGAAACACAATCGGGGCGAATCGGGATTCGAACCCACAATCATAGTTTTCTGGCATGCCCAAGGGAAGCAACTCTGCACAGCGAATCGCAGCTCCTTGGACGACTGGGCCACCAGTGCCCCCTCGTTCAGCTGGAATAGTGGTGACGACACGCTTGCAACCAAATGACCAAGTCTGACCACGCTTTCAATTAACTCGCCTCTTTCGACAAGAATCTGATCCGGGGTAGAATAGGTCTTCAGCAACCCATACTTGCCATAAAAGGCGACTATGCTTGTCGTAAAAGGCGACTAACGGGATCGGGTGGTCAGGCTCGCTGACTTGGTTGATGCAGGTCATCAATCCCAATTGCGTGGATCGATGCTCATGATATCAATCACTGGATTGTCTGGTCACTAGTGGTCAGGACTCGATTATTTTACAGACCGCCGTCATATACCTGGAATATTGCTGAGTGCGGCGTTAAACAACAAACCAAACCAAAAAAGGCAAGAATCTGATCATAAGAATCTTGCCTAACCTGGAATCGCAACCGGGCGATTAGCAAAACATTAAATCAGACACGCTGGTACATGTATACGATTCTTTTTCAGACACGCTGGAACATGTATACGATACTGTTTCAGACACGCTGGTACATGTATACGATACTGTTTCAGACACGCTGGTGTATTGTTTGGCATAACGAACACTGTCGCTACAGTCCCTGGAATGGTGGCTCCGCTGGTGGCAGGGGCGTTAACTCCAACTGTAAGTCAGCCATGTCCTCCACTTTAATACAATGGAATGAGTACAGTTCATGCTTGCAATTGTGTTATTGTATATAAATTTCGATACAATTCATTGTGATTATATTGTGTTGCGTCTGATAAGATTAAAACTTGAAGGTGATAATGTGTCTTCGCGCATTGTCTTCTTACGTGTAGGCCGCCCTTTATTTACCCAGAGTGCATTTATATTATCCATGTTGTGTGCATTCAAAAATACATGAGTGAGTGAGTGAGTGAGTGAGTGAGTGAGTTGGGTTTAACGCCGCTTTTAACAGTATTCCAGTTATATCGCGGCGTGTCAGCTTAATGTGGGAGGAAAGCCCGAAGTGATGCAGGTCTCAGACGTTTACCACTTCGGTGAAACCCACGAGTACGGGTATGGTGCTGACAAACCTAGAAACATAACCTGGGCGAACCGGGATTCGAACCCACAATCATAGGTTTCTGGCGTGCCCAAGGGACGCAACTCTGCACAGCGAATCGCGGCGCCTCAGACGACTGGGCCACCCGTGCCCCCCAAACATACATGAAATCATGAAGATACGTTTAAGAGATACTTTAGATATATAAATTATGAACTTTTACCTTTTATTTGTTCAGAAAACGGCAGAAGAATGGCAAAACGTCTTCTACGTCTGTGCAGCATTTTCTGTCCTCGGCTCCATCGTGTTCACAGTGTTCGCAAAGGGGGAAGTTCAGCCTTGGGCGAGAGAGGCCGGAGATAAGACGGCGGGAGACCACTCCAGCACCTACCGGGTCATCTACTCACCTAGAATACAACCATGAAATATAGGAATTATCATACAGTATGCAGAATAATGTACCACATTGCTGGGTATAGTAAAATAGCCACATTATTCCTTACTTCCCCTATGTTATCCACTTTGCATAACAATCATGGATCATTTTTAGTTCTCAACTGCAACTGTGTACGTGAATGAACATTCATACTTGGATACGTTTGTTTTGTTTGTTTGTTGTTTAACACCGCACTCCGCAATATGACGGCGGTCTGTAAATAATCGAGTATGAACCAGACAGTCCATGCCAGACAGTCCAGAACATCGATCGATGCAATTGGGATCGATGACATGCATCAACCAAGTTAGCGAACCTGACTACCCGATCCCGTTACTCGCCTCGAACGACAAGCATAGTCGCCTTTTACGGCAAGTATAGGTTGCTGAGGACCTATTGTTCCCCGGATCTTCACGGGTCCACTCATGTAGCAATCATTGTTATTTGTAATAGGTGAAGAGCATACTGCGTCAGCGAGTGAGTATAGTTTTATGCCACTTTTACAAATATTCCATTGATATCTTAGCCGGGGACACAAGGGAGCTCTTTAAGCTGAAACTGGCTCCACCGACTACCTCACAAGGCCTAACGCCAAATTAGCATCCATTTTAAGAATTAATGTCTACGTGTATGGCAGTCCTGGTAGTTGAACAATACCTACACAGGAAGGTTGAAATAAACCAGAAGTATCAAACGGTTCATATAGTATGTGAACATGTACTCTTCAATGATTGTTTCGTTTTGTTGGTTTGATTTATTGTTTAACGCCGCACTCAGCAATATTCCAGCTGCATGACGGTGGTCTGTAAATAATCGAGTCTGGACCAGGCAATCCATTGATTGACATCATGAGCATCGATCCACACAATTAGGATTGTTCTGCAGGGATATGACGTCATACGTCAAACGGTTGCATGGACTGAGAATGGGTGTTGTCTGCAACGTACTACCAGAAATGGGGTTTAACGTCACTAGGGTTCCCTACCGCCCGCCTTGGTATGAGTCAGCTGGACATGTCTTAGACGATAGATTGCAAGCAACTGTACTACCTGTCACATGAAACAGTAACGGGTTCATGGCAAACGATATCGGGCAAATGACATCAGAATTCCCTGCACCATATAAGTGTTCAAAGGCACGTGCAAAATATCCATGTTTTGTTGCAGAACTATCATCCCTTACATTCGTCAGTGATTGTAACAGGGCGACAACAACAGGGTTCTGTTGTGTCAACCATTCCTTGGCATCATTCCTGCTGAGGTTATCCGGTTCCCTACATTGGCGATTACACAATATGGCTGTCATGGAACAATTGTTACTGTTGAGTCTTACCAAGGGCGACAGCAATTATCCGCAAATCGTCACTGGTGTAGACACTGGATTCCATGTAATGTGCAACATCGACAGCTGTGGGTAGGGTGTTATCCGATGGATTTGCCAGATGGTTCACTTCAACATAATTTGCACATTCGGTGCACAAATGATCGTTTGTGTTTGAAAGCCACCCTTTCCTCAGGAAATTGATCACAGGTTGCTTGATTTACCGCAATTCCGGTTTGTAAACTTTACAGATTTGGTCGCAAACGAAATTCTCATGTTTGGTACACCCATATTCAATTGTACCTTCAATATGGCTTATACATATGTCACAATGTATATCAGAAATATCACACTCAGCGTTTCCCAGATTCTCTGTCACAGATGTGGAGTGGACAGTTTGGTGGTTGGTTCTGTCACAGATAATATCAAGAGTTCAGGTTATCACAGTTCCAAATACAATGCAGTAAACTACGGTTATAACGAACTCGAAGGGACCACGAACTTTCGTTTGTTATAACCGTAATTCGTTATAAGCATATATACAGCATAACTATAGCAAATAGTCGGGACAAAAAATCAGTTCGTTATATCCGTCAGTTCGTTATAAGCGTGTTCGTTATAAACGTACTTTACTGTATATCACAATGTGCAATGTCAATAATTACCAAGATCGCTCCTCTGGTAATGATGCCCCATACCCTTTTCTGGGCAGGAATTTGATGTCAGACACAATTACTATCATGCCATGGCTTTAAATACACCTGACCGCCTCCGTGGTCTTGTGGTAGAGCGTCCGCCCGGAGAGCGGAAGGTCCGGGGTTCGATCCCCGACCGCGTCATACCAAAAGACGTTAAAAGATGGTACCTGTTGTTACCCTGTCTGGCGCTCGGCATTAAGGGGCTAAATAAGGACTGGTCGGCTCGGAGTCAGTATACTGTGTCTGAGTGGGGTATTCATGTTAAACTGCGGTATGGTATCTCAGTGAGCTAGCACTGTAAATCGGCATCAGTCCGGACTAGTACAAGCAGCCACACAAACAAACACGTACATGCACGTCGCTATATAAGTGCAATAATCTTGGACGCGACGTTAAACCCCATTTCACCTCACCTCACCTTTAAATACACCTTTACGAACGATTATTAACCACTCAGATGATATGGCTCGTTCCAATGTACCAATGGTAGACAACACGTGTTATTCGTGTATTCATGTCGGCTTGAACAGGTGAACAAAGGGCGATACTACCCTTCCTCACTGCATATAGAACAGTTGTCTTCTGTAGATAAGATACCGAGCCCCCATCCCCGGCGGGAATCGAACAGCGCAGCCACCCTTTTAATCCGAAGCTTAAGGCACTAACCACTGCGCTATCCCACCCCCTTTGATAATGGAGTTTACCAAAGTGTTTACAGTTCATAACAGGTTTTGTTTGTTTGTTTGTTGTTTAACGCCGCATTCGGCAATATTTCAGCTATATGACGGCGGTCTGTAAATAATCGAGTCTGGACCAGACAATATAGTGATTGATTTCATGAGCATCGATCCACGCGATTGGGATCGATGACATGTATCAACCAAGTCAGCGAGCCTGACCACCCGATCCCGTTCCTCGCCTCTTACGACAAGCAGAGTCACCTTTTACGGCAAGCATGGGTTGCTGAAGACCTATTCTACCCCGGATCTTCCCCAGTGTTCACAGGTCTCTTCATAACAGGAGGAAGGACTGGATTACACTTGTAACCGGTACTTTTTTAAGATTTGACAAAGACAACCTACCAAACGGAAGTGTACACGTGACACCGGCTGGGGTCAGTCTTGTTCTCGAACGCCTTCACAACATTTGGCACACATTTTCGCTGTTGTATTCCACCCTAATTAGTCTTCGAAGTGTCTTTGATTTTCGTTTGGTAACGGCATCAACAAAAGGTCCTGTGATTTGCGGTCTGTTATAACATTTCTTCCGTAGCGTCAGTTGAAACAAATCATTGTCAGACTCCATTTTTCGACATGTGTCTCCGCCAACAACCTTTGTGAAACGAGGTGAAAGCATGAAAAGCGTGCAGTATTTCAATGAACGTCACGTGCATTGGTCACGTGGTGTATCGTTCTGCTCGAAGGGAGACGTTTAGTTTAATTTCGTTAACAGTAAAATTGTTTTCAAAACACAAGAAGAACGAGATATCAAACGGCCCGGGTGATGTGATGCACGAGAAACACGGGATGACCTTTGACCTCTGTTCACGGGTAACGCAAAGTTCTTCCCCTCACAGACTAATACAAAGGCCTTCTTTTTTGCTGATTTCATAACTTGAGACACAATTTTGTCAATTAAAAAATCCTTTGAATGTCATCATGCATAGTATGTAGAAAATGTACAAAATGTCATTTCAACGTGCAGGCTTTTATCATGTCATCACAAGCAGTTTTAATTGTACTAATTGGGCAATGCGGGGAAATATTATAGAGTATTTGCATTGCATAACAAGCTTCTAAGGAGTTTCACTTTTTAGTGATCCATTCATATATTTTCTACCGCTGGTTTGACTTTTTTGCCCAATCGAGTCCTTTTCATCTGAAAATCGTGACCCATTATTCTCTCGCATCGACGTTTTATATCATATTGCCTTTTTACACATACATTTTGCTAGGATAAACAACACTGATGTAGTCATAACTCAGAAACGCACACTTACATGTAAATATGTTCATCTTTGTTGTTGGTTTGTTGTTTAACGCCGTACTCAGCAATATATTCCAGCTATATGACGGCGGTCTGTAAATAATCGAGTCTGGGCCAGATAATATAGTGATTGATATCATGAGCATCGATCCACGCAATTGGGATCGAAGACATGCTTCAACGAAGTCAGCGAGCCTGATCACTCGATCCCGTAAGTCGCCTCATACGTCAATATGGATGTATCGATCTTCGTCATAGGCGAGTGGTAACTTGCACCATTCTCGCCTATTCGAGTGTGTGGAAATATGGACATTTGACAGTGACAAGGGACACAGATTAGCGCTTTGGTGAAATGTATGAGAATGACGTGTTGGAGACCAAGAGCTGTATCATGTTTATTTTTTATTTCTACCACACCAAACAATACAACATTGTATGTTTCAAACAAACACTGGGGCCATCCCTTTCTATGACTACATGTACTCAGGCTAACCATAAGGTTATCTTTAACAATCGTGACATTTGAGAAATCATAAAAGGAAAAAGAAAATGTAACTAGAAAGTGTTTTTACTCGTAAAAACATATGTCTCCCCCCACTCCCTTAATCCCAATTCATTCGTTTACTTCACGTTAAACCCCATCTCTTCATTCCCACCCTCCATTACTAAATAACAGAGACAAAAATAGAACTCCTAGAAATTTCAAACAACTAATTGGCACCACTTCAGTGCTGGGTTAATGTGTATACAAAGTTTCGCGAAAAAAAATTAAACGGTTTCCGAGTTATGGTCCGGAAACCAAGCTTACCCCCATTCAGAGTCTATGTTCAAGTTATCTCCATGGAAACGAGAAAAAATAAAAATGTCAAAAATCTCTAAATAGCAAAAGGCACCACTTCAGTGCTGGGTTAATGTGTATACAAAGTTTCGCGAAAAAATATTAAACGGTTTCTGAGTTATGGTCCGGAAACCAAGCTTACCCCCATTCAGAGTCTATGTTCAAGTTATCTCCATGGAAACGAGACAAAATAAAAATGTCAAAAATCTCTAAATAGCAAAAGGCACCACTTCAGTGCTGGGTTAATGTGTATACAAAGTTTCGCGAAAAAAAATTAAATGGTTTCTGAGTTATGGTCCGGAAACCAAGCTTACCCCCATTCAGAGTCTATGTTCAAGTTATCTCCATGGAAACGAGAAAAAATAAAAATGTCAAAAATCTCTAAATAGCAAAAGGCACCACTTCAGTGCTGGGTTAATGTGTGTACAAAGTTTCGCGAAAAAAAATTAAACGGTTTCTGAGTTATGGTCCGGAAACCAAGCTTACCCCCATTCAGAGTCTATGTTCAAGTTATCTCCATGGAAACGAGAAAAAATAAAAATGTCAAAAATCTCTTAATAGCAAAAGGCACCACTTCAGTGCTGGGTTAATGTGTATACAAAGTTTCGCGAAAAAATATTAAACGGTTTCTGAGTTATGGTCCGGAAACCAAGCTTACCCCCATTCAGAGTCTATGTTCAAGTTATCTCCATGGAAACGAGAAAAAATAAAAATGTCAAAAATCTCTAAATAGCAAAAGGCACCACTTCAGTGCTGGGTTAATGTGTATACAAAGTTTCGCGAAAAAATATTAAACGGTTTCTGAGTTATGGTCAGGAAACAAAGCTTACCCCCATTCAGAGCCAATGTTCAACTTATCTCCATGGAAACGAGAAAAAATAAAAATGTCAAAAATCTCTAAATAGCAAAAGGCACCACTTCAGTGCTGGGTTAATGTGTATACAAAGTTTCGCGAAAAAATATTAAACGGTTTCTGAGTTATGGTCCGGAAAGGGTGGGAACGCCGACGCCGACGCCGACGCCGACGGGAACCGTGCCAAAAACAATATGTCTCCCTCCATTCTGGGGGAGACATAATTCTTACGAAAGCTTGAGTATTTGCAGTATAGATAACACGATTCTGAACAAGATTGCATGAACGGTAAAATGTGTTGCATGTCTTTGTCTTATTCATATTTAGCAATGGCAGACGTAGTTGAGACAGTCATTCTATAACGAAAGTCGACCAAAGAACTTGCTTATCTAACAGGCAACTAGTATTTGTTGCGAAAATCCCTACTGAGTAAAAGTGATTCCTTAACAGGCAAATCAGTATTTTCACTACAACCAATATTACAACAAGTCATTCCTCAAGTAACACATGATCAATATTCTCACAACAACCAATATGCCCACTCACCAACAGTCATTTCTGATGAGGCAAGTTAGTATATGAAAAAAACAAATTAACGCAGTTAAATAAGTCTGTCCTCAAAAGGCAAATTGTAAAATTCACTACAATCAAAATCCCACTTCAGCTCTGTCGTTCAGTCATCTCTCATTTCAGTTTGCTTGTTGCTCAACGCCGCACTCAGTAATATTCCAGCAATATGACGGCGGTTTCTTAATAATCGAACCTTGACAAGACAATTCAGGGATTGGTATCATGAGCATCGATTAACGCAATTGGGATTCGTTTACGTGCATCAACCAAGGCACCAAGCCTGACCACCCGATCCGTTTGTCGCCCCTTACTACAAGCACAATCGCCTTTTACGGCAAGAATGGGTTGCTGAAGACCTCTTTGACAGTCAAAAGAAAATACAATCGGGTGCTCTTTAATTCCCTTTGCTTGGAATACATTTCAATTGGAGGTTCTAGGACAAATGGAACACACTTCAGCCCTCACGCTCGTTGGTTTGGGTATACAAAAAAAATCAAAGCAGAAATAAAACATTCTTTGATTACAAATTACAAATATTAACTAAATCGGAGAACGTATATCTTGTAAAAAATAACTCATGCTTCTTCGTTCTCGAGGCAAAATATGTTGTTATATGTTGGACGAAATATCTGAGACTCATATATATGAAAGTCTGTTACATACGTTTGAATGAATATACGTCGTATATTTTGGACACACGTGGTATTGTATGGGAAAGGCAGGACGCCACTATCAAACATATTTACAGTTATTACGTGTCTTGCTAGTCTGGAGAGACAAATGTTCATATCAGCTAACATCTGTATAATAATTACGGTCACTGATAAACATCACCGGTTGGGTAGGCTTGTCTCTAAACTGCCGGGCAAACGAAGGTCACACCCATATTTGATAGAGGCTAAACATTTAATAATCAGGAAATTTGTATTTGATGGTGATGTGTTTTATACGGGTGTCATAGTTGTGTTTTGTACCTAAGTTTGCAGTGTTTAGGCGACTGTTTTCTGCCTCGTAATTATAATGTTTTGACAACGTTTGTATTTTTTTGGTCAAATCCAATTTCAAAGTCTATAGTTTCGTTTGTGCGGCAGTTTATTATTTGACCAGAACACACTATGTATGTTCTGAGGTACTGTGAAGGAACGTCAAGTGAACAGTTCCTTAAGCCTGTTGAGTGACTTTCTATCTTCCAACATTGGGTGAACAGTTCTTTAAGCCTTTGAAGTGACTTTCTATCTTCCAACAATGGGTGAACAGTTCTTTAAGCCTTTGAAGTGACTTTCTATCTTCCAACAATGGGTGAACAGTTCTTTAAGCCTGCGGAGTGACTTTCTATCTTCCAACAATGGGTGAACAGTTCTTTAAGCCTGCGGAGTGACTTTCTATCTTCCAACAATGGGTGAACAGTTCTTTAAGCCTGTGGTGTGACTTTCTATCGTCCAACATTGGGTGAACAGTTCTTTAAGCCTGTGAAGTGACTTTCTACCTCCCATCAATGGGTGAACAGTTCTTTAAGCCAGTGAAGTAACTTTCTATCTTCCAACAATGGGTGAACAGTTCTTTAAGCCTGCGGAGTGACTTTCTATCTTCCAACATTGGGTGATCTCTAATCTACTGAACCTTGCACTGCACCTCGGGGGAATCGTCATCACCTGTCAAAAGAAGCCAAACAAGGATTGTACTTTATATGAGTTGGTTTTGACGTTGCAGGAACAGTGTCAGCATCATGTGGTTGAGAAGCTCCAAATGATGCACGTCCCACAATTTTCCTCCCGTGCGGATTTCTGGGTAGAAAAGGTCCCCAGTTGCCTAGCTTGTGATTAGAGGGGTCTTATTGAAACCAGGGGTGAGGTTCGATGCAATCTCATTAAAATCAGATCCTAGTTCTCGCTATCGCTAAACAAAGATCTGTGGACATCCCATTACGGGTCACGTCAGAACGACCTTACATCCGACCAATCAGGGCGTCGCTTACCGGATCATGAAAGTGACGGTCGGAATGTGTTTCCTAATCATGCAACCTCGAAAACGTCAACACGGGGTATTCCGAACGACAGTTACGACACGTACGACTCATTCGTCAAAATTATCGTATATCTCTCGCTTCAGTGGGATAAACATTTGAACGGAGGAGGCGTTGAACAGTATGTGGGAAGCATTGCTATACAATCTCAACCATATATTAAACATTCCGGAATGTTCGTTGGTTTAGTTTTCAAAATTTTAATCGAGAACTGTGTCAACTTATTTTTCCAACGTAATCTGAAATGGAAGTCGCCCGGTTGAAACGACTGCCGTAAAGCTCGAGAAAGCCGTGGTCTAATTGGCTGATGTCGACTTCTTGTTTGTCATTTCAGTCGTCGGTCAAAGTTCATGAAAGGTCGTTCTGACGTGACCCGTAATGGGATGTCCTCAGATCTTTGTTTAGCGGCAGCGAGAACTCAGGTCTGATTTTAATGAGATTGGGTTCGATGACATTGTGATATAGTTGGAATACTGCTGCTGTGACGTTAAGCAACAAACGTCAAATATGTCCTTGTTGTTTCTAACTTTGGCGAAACCCAAGAACACGGGTACTTTGCTGACAAACCGAGGGATCGTTATCAGGGCTACTCTCTCGAAGTTGAAGGAAAACGCTGGGGAATGATAGTTACACTTCTGCATGCGATCTGCACCAATCATGACGAGCTTATTTTGAGTTTGGGTAGAATTACGTTGAAATCCAAGCCGTTCAGTTTTGTCAACATGACACTGAAACATTGTGTTGTGCAATATTACATACAGGATTTTACATAAATGTCACTGCCGTATGAACAGACATGGTATATCTTCAACTCAGACCCACCGTTGAGTCAGCAAGTAAAAGGGACACAACTCGTTATAGCATACACGTACTGGATCTGAGAAATGTATGACAACGTTTCCCACCCGAGCTTAAGTACATTCTTCCCGTGAACCTGCAACACGTCATGATTTACAGCTTAAGCCGATTATCAAATGTGACTTTTGTTTAAAACTATCATGGTACGTTAATTATACACCAGCTTGAGCCTTAGGACTTTGTGACTTTACACCTTCATTTAATTTACAATTGATGTCTTATGATATGTTTTCAAAGATGTCAGTGGTTGCTGGCATTCTGGCTTCGCAGAAACGACTGCCTATTAACGTGACCCTGAACGTATTCATATCAACCTGCTTGGCCACTATGGTAAACACTATATACTGTTATATGATATGATACCCATTGCTGTGATGTGATACCGCAATACTGTTATATTCTACCGCAATACCGTGATGTGATACCACAATACTGTAATGTGATACTGTAATACCGTGATATGATACCACAATAATGTGATGTGATACCACAATAGTGATGTGATACCGGATTTACCGTGATGTGATACCACAATACTGTGATGTGATACCACAATACAGTGATGTGATACCACAATACTGTGACGTGATACCACAATACAGTGATGTGATACCGCAATACTGTTATATTATACCGCAATACCGTGATGTGATACCACAATACTGTGATGTGATACCGCAATACCGTGATGTGATACCACAATACTGTGATGTGATACCACAATACAGTGATGTGATACCGGATTTAACGTGATGTGATACCACAATACTGTGATGTGATACCACAATACAGTGATCTGATACCGGATTTACCGTGATGTGATACCACAATACAGTGATGTGATACCACAATACTGTGATGTGATACCACATTACTGTAATATGGTACCGCAATACCGTGATGTGATACCACAATACTTTTAAATAATACCACAATACTGTAATGTGATACCGGAATACTGTGATGTGATACTGCAATACATTGATGTGATACCACAATACTTTTATATGATACCACAATACTGTAATATGATACCGCAATACCGTGATGTGATACCACAATACTATTATGTGATACCACAATACTATTATGTGATACCACAATACTGTGATGTGATACCACAATACTGTTATATGATAATGCAATACCGTGATGTGATACAACAATACTGTGATGTGATACCACAATGCTGTTATATGAAACCACAATACTGTTATGTGATACCACAATACTGTGATCTGATACCACAATACTGTGATGTGATACCACAATACCGTGATGTGATACCACAATACTGTGATGTGATACCACAATACTGTTATATGGTACCGAAATACTGTAATGTGATACTGTAATACCGTGATATGATACCACAATAATGTGATGTGATACCACAATACAGTGATGTGATACCGCAAAGTCTGTGATGTGATACTGCAATACCGTGATGTGATACTGCAATACCGTGAAGTGATACCGCAATACTGTGTTGTGATACCACAATACCGTGATGTGATACCGCAATACCTTGATATTATACCGCAATACCGTGATGTGATACCACAATACTGTGATGTGATACCGCAATACCGTGATGTGATACCACAATACTGTGATGTGATACCACAATACAGTGATGTGATACCGCAATACTGTGATGTGATACCACAATACAGTGATGTGATACCGGATTTACCGTGATGTGATACCACAATACTGTGATGTGATACCACAATACAGTGATGTGATACCGGATTTACCGTGATGTGATACCGGATTTACCGTGATGTGATACCACAATACAGTGATGTGATACCACAATACTGTGATGTGATACCACATAACTGTTATATGGTACCGCAATACCGTGATGTGATACCACAATACTTTTAAATGATACCGGAATACTGTGATGTGATACTGCAATACTATTATGTGATACCACAATACTATAATGTGATACCACAGTACTATTATGTGATACCACAATACTGTGATGTGATACCACAATACTGTTATATGATAATGCAATACCGTGATGTGATACAACAATACTGTACTGTGATACCACAATGCTGTTATATGAAACCACAATACTGTTATGTGATACCACAATACTGTGATCTGATACCACAATACTGTGATGTGATACCACAATACCGTGATGTGATACCACAATACTGTGATGTGATACCACAATACTGTTATATGGTACCGAAATACTGTGATGTGATACCGCAATACCGTGATGTGATACCACAATACTGTGATCTGATACCACAATACCGTGATGTGATACCGCAATACCGTGATGTGATACTGCAATAATGTGATGTGATACTGCAATACCGTGAAGTGATACCGCAATACTGTGTTGTGATACCACAATACCGTGATGTGATACCGCAATACCTTGATATGATACCACAATACTGTGATGTGATACTGCAATACCGTGAAGTGATACCGCAATACTGTGTTGTGATACCACAATACCGTGATGTGATACCGCAATACCTTGATATGATACCACAATACTGTGATGTGATACAGCAATACTGTGATATGGTATGATACTGCAGTGCTCTTTGTTTCACATGCACTTCTTATATACCACAACACTGTGATATGATGTCAGTTTGCTGTGCTATAATATGATACTGCAAAACTGTCCTATTATATGATACCAAAATACTGTGATATGATACAATAATGCTATGCTTTGATATATCAAACCACAATACTGTGATATGTACCAGAATTATGAGATATTATACCACAATACTGTGATAGCATATGGTACCAGAAAACGGTTATATGACTTCATACTAAAATACTGAGATATGATGCCAAAATATTTAACGCTATACTGTGACATGATATTATGCAACAATACTATAAAATGATGTCATGTACAATAATGTGATATCTGATACAACAATACTGTGACATGATATGATACTACAATATTGTGATATATGATACTACAATACTGTGATATGATACTACAATACTGTGATATATGATACTACAATACTGTGATATGATATGATACTACAATACTGTGATATGATACTACAATACTGTGATATATGATACAACAATACTGTGATATGATACTACAATACTGTGATATGATACTCCAATACTGTGATATATGATACTACAATACTGTGATATGATACTACAATATTGCGATATGATACAACAATACTGTCGTATCATACAGTTCCATCCAGAATCCTTTGACCTAAAGCAGAAGAATCCTACAATTCCAAGACATTTGTATTCGTCTGAATATGTCTGACGCATAATTCCGAACACAATTCTTCAAAATTACAATCAAAGCAATACATCCAACGAACTTGGAAACAGAGTACATACGACCAGCACCGAATTGAAACGCTAGAGGAGAGATGAATACAAATAAATTTAGTGTTGTTCCCTGTGTTGGAGCACCCACCTTGTGCGACTCTCTGTGCACGCTGTACCGGTGTGTCACATACAGGACACTTCGTGCAGCTGTCAGCGCACGACTTGCACATTACTTTATGTCCGCATGGGGCGAACTTGGCATCTGACGGCTGCCCAAAGCAGCTGCTGCACGGCGTGGGGAAGTCGAACAGATTCAGCCCACCTAAGCCCTGTGGTAAGCTGCGAGTTGAGCTGGGGGCTTCAGTGTTCAATGATTCTTGACTGAAATCAATGGACGTAAGAATGATCCACTACACTGGACACACAGTGGACAGATATCAGTGAACACACAGCTAACTTTCAGTCATATGACGGCGGCCTGTCAATGATCGATTCTGGACCACGCAAATCGGCAGTGACAGTGTCAGCAAATATCCACGCACACAATCACCCGCATTGCAACAACACCATCTGGGGTTAAGAGCATCATCATCGATCTATGCAGTCAGGGTATGATGACACACAATCATCCAGGCCACACATCGTGATATAACTGGCCGATCCCCACAAGTCGGATCTTGCAACGCGCAAGGCCTACTGAGGACCGTTCTGCCCTGGAACCCACACAGTGCTTTGGGAGATGGTCGGCACCTAGGGAAGGTTGTGTGATTTTTACGAAAATGATACATGTATTTTCACGGACAATAATATTGTAATCACATCCATGACAAATCATTAATAAAAGAAAAAAAGAAAAAGGCCTTGTCTGGCCATGTTAATTAACATTGGACCCGTGAAGATCCAGGGTAGAATAGGTCGTCAGCAACCCATGCTTGCCGTAAAAGGCGACTAACGGGATCGGGTGGTCAGGCTCGCTGACTTGGTTGATGCATGTCATCAATCCAAATTGCGTAGATCGAGGCTCATGCTGTCACTCACTTGATTGTCTGTCCAGACTCAATTATTTGCAGACCGTAGTTATGTAGCTGGAATAGTGCTGAGTGCGGCGTTAAACAACAAACTAACAAATAAACAATAATTAACATTTGATTGAGGTTTTCTGAAGCCGAGAGTGGGCAGTGGAGATTGTGCGCTGGAATAGACTGTGCTTGTACAAGGAGACAAAATGGGTGATCAACTCGCTGATTTGTTTCATTGTCTGTCATCATACCCCCGATGGCGTGAGACGTTGCTCATTATACCTCTGTCTCTTCTTCAGACTTAAAATAATTACAGGCAGTCGTCATATATTTGGAATGTGGATGGCTGCAGTGGTAAACAATTGCAACAAATATACCAAAGGATCATTTGTCGTACTCAGGTCACCCTACTGCCAAACGTTTTTATCCGGACAATGACTCACCATAGGCCAAATGTAAATGTTCAAAAGCAATCCTCAGCCTTATCGTCTATCATGGCGAACCATTGTCAGTTTTACGTATTTTCTTTCCAAGAAAGAAACTGTACATACTTCTGATCGATGTATTTCTGGATTGCTGTTTTGACACCAGTGTTATTACACAGGCTTAGGGCCGTCATTCCGAGTTTGTTTCTGGCCTTGTACGCTGCGCCATTCTGAAGAAGCAGCCGCCCAACTCTGAAGAACCTCTCTGCCTCACTTGACGACATGGTTCCCTAGAAAATAACTTATTCATTTGAAACATGAGGGCAAAAAGATTCGAATTTACATAGCACAATTGTGTTTAATTTATTTAAATATTTAAAATGAATTGTACACAGTAAATAAAAGCGACAAAACCCTTTCCTTTTTTATAAGACATTGACCATTGTACGATCCGGACAATATCATGAGCATGTGATATGAATCACTATCAAATACTGATGATACCAGGTGCAACCCTCAAATGAGCTAAGTCATACAACTTATATCTACCTTCTGGGAGCAATGAACACACATCACGTGGAGCGGCCTGTCACCAATAGCATTTTCAAAATTGGGATCTGCACCTGATGCGAAACCGAATTAATAACATGAATGATGATGTTATTTATAAGTCTTTGAAAGGCATTTAGAAGTGATACACATAAGGAAGAGAATTAATGGATGGCAACTTCTTTATTATGAGGAACACAACGTTTCGGAGTATATGCTTACTCCTTCATCCGTAAGCATATACTCCGAAACGCTGTGTTCCTTATAATAGATGAGATGAGATGAAATCGCTCTCCGGGCGGACGCTCTACCACTAGACCACGGAGGCGGTCGTTCCTTATAATAAAGAAGTTGACATCCATAAATTCTCTTCCTTATGTTATTGATTGACACACATTCATTCAAGTATATGGAAAAACAGAACAACGAATGAAAAGAAAACTTGAATTAATCCGGCTTGATATTTGGCTTTAAAAGTACATTAAAAATGTATACTCCAACCTTTCTGGAGAAGGAGTTCCGATGCCCTGTAGTACGGCTGGCTGACGGCGATGTGAAGAGGACTTTGTCCCTGATGACCCTTCCGGTTAACCTCGGCCTTGCCCTGATAGGAGTGAGTGAGTGAGTGAGTTGGGTTTAACGCCGCTTTTAACAATATTCCAGTTATATCGCGGCGTGTCAGCTTAATGTGGGAGGAAAGCCCGAAGTGTGCGCCCTGATAGGAACCAATAAAAGATTTGGTTCCTTTGTTTGTTGTATAACGTCGCACCCAGCAATATTCAAGCTATATGACGGCGGTCTGTAAATAATCGAGTGATTCACAATCCAGTGATTGACATCATGAGCATCGGTTTACGCAGTTGGGATACGATAACATACATAAACCAAGGCAGCGAGCCTGACCACCCGAGTCCGTAAGTCGCCTCTTACGACAAGAATTCCCAGCGCAAAACAATTCTGATGTTTCCCGCAGTGATATTGCTGGAATATTGATGAAAGGGGCTCCCACTCAGTTGATGGACACAGCCAGGCCTCAAAGTTTAAATTTTACCAAGTAGCCATATATGTCTACAAGTATTTTTTTTCCAGGTAGCCAGGGGTACAATCAAGAAGTCAAGCCAATATTGTAGGTAGCCAAAAGCATTTGAAATTATCTTTATCAAATAACTATTATAATATGTACAAGTTACAGCTCTAGTCTTGAAATTGTATCTAAATGGAAACTCTTCTTTAATTTTGTTACTTGTGACTTGAACAATGATGCAATTTATGTTACTAGATTATATAGGTATATCCTCGCTTATCCAATGAGCATTGTCAACTAAAATAAAATACTAATTACATTTATTTTTATGTATTTTGGATCATTGTCTACTTTAGAAGAAATTATTTGCGAGTACAATAATTAGCAGACGTGTTTTTCAATATCAGCTGTTATTTATTTTTGTGTCTACAGATGTGTAGCAATAGAATTTAGTCACCACAAGATATTTTTTTGGATAGTCATTTGGCTACCTCTGAATTTTAGACAGTAGACAAACGGAAATTTAGGTCGCATTGGCTACCGGTTTAGTGGCAAATTTGAGTTGATAAAGGAGTTGACGACAGTGGCGTTACCTTGTCAAGGAGCAGTCTGCCACATTCCACGTGGTCGTTGGCGGCTGCGATGTGGAGAGCGGCGTAGGGGACGTCGGACATCAGCTCATTTACAAATGACGTGTCTCTCTCAAGAATTTTTTCTACAGAACTGAAAGCGGAAAGTCATATTCGAGACAATACCGATAAATTTGCAATAATACGTGACAGCTGTACTGTTTAATTCCTAGGTCAAATAAGTGTATTCAAATGTTAACGTTCTGAATGTATATGTCAATGTTCTCCTCGTTTATTAATTATAAATCATAAATTTACCATGCATCTTATGGCCCGAAGAGATTATGTGATTTAGAGATACAGAGAGAATCACACCCTAGTGCCTTGTGATTTAAACAAAAACGACACTAGTGGTATTGATATATTAAATATTAAAAGGCACTCACATGAGATTCCGTTCTTCCAACCTTTTTATATTGTAAAGAGTCATAACCAGTGGGGCTTGAGTTAAAAAGTACACTTAACCAACTGTTGTCGCAGGGAGACTAATGATGTCATTTCATTGTGACGTCATGGTAACGATGTATTTCATGGGAAATATCGCTTGATTTCACCCAAACGATATATCCTGTAGAAGCATGTCTTAGATGATAAATGTACGTTTTCAACTCAAAATGGGCATTGCGTTGGTAAAGGAACTAGTATCTGTATTGAAAAGCCGCAATGAAAGAATAAGAAGCTAGACTCATACGTCAACTGTCTTCTATGCCATGATACAGGCATATTTCTTACCATCTTCCCGAGGCAAGGTAGTTTACAGACTACAAATGTCCAGTTTCCACGCTTGCCGAAATAGGCTGGAATTATGGACTGAAGAATCTGTGCATAGTCCAATCAAAATCGCACAACGAAATCGACATCCGATTCGTCAACTGCCGTGCAGATTTCGGTCGTGCAGGATTTGCAAAGCATGTGTGCCGACAACTTAGCGTCAACAGATATTTTCAAAATCTGTTCATGTTTTGATGATTTGATGCACTTCGCGAAGTAAGATCCGTTTTATTACCAAAAAGATCTTGATTTTATTTACAGCAAATGCAAGTGGTATGAGCCGTGGAATCTGTTTGGTCAACAGGAGGGACACAGAAGGGACATAACTCGTGATAGCCACTGGTGGCGCTACGATCGAGCCCAAACATTCCAGCCTAGTTCGGCAAGGGTGGAAACTGGACTTTAAAAGTCAGTTAACTCCCTTGCCTCGGGAACATGCGTTCTTACTTACGGCACATTGTCTTTAAGACATGCCCATTGCAGGGTGTTGAAGTTTGTGTTGTTACAGTGTCGCAGATTGGTGCTTGGACATTCGATCAGTACCTCTGTACATTCGTGGTTTTTAATAAATATCGCGTCATGGAGTGGGGTATCGCCGGCGTTGTCCTGAAAAGAATATTTTATTCACATGTTTATATGTTGTCTTTGATTTTGCTTGTTTGTTGTTTATAGTCCAGCTACACGACGGCGGTCTGTAAATAATCGAATCTTCTGTCTGTTGTCTTTGAGCTTCAGTCTACTCCCCATGAAGGGCGGTCGGGTAGCCTAGTGGTTAAAGCGTTGGCTCGTCACGCCGATGACCCTGGTTCGATTGCCGACATGTGTACAATGTTTGAAGCCCCTTGCTGCTGTCCAACGTCGTGATATTGCTGGAATATTGCTAAAAGCTGCGTAAAACAATACTCACTCACTATTCCCCATGAATTTCTTGTTACATACCCTAATGGTTTATTCTCCCAGTGTTTTTTTATTGTATAATACACAACGACGACGAGTCGTTCAGTTCTTATTTGAGATAACAATTTTATGTACAGCTTCTTTCAGGATGTTACTCAAATTTACCTGACTACAATCCGATCTTGGAAATGTGGGACAAGTCCATTTTATGAATAGTTGATAATTAACAGAAACGGTGGATAATCTGAACCTTTTCTCCAATTAAAGATTGCCCTATCTCGCCCATTTTTGGACGCGATCGTTGGGCCATTGCGTTTATCTGCGTTGCCCAGCTACATTAAACAGTCTACTCTCTCAAAGACAGCATCGTCCAATTTACGACGTCATTAAGTTGCGAGCGTATGTTCGAATCTCCAGAAATGACGTCATGATAGAAAAATGTTTTTTACCTGTACGTATTAAAGGTACCAGACACACCCCTAACTCAAATGTGGCCATTAACTTTATGAGCGAGTGAGTGAGGTGGGTTTAACGCCGTTTTTAACAGTATTCCAGTTATATCACGGCGTGTCAACTTCATGTGGGAGGAAAGCCCGAAGTGATGCAGGTCTCAGACATTTACCACTTCGGTGAAACCCACGAGCACGGGTATGGTGCTGACAAACCTAGAAACATAATCGGGGCGAACCGGGATTCGAACCCACAATCATAGGTTTCTGGCGTGTCCAAGGGACGCAACTCTGCACAACTCGCGGCGCTTTAGACGACTGGGCCACGTCAATGCCTGAGAATAACCAGTCCTGATTTTTCGCTGAAACAAATTCCATTGGACGTAAAAAGGCAAAATAGCCGTGAAAGCTGTATGAATGGATCACTGGAAATGGGTAAGAATGTCCTGCCCTACCGGTACCACCCGCAACTACACAAATTGCATAAAAACGTCAAGACAATCCATTGCTTGTACATTGATAACGGACATGCCAACCACATGTTTTTCACATCGTCTGATTTCATCAAACCTATTAGTCAGAGTGTAAGCTTGATAATTGCACTTTTTTTTGTTCATATAGCAATCATATTGCCGAGTGAGTACAGATAAGTAAATCACAAGGTCTGAAATTAGTATGCCTTTTATGCTTGAATCAGAATGCAATCACTTTCTGAAAGACCCCTAAAAGCTGAATTATTGGGTAGAAAGCCTGGTGGCTGATGAGAGCTGCTTGTGTAACGAAGTGAACGGCTTCTGCTTTTATGTAATACTGTTCACTCATTCCTGACCAACTCGTGTTATTCCGGGACAAGCCGAATAGCGACTCGTGCCTCTCTCATGGCCATTTATGCGACCGGGTTCCGTCTTAGCGTAAACGGCCATACCTAAAACAATTGTCAACTCGTTGCGTAATGGTTCACATATATTTCCCCATATATTATATTAAAGCACTTCGGGACGTGCGGAATTATACAGTATGATTGAACACATTTAACTGTGTCTTGGGTATATTTTTTATGCAAGACATGTAAAATCAAAAAATATATCTGAGGGATTCTTTGACGAGAAACTTGAAATCATACGCGCATTCTGATTGGTTTGTCGTATTTTGGCACATCACACTTATCGATAGGGGGACGAGTCTTCTTGCAGGTTACGGAATGACGAATGACTGTTCACTGCTTTTATTCAAGGATAGCTACCGTAGCATTGACGTCCACGCCCTTCTTCACCAGCACTTTGAGGACGTGCGGGAGATTGTTGTGTACAGCAAGATGAAGAGTTGTCTGCCCGTTGCGGTGCCTGTGATGGATGTCGGCGCCCTTCTGTATCAGCATGGTCGTAATGGCCTCCTTCTTGCTATAAAAGATGAAGAAGAATATTGTACTGTTACAAGAATGAACGTAGGGATCTGTCTGAACATTCGCGGTTACAATGCAAGAAACGTTAGCTGTTCAAAAGGGGAAGAGAGACACGTAAAAAAGTTGATGAGTGGCCATTGTATTGGGTGAGTGAGTTGGGTTTAACGCCGCTTTTAACAGTATTCCAGTTATATCGGGGGCGGTCGGGTAGCCTAGAGGTTAAAGCGTTCGCTCGTCACGCGGATGACCCGGGTTCGATTCCCGACATGGGTACAATGTGTGAAGCCCATTTCTGGTGTCCCTCGCCGTGATATTGCTGGAATATTGCTAAAAGCGGCGTAAAACCATACTCACTCACTCACTCCAGTTATATCGCGGCGTGTCAGCTTAATGTGGGAGGAAAGCCCGAAGTGATGCAGGTCTCGAACGTTTCTCAGAAACCAAAGAGCACGGGTATGGTGCTGACAAACCTAGAAACATAATCGGGGCGAACCGGGATTCGAACCCACAATCATAAGTTTTCTGGCGTGCCCAAGGGATGCAACTCTCCTTAGACGACTGGGCCACCCGTTCCCCCAGGGAGTACCTGAAATGGTTGCTAATAGTTGATGATGTATGAGATCAGTTGAAACCGGGTACTTCCTGTTCACGTTTTCAATTTCCATTAAAAAATTTCATGGTTTTATCCACAGCTTATTTAAATTTAGTTTTTGAACGTCTCACCCGGCTATAGCTGCAGAAAGAGCTGTGATTCCCATTTGACCTTTAGCATCAAGATCAGCTCCACTCTCCAACAGGAAGCGGGCTATCTGCATCTGACCCTCGTGGCATGCTACCATCAATGGCGTCAGCCTCTGGATTCCAGATGGACCTGATAGCTGAACACAATTGACATTGGATTTGGATAGGACTTAACACGAAGATAACGTAACTAGTGCAGCTACCACTGATCCATTTGCATGTTATATGGATGCTAAAGAACCTTGAGATTATGATGGACCTCCATTGTCAGTGAGTGAGTTGGATTTAACGCCGCTTTTAACAGTATTCCAGTTACATCGTGGCATGTCAGCTAAATGCGAGAGGAAAGCCCGAAGTGAGGCAGGTCTCGGACGTTTACCACTTCGGTGAAATCTACGAGCACGGGTATGGTGCTGACAAACCTAGAAACATAATCGGGGCGAACCGGGATCCGAACCCACAATCATAGGTTTCTGGCGTGCCCAAGGGACGCAACTCTGCACAGCGAATCACGACGCCTTAGACGACTGGGCCACCCGTGCCCCCACCTCCACGTATGTTTAGTTCTCGTTGCTTTATGGCTGATAGTGATGCGACGTTCAATTTCTAATCTCTCGTACACCTTCTCAGTAAGCTACACTTACCAGCTCCGGTCTGGACTGGACCATGGCTTTAACAGCATCGAGGTCCCCCTTCACAATGGCCCCAGTCATACCCCCCATCGCCATTACTGAAGCGTCCCCTCCTACAAGGCTCCTCAGATTTTCCAGCAATCCATCTAGCATCTGGTCCAGGACTGGGACTGCATCTATTCATAAGTACATATTGGGTGAAATGGTAATGCATAAACACTCCGCCTCTGTGGTCTAGTGGTAGAGCGTCCGCCCGGAGAGCGGAAGGTCCGGGGTTCGATCCCCGGCCGCGTCATACCAAAATGCGTTAAAAGATGGTACATGTTGTTACCCTATCTGGCGCTCGGCATTAAGGGGCTAAAACAAGGACTGGTCGGCTCGGAGTCAGTATACTGTGTCTGTGTGGTATTCATGTTAAACTGTGGCATGGTATCTCAGTGAGCAGGCATTATAAATCGGCATCAGTCCGGACTAGTACAAGCAGCCACACACACAGAGAATTCGAGGCCCATATGGACCGCCTCCGTGGTCAAGTGGTAGAGCGTCCGCCCGGAGAGCGGAAGGTCCGGGGTTCGATCCCCGGCCGCGTCATACCAAAAGACGTTTAAAGATGGTACTTGTTGTTACCCTGTCTGGCGCTCGGCATTAAGCTCGGAGTCTCGGCATTATACTGTGTCTGTGTGGGGTATTCATGTTAAACTGCGGCATGGTATCTCAGTGAGCAGGCACTATAAATCGGCATCAGTCCGGACTTGTACAAGCAGCCACACACACAGGTGCATGCACGTCGCTATATAAGTGCAATAATCTTGGACGCGACGTTTAACCCCATGTCACCTCACCTCACACTCATGTGTGATCTATTGTTCATATTCCGAAAATAGATATCGAGTTGTTCTTACCGACAATGTCAGCCCCTGCACCACCGACGTCGGCGTCCACCTTCTCCCCCGGGGCAGGGACACAGCAGGCAGGGTTGAAGATCCACTTCCTTAAACCAAACACAACCACCACATCTCCATCGCTGTCAACCCTCTTCACCCGACCTACTTTACCCAAGGACTGCAAATACAATCGTATCACGACATACAACATCAGTCGGAACCGTTGGATGAAAATAACGGCATCTTGTATCTCTCAGTCTCTGCATGATATTTCAAAATAATGCAGTTTTCAGAGCTTTCTTAGAATAGCTGGAAGAGGAGGATTTATATCAAATGTTACATCATACCTCTTCCATTTTGGCGTTCCATTCTCCATGTCCTTCTTGAAGCATCCGAACCTTCTTCTTGTCAATGAGAACACGGACCACGTCATTCACGTGATGGTCATAGACCTACTCCCCAGAGAACAAGAGAGACATCGTATGAAAGAATATACATCCTGAAGCTGACATCCAAATATGATAACATTTTCATGACATCTCAAATAAAGTTTCTGGCGTCTGCAATAAATTGAAGCAAATGTCACGTTTCTATTTTTCAGAGACCTAAAAATGATGAAAAGCAACCCAAGAACAGATGAAGAGTGTGATGAATTGATCCAGAAGTAATATCGACTAAGAGTACATATGTATAAGTATAACAAATAACGCTGCTAGAATGAAAATAGTTGTTGACATTTAAGTAACGAAGATATATATTTTGATATTCATTGATATGCATCAATATGGATCACAATTGCGCAGATCGATGCTCATGATATTAATCACTGGATTGTCTGGTCCAGACTCGATTATTTACAGACCGCCGTCATATACATGTAGCTGGAATAATACTGAGTGCGGCGTTAAACAACAAACAAACAAACAAAACAATATGGATCACTTTGAGCAACGGTTGCTTTGGCCGAAGAGCTGCCTACTTAATTCATATGTCCGTTCGTCTCGCCACAAGGGCCTATATACTAACTTGTTCATACGACAATGGAAGAAGGGTGACGGATACTATGTGCGTTGTCAAACAACCACCCTCTGTCCTTGGTGTAAAATACATAACGCATATTTCTTTTCACCCCTTGTTCTGGTGATATCGATCGCCTCCGTGGTCTAGTGGTAGAGCGTCCGCCCGGAGAGCGGAAGGTCCGGGGTTTGATCCCCGGCCGCGTCATACCAAAAGACGTTAAGAGATGGTACTTGTTGTTATCCTATCTGGCGCTCGGCATTAAGGGGCTAAAACAAGGACTGGTCGGCTCGGAGTCAGTATACTGTGTCTGAGTGGGGTATTCATGTTAAACTGCGGCATGGTATCTCAGTGTGCTAGCACTATAAATCGGCATCAGTCCGGACTAGTACAAGCAGCCACACAAACACACACGCGTGCATGCACGTCGCTATATAAGTGCAATAATCTTGGACGCGACGTTAAACCCCATTTCACCTCACCTCGTGGTGATTTCAACTCAAACATGGTACATACCTTTGTGATGGCTTCAGTTGCCAGTCTGTATCTACTGTTTTCAAACTCAACAGAAACAACACCATCACATGGTATTTCTCTGACTGTGCCGACTTTTCCAACACACTGAAAAAAACAACAACAAATGAATAGTATTACTGAGACAACTCAATTGCAACCTGAAGAATTTTATTTTATATTTTAAGCAAGAGGACAGACATAACAAATATGAAGTTAAGTGCAGTTACATCATGTCTCGTTGATATGAAATGTCGTTATACTTTATTCATTGTTTGATGTATCTAGTGCCACCGGTGGTGCAGGATACGCTCCCCTTTTCGCGACCACCTGGCATCATCACTATTTGATACTGATTCAGAAACACATGCTCATGAGAAGGACGGGCGGTCGGGTAGCCGAGTGGTTAAAGCGTTCGCTCGTCACGCCGAAGACCCGGGTTTGATTCCCGACATGGGTACAATGTGTGAAGCCCATTTCTGGTGTCCCCCGCCGTGATATTGCTGGAATATTGCTAAAAGCGGTGTAAAACCATACTCACTCACTCATGAGTAGGAATCGTACAATCGACTCTGCTTTAAACAGATTTTTCTTATGAATATGGAAAGGATTGTGTCGCTTTTATTTATTAATATATCAGAAATTACTACTACTAACTAATAATTACCACACTACTTCTATTGAAATTGTCACGTTTTCAATAAGGTTACGTCAAACTAAACTCACTCATTCATACTTACAATGAGTGTACAACAGAAGCTACTACCACTATTCCGTATTCTATGTTGACACTATGGCACTTACTTGCAGTCAGCGTTCCGTTCCTCCTTATACCACCACAACTACTGACTACTGCTACGTTAGTCTGTCTTACAGACCCTGATACAAATATATCAACTACAGCCCATGCAAGTCTATAATGTTTGGCAAGTCTAGATTACTGCAGTATCAGGAGAGAATCACTGGGCTCCCTTTTTATTATATTTTTATTAAGATAACTGAGCAACTGTTTTTTTCTGTACGATATGTCCATTTCAGAGACTATATGTTAGACTACTGCTACGTCTACCCTGACACCTACATGTACTGCCATAAGTATATACATCAGGTTCACTTGTTCCCAGTCCTTCTGGTTTGTTCACATCATTTGGTACTTCATACTTCTTTTTTATCACAAATCAAACCATTTATACAAAATTAATGAAATCTACAAACCCCATTCCATAATCATGAGAAATCTCTGCAAAAAGCAGAGTCGGTTGTACGATTCCGACTTGCATAGACAGGTGTCTGTGATGACACCAGGTGTTCGCCGCCCCCCCCCCCCCCCCCCCCCCCCCCCCCCGATGTTGTCATAAATACTATTGTACCAATGACACTGCAGTTGGTATTACCGTAAGAACGTATTGTCCATCGGACTGAACTGCTGAGTTTCCCTGTCTGTGAATATTGAACCGAATAATTTAACATTGCTGGCCTACCGTGGCCATGCTAGCTGTCCAACCGCCCTTGTCAGCCTGCACTCGTTTCATCCCATCTTTGTCCAACTGTATACACACTTTACACCCAACGTCTATCTCCGTGCTGACAGCAGGTTGTGGACTGTGCATGCTCGTTACATCTGGATTGTGTCATGAACGTTCTTAAATTTACAAGCACTGTACATGCATTCATATACTTGTTACCGCTATAATGCCTTTTACGCTAAATGGAATCTGTTTCTGCGCATAATCGAGACTGGTTTTTCTCTTCCGTTGACGTTGTATATTTACTAAACCAGGAAATGATATACTGGGATTCTTAATGGTAATGGTTAAAAATAGTGTACGTTTAGGACCATATATTACTCAGATGCTGCTATATATAACAATATTCCGAAAAACAAGAGGGCACATAAACAGCAATAAAAGTGTGAAACTACTGAAACAAATAGGTACCAGGTCTATCTGATCCTACTATTCATATCCACTCTTGATGTTTTGTAGATGAGCAAATTTTTACTTTGAGCAAATACATTTAATTTTCACCTCTTTTTTTGCCAGTGACGCCCTCCGGAATCTGTTCCGGCAGATAATCGCGACTGAAGAAATATAATGTTTTCAAGCATTTTCCAACAATTTATTTTTCCGATAAAATCCAGTTTCACCCCGTAGCCCCGAAGGCCAAGGCCGATATTACATCTCACCTAAGACCGGCAAGTTATCCCTGTAGTAGGACATCCCAGGGGCCTCCTCCACGTACTTAAGGTCCACCTTGCCCTCATGCCCCACCCGGTATAGATTGGAGGGACCCACATCCCACTTCACCCTCACTGTGTCTCGTGTTGTCCCTGCCTTGGGCTCGTGGTGAATCTCAGTGATCGTTCCCTTTCTTCCGCTGCCACCTGTTATTACAAGAGTGAATGAGTGAGTATGGTTTTACGCTGCTTTCAGCAATATTCCAGCAATATCACGGCGGGGGACACCAGAAATGGGCTTCACACATTGTACCCATGTCGGGAATCGAACCCGGGTCTTCGGCGTGACGAGCGTACGCTTTAACCACTCGGCTACCCGACCGCCCCTGTAATTACAAGACTCCAGAACTCGGATAGCCACAATACTGTGTTTATAAATAATGTGTTTTCGATTCTGATGTGTTCCTTGACATCAATTGTGACCCACGAGGAGAAACGTGACCTTGTGGGTGCTGGGATACAATTGTGCTATGACCTCAAAAAGACGTTTGATGTCGACTTATTTCAGTGAAGATAGCTATATGTCATGCAATGTATCTCTATAATAAATATGAATTAAAGCTTGTGAATTGTATTTTTGCGTTCCGAAGCTGCTGTTATTTTAAAATGAAAAGTCCAAATGTGAGTGAGTGAGTGAGTTGGGTTTAACGCCGCTTTTAACATTATTCCAGTTATATCACGGCGTGTCAGCTTAATGTGGGAGGAAAGCCCGAAGTGATGCAGGTCTAAGACGTTTACCACTTCGGTGAAACCCACGAGCACGGGTATGGTGCTGACAAACCTAGAAACATAATTGGGGCGAACCGGGATTCGAACCCACAATCATAGGTTTCTGGCGTGCCAAAGGGACGCAACTCTGCACAGCGAATCGCGGCGCCTTAGACGACTGGGCCACCCGTGCGCCCTAGGTGGACAACAGACCCGACAAATGTGACTTTTCACCCATAAGGTCCCTTATTTCATGGTTGGTCACAATTAATGGAATGATAAAATAAATACAACAGATTCCAACCCTTGGGTCTAAATAACGATGACTGTCGTACAATATTTAAAAGGATTAGTTGGTTTGTTGTTTAACGCCGCACTCAGCAATATTTCAGCTATATGACAGCGGTCCCTAAATAATCGAGTCTCGACCAGACAATCCAGTGATTAATATCATGAGCATCGATCCACGCAATTGGGATCGATGGCATGCATCAACCAATTCAGCGAGCCTGACCACCCGATCCCGTTAGTCGCCTTTTACGACAATCATAGTCACCTTTTACGGCAAGCATGGGTTGCTGAAGACCTATTCTACTCCGGATCTTCACGGGTTAAAGGGGTTAGCCTACATGGATGTATTAAATTAGTCGAGCAAGAGGGGGGCATCGTTCAGTAACCTCGACACATACCATCTTGTGTCCCCCATTTCCAGTCCTCTCCCCTCACGACCCGTGCCCCAGAGAAGAGCCCGAGGGAGCGTATCTTCAGACAGGTAGTCCTTTTCTTTACTTTTACACTATAACAAGAATATATAATGTATTAGGAAGAAGAGAATTTGGCAAAATGCAATAAACCAGAAGTTGTTATCATAAAGTTGTATGTTTTCATATTTACTCAGCAAATTCTAGAATGCCAATCAAACTGTTAATTTAGAAACTGCTTCATATAATCAGTTCCTTCATTTGTCGGGTAGATGGTTCCTGTTATTTTACGGTCAGTTTCAGAACATGTTTCGTGTATGATATAGTCGTCCTTTCTCCCTTAAACGAATAACAGAATCACAATACACAGTGGCAAAAGACACACACATTGTCAGTCCATGCGATCAGTATTTTTCAACTATTTCAAAACATAAAATACAAATCTTATCCTTCAATGCTTAAGGTGCTAACGCTAGAGCCCATTGTACGATTCCAACTACATGGTGGGCAATTGGGTCCATGTATTTATGACTCACTATCAAATAGTGATTGATATTTGCGAAAAGGTGGGGTTTGGTAACGTCATCGATATATACTGTTACGCTTTGACAATATTTCACAGTGGGTATCTGGAAGTTTGTTAACAGAAATATCACCCTATATGCTTTCTAATGTTTTTGATCATGCAAAGCAAATTCAGGTAATTCAACTTACCCCGCATCCTCGGGCATATCGTGACGTAGGAACACGTGACTAGGGTCATGTTTATCCGCGGAGTAACACGGAAGACATAAAGTGTCACCCTTGCACTGGCTACACGTCCATCTCGTCCCGAGAAAATCTTCGGTGTCACAGCCAACACATGTGAATCCCCTGTGACGTATTCCTGAAATATATATAACTTATAGGGCCTAGCAAGACTAAAAGATGTGTACCGTTCCACAAAGTAGTTTGTACATGCTCGGTGTCCTGCAATATGAATTGTCAATGCAAGATTAGATTATTTTCCAAACAGATTCCTTTGGATGTGAAAGGGAAAACAGCTTGAAAATTATATGAATGGACAACCGAAAATCACGCAGTGTTGACACCAGGTATATTTCAGAAAAAAAAGGGTTGTGTAAATTTATAAATGTTCGGCTCTCCTTGTCACAAAAAAGAAATGCCCTAATCATTGTCTTAGCGATGATTGCTTTGTGAAACAGGTACCTGTGCCCATTTGAACATGGCGATCTCATTACCATATTGTGTAACATCAGTGCGCATGTGGCCACGATTAACACCACCATACGTCATTGGGTACTGCTACATCTTAGCACAGTAAAGCATCTTTTTTGTTTGTTTGTTGTTTAATGTCGCACTCAGCAATATTCCACCTATATGACGGCGGTCTGTAAAGAATCGAGTCTGGACCAGACAATCCAGTGATTGGCATCAGGAACATTTATCCACCCAATGGGATGCATTGACATGTATCAACCAAGTCAGCGAGCCTGACCACCCAATCCCGTTAGTCGCCTCTAACGACAAGCATAGTCGCCCTTTACGGCAAGCATGGGTTGCTGAAGACATGTAAACCATCTTCGTAGTTTTCGTGTTTTTCTATGTATTATATAGAGAGTGTTTTAGTTAAAATAGTATGAAAACATGTTGACATATGCATGTGTTAACAGTTATAATTATAAGAACATTGTGAATATTCTGACAAACGGTGTGTCTATAACATCATGGTGATTTGAGCTCGTTACACTCAGCTGATAATTCGTACATAATTTATCATGAGCTGAGCTGTTCGGATGATTAAAGTCAATGTGAACAAAGGTTCCTGATATGGATTCCCACCTATGGCGCCACTGTCGAGGATTCTCAGGTCATGTTTGCCGTCTTTCCCTGCTCTACACGTCGTTCTCTGACCGCCGTCCCAAATGACGTCAACACGACCTGCGCCCTCCAGTGCCACAACAGTACCCACGTGACCTTCACCTCCATCACTCTCTGCGCTGGACCAATCAGGACCTCGCACAACTCGGAGACCCGCGTACATTATGCTGTCATTCGCCTTCCCACCTGTTTGAAATACGAAAAATATCCCCAAAAATATAGGTAAAAGCCGCATGAACATTTCCAACTGTCTACAAAAAGCAGTGTCTATTGTACCATTTCGCTTTTAGCGTCAGGTGTTTATGAATGCGTCAAAACGTCAAATGTTAACATTAACTAATGTTATGTCAGGAGGTGAGGTGAGGTGAAATGGGGTTTAACGTCGCGTCCAAGATTATTGCACTTATATAGCGACGTGCATGTACGTGTGTGTGTTTGTGTGGCTGCTTGTACTAGTCCGGACTGATGCCGATTTATAGTGCTAGCTCACTGAGATACCATGTCGCAGTTTAACATGAATACCCAACTCAGACACAGTATACTGACTCCGAGCCGACCAGTCCTTGTTTTAGCCCCTTAATGCCGAGCGCCAGACAGGGTAACAACAAGTGCCATCTTTTAACGTCTTTTGGTATGACGCGGTCGGGGATCAAACCCCGGACCTTCCGCTCTCCGGGCGGACGCTCTACCACTAGACCACGAAGGCGGTCTGTTAACTGACTGACTGAGTATGGTTTTACGCCGCTTTTAGCAATATTCCAGCAATATCACGGCGGGGGACACCAGAAATGGGCTTCACACATTGTACCCATGTCGGGAATCGAACCCGGGTCTTCGGCGTGACGAGCGAACGCTTTAACCACTAGGCTACCCGACCGCCCCCGGTCTGTCAGGAATGTTCAATATGAACTGTCAACCACAGAGAATAGCCAATCTCGATTATGCGACAAAACAGATTCCATTGGGGACAGTGAAAATACCAGTGAAAATAATATGAGTGAGTGAGTTTTGAACAGTATTCCAGTTGTATCACGGCGTGCCAGCTTGATGTGGGAGGAAAGTCCGAAGTTGTTCAGTATTGAGAAGTTTACCACTTCAGTGAAACCCACGTGCATGGGTATGGTGCTAACAACCCTCGAAACATAACTTAGGCGAACTTGAATTCGAACCCACAATCATAGTTTTCCAAGGGACGCAACTCACGAAAGTTATATGAATGGAAAATCAACGATGTCACTGGGTGTTCGCAAAAAGGGTATGCATGTCCTGCTCAACTGGAAGCACCCGCCAATCACATAATTTGCATTTAAAAAGTAAGTGTGTGTTGCCTGATGCTGCACAGCTGTGCTCCTGTACAGCGGCGGCAGAAATGCATCACCAGCTTTACAAATAAATACAGGATTAATGTATATTGTGAATGGTTTTCAAGTAGGTTGTTACGTAGGTTATTCCATATAAGTTTGATATATTCCAGACGGGTATGCAGTTGCATTCGTAGTTATATTAATTTCATTATCATTACACGTGTGTTGAGATTGAACTGTACGTTTTATCCCTTTAAACCTTAACCCATCACGCCGGGATGACGTCTTATTCCGAGTCTGAAATAATATATTATATTCATAACACACTAAGGCAGGCATTAATGCGAAGGATCTGCTACATTCACATATACAATACGTTTCAGGTGACAAAAAATGAGATGGAGCATTTTGTACGGCCAACCAACGAGATTTGACTGTGTAACCTGGGAAGGTAATTCGATATTACATTACACACACGCGCGCGCACACACACACACGCACACACGCAGACACAGAGACACACACACAAACAGACACACACAGTCACATACACATGTAGAGAGAGAGAGAGAGAGTTCCCATTGATAAACAACTGCTTTTCCACTCCCAACACAAAAACCTCCCAACCCCCACCCCCACCACCCCACCCCCATCCCCCATAGGTGTCATGGCAACACATCTCACACACAAACGTCATGGCAACACATCTCACACCCCAAAGTCCTGGCAAATCAGTCAAATCAGTCAAATCAGTCAGTTTTTATTGGACACAAAATACACCATGCTTGATATTTACAGAGGTAATATTTAGTTGATATAATCAAATATTGCTATTAAATATGGTATCATGGAGACAGTAAAACGCGGATGTTATTTGTCTCTTCATTCTCTGCTACTATCATAATGTACCCACCTTCTCCGAATCCAGCTTCCTCCATGAAGTTTATCACTAGAAAACTCACTTTTATCTGTACATAACTACAAGTAAGGAGAACAATGAAGATTTCCTTCTTCGCGATTGCAAGCAGGTGACGCCATTTTTCGATCTTTTGAATGTAGTGACGTGCGTCTATTAATAGTACACAAGGAAATATCTACTTTCAGTTTGAGTGCTATTTATAGATTTGAATGCCTGACGCGTGATTATGCTAGGTCACGTGACATTGTGCATAATTCGCGGTTCAAAGCTAGCATATTGATCTGTGAACACAATCTTCCTTCGTGTTATGTCAGAGCTTACTCATATTAAACTTATAGCACTGCAGGCAACGGCATATTCTCGGCTTTTCCTGCTAGATTATTCTTCAGGCCATTAAAAGATACCAAACATGTACAGTTGTCATCAAGCGAAACAATTGACTGTTAAACAGAATTGGACTAAGACAAAAGATTTTGAAAATATTTTTCCTCAGTTTATTAGGCTGGATTACCTTTTCAATGTATTTCACGTCTGTATTTCGACTGTACGGAACTATTAATTTAGTAGTGAGTGAGTATGGTTTTACGCCGCTTTTAGCAATATTCCAGCAATATCACGGCTGGGGACACCAGAAATGGGCTTCACACATTGTACCCATGTCGGGAATCGAACCCGGGTCTTCGGCGTGACGAGCGAACGCTTTAACCACTAGGCTACCGGACCGCCCCTATTAATTTAGTAAAACGCAAATATCTTAAAGATGCACACAATTAAAAAACATGCTGCGTTACATGCAAGACTCGTGTACGCAATGTCGCTATAATACCAAGGCTTGTAGATGCATATACACCGAAGAGGGCGTGGATCACTGTTATCTCTAGATCTGCAACGTAACACCGACACTGGTACAAACTCGCTCGATCGCCTCATGCAAGGTCACCGTGAACCTTCAACGCCTAAATATAGCAAGATGATTGTCCGTATGCTTCATCTAACTGGTCTCTTGTTGTTATCAAGCTTGAACGAACGAGTGGGTTAGTGAGTGAGTGAGTTGGGTTTAACGCCGCTTTTAACAGTATTCCAGTTATGTCACAGCGTGTCAGCTTAATGTGGGAGGAAAGGCCGAAGTGATGCAGGTCACAGACGTTTACCACTTCGGTGAAACCCACGTGCACGGGTATGGTGCTGTCAAACCTAGAAACAACATCGGGGCGAACCGGGATTCGAACCCACGATCAATTGGTTTCTGGCGTGCCCAAGGGACGCAACTCTGCACAGCGAATCGCGGCGCCTTAGACGACTGTGCCCCCCGCCGTAATCAAGCTTGAACGAATGTTCCGAAAATAATAAACATGTATGTGTTATTATAATGTTATTTTCAAAATTATGCAATGTCAAAAAAGACATGACATGTTCTTTGCTTCCGATCATAGTTTCAGTATATTGTGAAATAGGGGTAAGATTTGTTTGTTGTTTTACGCCGCACTCAGCAATATTCAAGCAAAATGACAGCGGTCTTAAAATAATCGAGTCTGGACCAGACAATAGAGTCATTAATATCATGAGGATCGATCCACGCAATTGGGATCGATGACATGCATCAACGAAGTCAGCTAGCCTGACCACCCGATCCCGTTAGTCGCCTCCTACAACAGGCATAGTCGTCTTTCAGGGCAAGCATCGATGTTCATGATATCAATCACTGGATTGTCTGGTCCAGACTCTATTATTTACAGACCGCCGTCATATAGCTGGAATATTGCTGAGTGCGGCGTTAAACAACAAACAATAGGGGCATGATTCGAATGTGTTCCTGTTTGTGTATGAATATTATTCGTGTCTTCTGTAATTAAATGAACGTATTCATATTCTATAGCCTCATCGTCTCAACCAAAGACAAAGGAAGCCAAACTATTTATTTGAGAATAACGTTATTTTATACAAAATATAATTTTTTTAAATAAAATACATAGAAAACAGCCTGGAAAGTCTGAAAGTTCCAAGTAAGCACGACCAAGTACAACTGAAAGCTGAGGCAACAAACACATCTGATTTTGATAGAAAATGTGGGAGTGGCGGGTGGTCCTGATAGAGCAGGACACGCTTACCCATTTCGCAAACACCTGGGCCCGCTTGCACAAAGCGATCTTAGCGCTACAACTATTGTAAGCCAATGTTAAAGAATGGGAGTTACGACCATCTTAGCGCTAAGATCGCTTTGTGCATGGGGGCCCTGGTGTCATCACATTTTTTCAATGATTAATTCATATAAAAATCATACGCGAAAAGGTGAGCGTATCCTGTTCCACCGTTGGCACCCGTCTCCTTAAAAAAACACCGGAACATATGGTTGCAAATAAAGTTATAACATATCATGACATGATAACAAACATTTGGAAGTAGACAATAGCATACTGTAAGATTCGAGTAAGATAGAAGCTTAAACAACATAAATATTCTATATTAAATACCACGAAAACAAGAGTTTGCCACTAACGTGGCTATATCCCCCGCCCCTGTTGCAGAATTTATGACATAATTAAATCTAAACAAACCCTAACTAACCTTTTTTAATCGGGGTGGAACTTGTCATGGAAATTGTAAAAAAAGAAGAGTTTGGAACCTAAGTCCATTTTGTTGCATGGAGGCGTAAAAAATAATTTTTTATAAAATTTCTAAATGGCAAAAGGCACCAGTTCAGCATGTACCTGACAAACCTGCAAAGTTTCATGAAAAAAATATTGAACGGCTTAGGAGTTATGCTCCGGAAACGAACAGCACCCTTATAGAACCTAAGTCCAACTTGTTGCCATGGAAACGTAAAAAAATATAAATTTATAAAATTCCTAAATAGCAAAAGGGACCAGTTCAGTATGTGCCTAGTAGACATGCAAAGTTTTGTAAGAAAGTATTTAATGGTTTTTGAGTTACGCTCCGGAAACGAACAGCACCCTTATAGAACCTAAGTGCAACTTAGTACCCCTTATAACGTCTTTCGGAGCCAACAAATGAGAACTTTATGGATAACACCTTTTGGTTTAAGACATACCCCTTCTCCAGTCGGTTGAGGTTGTTGATGGTATTGACTGCCACGTCTTGATGTAGACGTCTTACTAACTGTTTGCTTGGCATTCTGGAGTGAGTGAGTGAGTTTGATTTTACGCCGCTTTTAGCAATATTCCAGCAATATCACGGCGGGGGACACCAGAAATGGGCTTCACACATTGTACCCATGTCGGGAATCGAACCCGGGTCTTCGGCGTAACGAGCGAACGCTTTAACCACTAGGCTACCCGACCGCCCCTGGCATTCTGGAAGTTGGTTAGTAATATAAATAAGAGAACGTACAATTCTGCAAAAAAATAGAAGCTGTTGTCCATAATGTTGTATATAATACTGTTATAGATCCCAAATATCTACATGTATTTGTTTATAGAATCACAAAAGAATTCCAACATTCAAGCTGTAGGAACAGCAATTGTAACCAGAGAACAAAGTTGGAAACACAACAAGAGAAGCCAACAGTTAATTAAAGTTCCACCTTTGTTATCCTGTTACTTTTGTTGTTCTTACATGTTCATATATATGTTATCTGCTTCATGGCATTCACTCACCTGATGAAGCAGTAAGCTTATACTCCGAAACGTTGTGTTCCATAAATTCTCTTCCTCGTATTGTTACACTCAATACAAAGCTTTTCATAAACGTGAATGACGAAAAACAAACATATATGATCTTCACATAGCATGTTATTATTGAGTTACAGTACCAGTATACTGCTTCTTTTGTTATGATTGAATTACAGTACACGTAGGATGAGTTCCGGTACAATTATAGTGAGTGAGTGAGTGAGTTGGTTTGGGTTCAACGCCGCTTTGAACAGTATTCCAGTTATATCACCACGAGTCAGCTTGATTTGGGAGGAATGCGGAAGTGATGCAGGTCTCGGACGTTTTCCACTTTGGTGAAACCCATGAACACGGGTATGGGGATGACAAACCTAGAAACGTAATCGGGGCGAACCAGGATTCGAACCCAGAACCATAGGTTTCCGGCGTGCCCATTTCTGCACGGCGAATCGCGGGACTTAGACGACAGGTCAAACCTCTGCTCCCAGTCCAACTACACCACGCATTGTGTCATATGAATTACATCACACTTATACCAATACGATTTATCCAGAAGGAGGTCTAACAAAGGATTTTTACACATTTCTTGTACTAATTTGTAAATGCCTGTATCACTTAAAAAGTTGTGCAAAACACCACGAGTAAACAAGATCATTTGACGTGATTTGACATCACATATGCATCTAACCAAAGGGTACTTGCATATCGAATATGTATCATTGTATAAGCAATGACATCGTTCTGTGCTAAGGTTGTGGTATTGCTGCACATCAGCTTGGCGTTATGTGCAACACTGCTGCTAAACAGGTATTCCAAAAACATAAACTATCACGTATATTATCACATTATCTTCAGTCTTGTCTTGACTGTATTTCAAACGCAGGATGCAGATAGTTCATCTTCTACTGAGTTTTGCACTGGGCCATCGGGGAATCGTCGTCGTCGTCGTCATCAGCTTTAGAAAGAAAATGTAATCATCATTGCCAGTACCTCTTTATGCTCTGGATATTACTATTATTATTTCTACTCTGTGCATTTCTTTCTGTGCTTTGTGTATTACTATGTATGCTGTGTGTATTACTGTATTTCCGTGCTTTGTGTATTACTCTTTGTACTATGTGTATTATTCTTTTGCTGTGTGTATTACTCTGTATGCTGTGTATTACTCCTTGTGCTGTGTGTTTTACTATGTGTGCTGTGTGTATTACTGTGTGTATTACTGTATGCCGTGTGTATTACTCTTTGTGCTGTGAGTATTACTGTGTGTTGTGTGTATTACTCTGTTTGCTGTGTGTATTACTCTGTATGCTGTGTATTACGTCTTGTGCTGTGAGTTTTACTGTGTGTGCTGTGTGTATTACTGTGTGCTGTGTGTATTACTGTGTGCGGTGTGTATTACTCTTTGTGCTGTGAGTACTAAAGTGTGCTGTGAGTTTTACTGTGTGTTGTGTGTATTACTCTGTGTGCTGTGTGTATTTCTTTTTGTGCTGTGTGTATTACTCTGTGTGCTGTATGTATTACTCTGTGTGCTGTGTGTATTACTCTGGGTGCTATGTGTATTACTCTGTGTGCTATGTGTATTACTCTGTGTGTTGTGTGTATTACTGTGTGCTGTGTGTAATACTCTGTGCTGTGTGTATAAATGTGTACTGTGTGGATTTCTTTCTGTACTTTGTGTATTACTCTGTATGCTGTGTGTATTACTGTATTTCTGTGCTTTGTGTATTACTCTTTGTACTATGTGTATTATTCTTTTGCTGTGTGTATTACTCTGTATGCTGTGTATTAATCCTTGTGCTGTGAGTTTTACTGTGTGCTGTGTGTATTACTGTGTGCTCTGTGTATTAATGTGTGTTGTGTGTATTACTGTGTGATCTGTGTATTACTGTGTGCTGTGTGTATTACTCTGTGCTGTGTGTATAAATGTGTACTGTGTGGATTTCTTTCTGTTCTTTGTGTATTACTCTGTATGCTGTGTGTATTACTGTATTTCTGTGCTTTGTGTATTACTCTTTGTACTATGTGTATTATTCTTTCGCTGTGTGTATTACTCTGTATTCTGTGTATTACTCCTTGTGTTGTGAGTTTTACTATGTGTGCCGTGTGTATTACTCCTTGTGCTGTGTGTTTTACTATGTGTGCTGTGTGTATTACTGTGTGTATTACTGTATGCCGTGTGTATTACTCTTTGTGCTGTGAGTATTACTGTGTGTTGTGTGTATTACTCTGTTTGCTGTGTGTATTACTCTGTATGCTGTGTATTACGTCTTGTGCTGTGAGTTTTACTGTGTGTGCTGTGTGTATTACTGTGTGCTGTGTGTATTACTGTGTGCGGTGTGTATTACTCCTTGTGCTGTGAGTACTAAAGTGTGCTGTGAGTTTTACTGTGTGTTGTGTGTATTACTCTGTGTGCTGTGTGTATTTCTTTTTGTGCTGTGTGTATTACTCTGTGTGCTGTGTGTATTACTCTGTGTGCTGTGTGTATTACTCTGTGTGCTATGTGTATTACTCTGTGTGTTGTGTGTATTACTGTGTGCTGTGTGTAATACTCTGTGCTGTGTGTATAAATGTGTACTGTGTGGATTTCTTTCTGTACTTTGTGTATTACTCTGTATGCTGTGTGTATTACTGTATTTCTGTGCTTTGTGTATTACTCTTTGTACTATGTGTATTATTCTTTTGCTGTGTGTATTACTCTGTATGCTGTGTATTAATCCTTGTGCTGTGAGTTTTACTGTGTGCTGTGTGTATTACTGTGTGCTCTGTGTATTAATGTGTGTTGTGTGTATTACTGTGTGATCTGTGTATTACTGTGTGCTGTGTGTATTACTCTGTGCTGTGTGTATAAATGTGTACTGTGTGGATTTCTTTCTGTTCTTTGTGTATTACTCTGTATGCTGTGTGTATTACTGTATTTCTGTGCTTTGTGTATTACTCTTTGTACTATGTGTATTATTCTTTCGCTGTGTGTATTACTCTGTATTCTGTGTATTACTCCTTGTGTTGTGAGTTTTACTGTGTGCTGTGTGTATTACTGTGTGTATTACTGTATGCCGTGTGTATTACTCTTTGTGCTGTGAGTATTACTGTGTGTTGTGTGTATTACTCTGTTTGCTGTGTGTATTACTCTTTGTGCTGTGAGTATTACTGTGTGTTGTGTGTATTACTCTGTTTGCTGTGTGTATTACTCTTTGTGCTGTGTGTATTACGGTGTGCTGTGAGTATAACTGTGTACTGTGTGCATTACTCTGTGCTGTGGGCATTACTCTGTGTACTGTGTGTATTACTCTGTGTGCTGTGAGTATTACTCTGTGTACTGTGTGCATTACTCTGTGTGCTGTGAGTATTACTCTGTGTACTGTGTGCATTACTCTGTGTGCTGTGAGTATTACTCTGTGTACTGTGTGCATTACTCTGTGTGCTGTGAGTATTACTCTGTGTACTGTGTGCATTACTCTGTGTGCTGTGAGTATTACTCTGTGTGCTGTGTGTATTACGGTGTGCTGTGAGTATAACTGTGTACTGTGTGCATTACTCTGTGCTGTGGGCATTACTCTGTGTACTGTGTGCATTACTCTGTGTGCTGTGAGTATTACTCTGTGTACTGTGTGCATTACTCTGTGTGCTGTGAGTATTACTCTGTGTACTGTGTGCATTACTCTGTGTGCTGTGAGTATTACTCTGTGTACTGTGTGCATTACTCTGTGTGCTGTGAGTATTACTCTGTGTACTGTGTGCATTACTCTGTGTGCTGTGAGTATTACTCTGTGTACTGTGTGCATTACTCTGTGTGCTGTGAGTATTACTCTGTGTGCTGTGTGTATTACGGTGTGCTGTGAGTATAACTGTGTACTGTGTGCATTACTCTGTGTGCTGTGAGTATCACTCTGTGTACTGTGTGTATTACTGTGTGCTGTGAGTATAACTGTGTACTGTGTGCATTACTCTGTGCTGTGGGCATTACTCTGTGTGCTGTGTGTATTACTGTGTGCTGTGAGTATTACTGTGTGCTCTGAGTATAACTGTGTACTGTGTGCATTAGTCTGTGCTGTGAGTATTACTCTGTGTATGATGTGTATTACTCTGTGCTGTGAGTATAACTGTGTGTTGTGTGCATTACTCTGTGCTGTGAGTATTACTCTGTGTGCTGTGTGTATTACTGTGTGCTGTGAGTATAACTGTGTACTGTGTGCATTACTCTGTGCTGTGAGTATTACTCTGTGCTGTGAGTATAACTGTGTGCTGTGTGTATTACTCTGTGTGCTGTGTGTATTACTGTTTGTGTTCTGTGTATTACTGTTTGTGTTCTGTGTATACTGTTTGTGTTCTGCGTATTACTCTGTGTGTTCTGCGTATTACTGTTTGTGTTCTGCGTATTACTGTTTGTGTTCTGCGTATTACTCTGTGTGTTCTGCGTATTACTGTTTGTGTTCTGCGTATTACTGTTTGTGTTCTGCGTATTACTGTTTGTGTTCTGCGTATTACTCTTTGTGCACGCGTATGACGTCTTTCCTGCAAATAATGTTTATCATTCTACCTAAATAGTCATATTGGTCACATTTTCTGTCTTCTCTTCTCATGTCTATTGTTTCCCGTTCCGAGTGTATCACTATTTCTTTCCTGTGTATCACTGTATATTCTGATGTGTTAACCATTCGGTCCCGTGCGTCACAACGACAACCTACCGTTTGCGCCTCTCCGTGCATGCACTTGCGCGTCACATAACGGACACTTTTTGAAGCTGGGAGCGCACGCCCTGCACATAACTTTGTGTCCACATGGGATGAACGCTGCATCTGCTACCTTCTCAAAGCACTTATTGCACGGCGTGACGTATTTAGACCGGCTTCTTCTTTCTGGAGCTTGTGGTCTAGATTGATTTTCCGAGGGGACATCAGAATTCAGAGATCCTTGACTGAAATAAATGAACAATAAAGAACAATATGTAATATTCCTATTGATCATCCTTCTGTACGGTGGACGCAAATACATTCGAACTTTCTGCTCAAGGTTTCCCTTAGTGTACATCTGAAGGACCGTTAACGGATGGGTGGACGGCTGTGGCGGCTTACGAAGGTGATTTCGACTCGTTACAGTGAGTGAGTGAGTTTGGTTTAACACCGCTTTTAACAGTTTTCCAGTTATATCGCGGCGTGTCAGCTTAATGTGGGAGGAAAGCCCGAAGTGATGCAGGTCTCAGACGTTTACCGCTTCGGTGAAACCCACGAGCACGGGTATGGTGCTGACAAACCTAGAAACATAATCGGGGCGAACCCACAATCATAGGCTTCTGGCGTGCCCAAGGGACGCAACTCTTAGCGCCTTAGACGACTGGGCCACCCGTGCCCCCGCTACAAATGAGACAAACACTCAGTTCACACATGACCCTCATCACAACATCTATTTTGGAAATGTGCTTTGACTCTGTAACTACTTGTGGTGTGTTGAAAGTCACGTTTAAGTTAGACTCTACCACTACAAACAATATAAGGTATGCATATTATATAATGATCCGTATACTGCGCTAATATCCCCCGGGAATTTAAATAACATTTAGTTGGTATGAAGACAATTGTAATTTGTTTTTTATTTTCTTTGATCTTAATATGGCATCAACTGATCATGACTGATAACAACGAGGAGTCATAAGTCGTTGTGCCTCTTCTGAGTCTTAAACGGAATAAAGTTTTTGTCTCAACACTGGTCTTGTTCTGCAAAAAAGATTTTTCCATGTCTCGGGTCAAAAATAACTATTATTGTTGGAGAGATTAAAACAAAAAATGCATTAAAGAGGTTTAGGTGATCCTTGCACAGCCAGGGTTGTTAGGCTCGTCATCAGCTCATGGCTCTTCTCCCAGCAAGCGCTGCCTAGTCGAACCCGCCAAGAAATTATTATTATCATTTAAAATTATTTTTTAATCTTCATTTTATTTCGTTAGGGAGTACACAAACAACAACTTTATAGAATAACGTTCACATAAACCTTAGATACATACAAGTTACAAGGCATATATGTGGATAATAACAAACAAGTATTATAATTCTGGTATCTTGGTTTGGCCTCAAATGATGAGTCTTCGGGACTTTTTTCTTTTATTTGACACTAAATAAACCTAAGCAATCGAAGCTAAATCAGTCCATTGTCCCATTCCGACTGTAACATGTGTTTATGAATAACTAATAGGGGAGCGTATACTGCCTCACATGTGGCACCATCAGTAACACACCCTCACAAACACATGCAAAGGCAAGTGAATTATTCACCTATTAGAAGACCACGGGAACATATGGTACGAGTCAAAATACTGAATTGCACCGGACATCATTTTGGTCACCGACGCGTCAAATTTGGAAATCACATGTCTACCATACAACTTTCTGAACGTTCTACCAAAGCCACGAACACTTGATCATGCTTATTTGCGTGGCACTATAAGTCTCCGTATTCTGGTTGAAGAACGTATTCTCCGGCATTTAATGCTCCCTCCGAAACGATTAAAGTACCAACGAGACTGTGTCTTCATATTCCCATCTAAACCATAAAATGCAACCACCATCACTACTATTTTAATGCCACATTAAAGCTGCTAGGTTTTTCGGTCTCGGAATCCCAAATGGGATATAAATTATACTGTTTACATACTTCTGGTCGATATATTTCAGTATCGCCGACTTGAGAGCTTCATTAGAGCACATGTCAAGAGCGGTAGATCCGTGTTTGTTTCTTGCTTTGTAGGCAGCACCCTTCTGTAGAAGTAGTCGTGCAACGTCGGCGGTCTTGCTTACATGACTAGACGACACACGGCCCTTTTTAACAAACATAGGGGTACATAGACATGTACATATTTATATAATTCATACTGAATACTTACAATACTGATATATGGGCCTGGAGGTGAGGTGAGGTGGGGTGAAATCGGGTGCAACGTCGCGTCCAAGATTATTGCACTTATATAGCGACGTGCATGTACGTGTGTGTGTTTGTGTGGCTGCTTGTACTAGTCCGGGCTGATGCCGATTTATAGTGCTAGCTCACTGAGATACCATGCCGCAGTTTAACATGAATATCCCACTCAGACACAGTATACTGACTCCGAGCTTAATGCCGAGCGCCAGACAGGGTAACAACAAGTACCATCTTGAAACGTCTTTGGGTATGACGCGGCCGGGGATCGAACCCCGGACCTTCCGCTCTCCGGGCGGACGCTCTACCACTAGACCACGGAGGCGGTCCATATGGGCCTGGAATTCTTCCATTACTTCGATAAAAGTTAATTCATATTATACCATCTTATTGGCCTGAGTTATCGTTAGTTACTTTGTGATATCCATACATCTAATGCATGTGCATGTAAATACACGCATGGTTAAACAGCCTTTTTTAATATGATTTCACAATGGCCAAGTTGAGTTGGAATTGAAGCAATATGCAGAGAAAATATTACCTGAAGTAGAAATGTGTACACAATTTAACATTCCATAGCGTATATAACTAACACACAAAATAGCAAAGAATATTTCGTAAGTATAAAAAACAAGTACTACAAACAGTCATTAAATTATACACATTTTTATTACTTTCAAGCTTTTCCCAAATTATGTTCTAATTAATGTTTTTGTATGTTTCAGTAATTGTATGAATGTGAATGCATATTTTGAGCCCAGTATTTACAAATTAGGGGTCCAGAAATTCTTTGGCATTACCCGGGGACAAAGATAAAAAAGTACTGTAAACAGTAAACTACAATAATTCAAAGACAAAATTCCAAATACCTTACACAAGCCGTGGAGCGGTCTGTTACCGTTGTCATTTTCGATGTTAGGGTCAGCTCCTGAGGTAGCAAATCAAACCAAAACTTGAATTAAGCTAACACGGGCATGTGTGGACCGACAGTTCAATAAAAGCGACAAAGCCCTTCCATATTCAAAAGAAATCTGCCAAACACAGAGTCGATTGCACGATTCCGTCTATATCGTGAGCATACATTTGGGATGACCACTAAAAAGTAATGATACCAGGTGTTCGCGAAAAGGTGAGCGTATCCTGCCCCCGTCATTAACACATGCAAAGGAAAGTCAATCGTTCACCTGAAAATAACACGGGAACATGAGGTTCAATTAAAAAAAAGTGAATTGCATCGGACATCGTTTTTATCACTGATGCGTCAAATTTGGAAATTTCCTCCACATGTCTACCATAAATCGTTTTGAAAGCTTTGCTGAAGCTTTGTATGTTGTAACCTTGATCAAAAACTTCTGAGCAAGAGTCGTACAAGGCTCTTTGAGTTCTTGGCAGAAAAAGCATGCTCGATTTTACCTCAAAAGTTGTGAAATGTAGGCACCAAGGGCTGGAGGTGTTTGAATATTGCTCGACAAGAAGGGAAAGTTGAAGCCAGGTGTATACCGCTTCTGAGCAAGAGTCGTATGACGCTTTTTGAAATCTTGGTAGAAAGAGCATGCTCGAGTGTACCTCCAAAGTTGTGAAATGTCGGCACCAAGGGCTGGAGCTGCAGGAATATCTGCAGCCAAGCTTACCTTTCTGGAGAAGTAATTCCACTGATCTACACGCAGGTTTACGAAGAGCGACATATAGAGGAGTGACTCCATAATGACCCTTCCGATCAACTTCGGCCTTCCCCTAGTCAATAAATAATAAAATAGTTTTCACTCCATATACTATGAATTATCACGCTAGAATATATGCCGAAACAAATTCTAAAATGAAAATTATGTGACTGGCCATGGTTCACTGAAAATCAGTGATGACATGAATCTGATCAGGTGTTTCAAGAAAAGCGTAACTGTGCCCTGCTCTCCCGGTAGCACTCGCCACTCCAACATTTTGGGCACGGGTGGCCCAGTCGTGTAAGGCGCCGCGATTCGCTGTGCAGAGTTGCGTCCCTTGGGCACGCTAGAAACCTTGATTGTGGGTTCGAATCCCGATTCACCCCGATTATGTTTCTAGGTTTGTCGGCACCATACCCGTGTTCGTGGGTTTCACCGAAGTGGTAAACAACTGAGACCTGCATCACTTCGGTCTTTCCTCCCACATTAACTTGACACGCCGTGATATAACTGGAATACTGTTAAAAGCGGCGTTAAATCCAACTCACTCACTCATTAAAATAGTTAGTGCCAGTGGGAAAGGATCCTACGTAGATATAACAGTATGGAATATCAACGCGCATCATGACGACCTTCGATTTGGTCAACTTGGAAATGTTATACGATGGTCATAGTTGAAGTTATAGAAACGTGCATTTGAGGACACGTTGAAAGGGTGTGGTACCTTGCCAATGAGCAATCTGCAGCATTCCACATGGTCGTTGTTGGCGGCGACGTGGAGAGCAGCGAAGGTATTGTCCGACATTAAGTCGTTGACAAACGATGTGTCTCTCTCCAGTATTTTCTCTACGGCACTGCAGTGTAAACATTCATTTGAGACAAACAATGATGTGGTTCTTTTGACAGACTTAATGAAAAGAAAACAAAACATCGAATTTTACACCGTAATTTACAGCAATGTGAAGACACACTCAGTTTACTTTCTTCATATATACTACTCAAAAGAAATTAACGAACACCCTATTCTTTCATATTACTATTGTTAATCTGTTTATCATAACATGGCAGAGTAACTATAGTAATATGAAAGAATCGGCATGTCATGACAGAGTAACTATGGTAATATGAAAGAATCGGCATGTCATGACAGAGTAACTATGGTAATATGAAAGAATCGGCATGTCATGACAGAGTAACTATGGTAATATGAAAGAATCGGCATGTCATGACAGAGTAACTATAGTAATATAAAAGAATAGCCATGTCACGACAGAGTACTGACTGACTGAGTATGGTTTTACGCCGCTTTTAGCAATATTCCAGCAATATCACGGCGGGGGACACCAGAAATGGGCTTCACACATTGTACCCATGTCGGGAATCGAACCCGGGTCTTCGGCGTGACGAGCGAACGCTTTAACCACTGGGCTACCCGACCGCCCCCCATGACAGAGTAACTATGGTAATATGAAAGAATCGGCATGTCATGGCAGAGTAACTATAGTAATATGAAAGAATCGGCATGTCATGGCAGAGTAACTATGGTAATATGAAAGAATCGGCATGTCATGGCAGAGTAACTATAGTAATATGAAAGAATCGGCATGTCATGACAGAGTGACTATGGTAATATGAAAGAATCGTCATGTCAGGGCAGAGTAACTATAGCAATATGAAAGAATCAGCATGTCATGACAGAGTAACTATAGTAATGTGAAAGAATCGGCATGTAGTGACAGACTAACTATAGCAATATGAAAGAATCGGCATGTTATGACAGAGTAACTATAGCAATATGAAAGAATCGGCATGTCATGACAGAGTAACCATGGTAACATGAAAGAATTGGGTGTTATTTAACTTCTTTTCACTGATGCAGACGAATATAAGAGCAATGAAAAATATTATAAGGGTAACGCTATTTTTCAGGGCATTACCATTTGCAGTAGCCTGAGGTCTTCCATTAACTGCCCGACGAAGGAGGGCAGTTGAAAAGACCGAGGGCTTCTGCAAATGATAATGCCCTGAAAAATAGCGTTACCGTTATTATTGCTAAAATGGATAGAATTTGTAATCAAATAAAAATAAACAATATCTGTTTTGAAACATTTAGTGCAATCAACACGAATTTCACTAACCCACTTTTACAAATATGGAAACGTCACAGAACAAACCAGATGACGTCACTATTGAACGTGACGTCACCTTTCCTGTCCCTGTGACGTCACCTAACAACGGGCGTGATAATGGCCCGTCGTCAAGCAATATGAGGACATTATCAAGTTACAGTGGCCCGCTCATTTCTGATAACATGCGGGCGGTTTAATGATAATTCTAACCATTTTAACTATAAAATGAAATAAGCTTTACTGTAAGTTCATTTGAACGTGTTGCAATACAACACAGAATAAAATCTCGAGATGTGTTTGTGCGAATTGTTTCCAAGCTGGAACCCAATGACAGTTTATCATTTTACTGTTTTAAAAACTGAGTGTTCCCGTATTCATTTCCATCAGTTTACATGGATGTAGGCTTTATTATGGATGATTAGGTTTTTGTAAGCAATAATAATGGAGAGCTGACGCTTTTTAAAAATCTTTTTGTTGCTTATAATAAATGCCGGTGTTGAAGCAAAAGTTTATTCTTGATAGATATGAATATGAACCAAAATTACCCTGTCAGTAGTGATATAATGATTAATAAGTCCGTGGGGATATGCCGAGTGAGAATAAGTCCCCAGAAATGGATGCTGCCCCGAGGGTTTAACGCGAAGCCGAAATATGCGTCCAGTACGCACAAATGTATAGAATGTACACAGAAAAAATATTTATTGTGTCCCGAGGGATACACAATACTGTTCATTGTACCAAATTCTTGACAAGAAATATAAACTGCCTGTAATTAAAGTGATGATTATATCTTAAAGTACAGTACACCATATCATGTCATTTCTTCACAGGGCCCTCAGATATCCTGTGACATCTTCCCAAGGCAAGAGAGTTAACTGACTGTAAAAGTCCAGTTTCCACCCTTGCCGAACTAGGCTGGTATTATGGAGTTACATTTTGGCTGGACTAACGAGTCTATGCATAGTCCAATCAAAATCGCGCAACGAAATCGAAATCCGTTTCGTAAACTGTCGTGCAGATTTCGGTCGATTGCAGGATTTGCACAGCATGTGCACCACTAACTCGTTGTCAACAGATATTTTCCAAATCTTTTCAAGTTTTTAATCAAGGTGCTAACGTGATTTGATGCAGTTCGCGGTGTAAGACCCGTTTTCTCACAATATAGATCTTGACTGTTCATCAGATCGTCTTGACCGCCATTTTGTTTGAAGCAAATGCAAGTGATACGAGAGGTGGAATCTGATTGGTCCATAGGAGAGGCATAGAAGGGAATTTAACTCGTAACAGCCACTGGTGGCGCTACGATCGAACCCAGGAATTCCAGCCTAGTTCGGCAAGGGTGGAAACTGGACTTCTAAAGTCAGTTAACTCCCTTGCCCCGGGAAGATGATCCTGTGAGAGCCCTTGAAATTAGTAATTGGGGGGACTCTGGATCACTACTGTTGTAGGTCAAGTTAAAACCCTGTTGGTCGTTATCGTAAGCGACCAAATGGATGAGGGTGTCAGGGTGGATGACTTGGTGGATTACGTGTCATCGTGCCCCAACGGCGTGGATCGCTGCTCCCATTATCGATCATTGGATTCGATTACTTTGAGGCCACCGTTATATAGATCAAGACGTAAAGATAATGTGTCCTTCCATACTAACGTAACATGGTCCCTTAAGCAGGCGTAGTGCAGGGCGTTGAAGTCCCGGCGGTTGCAGTGCTGGAGATTGGTGTTTGGGCATTCAATAAGAATCTTCGCGCATTCATCATTTTGTAAAAGGATAGCGTCATGAAGAGGGGTGTCTCCAGACTTGTCCTGAAAAAGAGGTTGCATCCGTATTTCACTCATGCCAATCATTCCACGAGAACCCATCCAGTTTATTTGATGGACAAGTACTGAAAGAATGTATATGTTTGAAAATGTTAATGGTTTCTGTATTTAAATGATGACATACATCGATGTGTGTTTAGTGTTTCAGTGAGATTTCTTGTATGCCTGGCAAAATGTGTTGATAATTATATTTTTTAGAACGTAAAACAATATAATACTTTGTCATAGCCGCGGTTGGCAAAATTCCATATATATAACTCCGCCGTGTAAATAATCCAATGTATACCAGACAAATACGTGGCTAAAACATGAACAACGGTCTATGCCACCGCGGCACAATCAACTCAACACACACCAATACCTGATCACCCAATCCATACTAGTCGTCTTTTACTACAAACATGGGATCCGGGCGATCTATTTGTCCCTGGACACCATAGGGGTCCGACTCACATGAGTATCGAGGGCGTCTCAGTGCTTGACTTGGCTCATAATTTGTCATCGTACGCGAAGCACGACAGTACTATCAACCCCTGGTATCGCTCAGGCCCGAACTCGAATTTGTAAAAGACCACCGTGACGTAGTTCAAATATTGGTTGGTTGGTCGGTTTGTTGTTTAACGCCGCACTCAGCAATATTCCAGCTATATGACGGCGATCTGTAAATAATCGAGTCTGGACCAGACAATTCAGTGATTAATATCATGAGCATCGATCCACACAATTGGGATTGATGACATGCATCAACCAAGTCAGCGAGCCTGACCACCCGATACCGTTAGTCGCCTTTTACGACAAGCATAGTCACACTTTACGGCATGCATGGGTTACTGAAGACCTATTTTACCCCGGAATCTTCACGGGTCTCAAATATTGGTAACAGCCCGGTAAATGTAAAACGTCTACGATTGGGCGTAAAATGCAAAATAGCAGTGACACAACATTCACTCACGTGACCATTCTTAAATAAAACGAATAATAAAAAAAACATAACTTTTTATCATCACATGTTATGGCTGAAATACTGCCGACGTGACTATAAATCTTAACTGACGCACTCAATTATCATCCCATAAAAAAGATTAGTGTGAAAGAAAGTGATCTATTTTAGCTGAATCTATTACGAGAACATAATTTTGAAATAACGAGAAAAAACTCGTTATTTCGAGAAAATAATTAAAATAACGAGACAAATTCGAAGTAACGAGAAAGAACTCGAAATTTTAAGAATATATTTGAAATAACGAGAAATTTCGACTGACATAGGATTTAGGAACACACATACACCATTCACTGCTTCTATTCAACAATAGTTACCGTAGCATTGACGTCCACGCCCTTCTGCATGAGCACTTTGAGGATGTTGGGATGTCTATTGTGTACAGCAAGATGAAGAGTCGTCTGCCCGTTGCGGTGCCTGTGATGGATGTCGGCACCCTTCTGTATCAGCATGGTCGTAATGGCCTCCTCCTTGCTATAAAAGATGAAGAAGAATATTGTAATTGTACTGTTACAAGAATGAACGTAGGAATCTGTCTGAACATTAGCTGTTCAAACGGGGAAGGGAGACACGTAAAGAAGTTGATGAGTGGCCATTGTAATGTTAGCGCCCTTCTCGATCAGTGTCGTTGCTATGACTTCATTCTCACTGGAATTAACATGACAGAAGAGTTGTAATGATGGAACATGGAGACACATACGTTGTGAGAATGTAGATAGACCAGAGCCAGTAGACCATGCATCTTACTTGCACATCTGAAAATTTGAATCACCCCAGACGAAATTACCATGAGCTTGTTGTATGCAACTCTAGGAGCATTCTGCCTTTTTGCACAGATTCAGTCGTTTGATTCATGTTATATAACTGGTCAAGATCTTTGACTGCAGATACATGCCTGGTCTGACAATCTCACCCAATAATTGCTGCAGATAGGGCGGTGATTCCCTTATGACCTTGAGTCTCGAGGTTAGCGCCACTGTCCAGCAAGAAGCGTGCTATCTCCATATTGCCCACGTGACATGCTCTCATCAATGGTGTCAGATTCTGGAGTCCGAATTGTTGTGATAACTGTATTATAATAGAAACTATTAGTTAGCTAGGTACGGCTTGCCCGATACATGCTTCATAGATTATAAGCTTGGTGTGCTTCCGTATCGTAAATATATGTGTCCTTGCTCTTCAACTCTAAGTTTGAGGTCGATAAATCTGTTCTGTGATATCATCCGAAGTCATTTGGAGCAAAGCAAAATTGGGTACATCGTAAATATCGCCATTTTACTAAATAAAGAATCTCACCCGAGTGTCTTTTGATATCAAATATATCAACACGAGTTGATAAAAGTTGTAACCAGTGATGTCACAATGGTCTGCAAAGCATTGTGATGATACAGTGTAGATATCGCTTGATCTCATCCAAGCGATATCTCCTGTGGGAGCCAGTTTTGGATGATAAATCCCCGTCACGCCGCTATTTCGTGTATGTTTCGATATCTAAATATGGGATATATACCCGGAGAACACCATAATCAGATGCTTTTTAAATATCAACTGCAAAACATACGTACGATGCATTTACAGACCGAGGAGCAGCTGTTGATTCACGGGTATAAAAAACATAGTGATTAGTTTCATCATGTTCATGTTATGGGACCGCATCCGTGGCCCTCTTGGTAGAGCGTCCGACCGGAGAGCAGAAGGTAGCCCAGTCGCAATTCGCTGTGCAGAGTTGCATCCCTTGGGAATCAAATCCCGGTTTTTGTTTGTTTGTTGTTTAACGCCGCACTCAGCAATATTCCAGCTATATGACGGCGGTCTGTAAATAATCGAGTCTGGACCAGACAATCCAGTGATTGACATCATGAGCATCGATCCACGCAATTTGGATCGATGACATGTATCAACCAGGTCAGCGAGCCTGACCACCCGATACCGTTAGTCGCCCCTTTTATGGCAAGCATGGGTTGCTGAAGACCTATTCTACCACGGATCTTCACTTGTCCAAATCCCGGTTCGCCCCAGATATGTTTCCAGGTTTGTCAGCACCATACCAATGCTCGTGGGTTTCACCAAAGTGCCAAAGGTCACTTAAGGCTTTCCTCCCACTTTAACCTGACACGCAGTAGAATACTGTTCAAAGCGGCGTTTAACCAAACTCACTCTCATTCGCCCAATCAGACAGTCACAGAGCCTGTACATCCGATCCCCAATTTCAGCCGGCCCTGAAGACGCGCATGCGATACTGGGCATCCATTCCGACCCGGAATTCCCACATGTACATGTAGACCTCTAAACACCAAGAGCTCACCAGCTGTGGCTTGGACTGTATCATGGCTTTCACTAAGTCCAGGTCCCCCTTAACGATGGCCTCTGTCACGCCCCCAGTGTCCAGTGCAGATGATGACAGCCCTCCTGATGAGTCCACGAACCTCTTAAAATTTTCTAGTAAACCTCCCATCATACCTCCCATCGCTGGCAGTTGGTCTGATAAAAAAAGTACATACTTGCAATTTTCATAAATAATTAAGTCTCAAACATAACATTATTCAGTTCCCATTGCGACCATATAATCTTCTGTTGTCATGTTTGCACAGCCTGTTAAAAAACCGATCTCAAAACGTTACTGGGCTAAAAACAGTAGCCGAGACACTGATAACTTAATGTACAAACCACACCTCTGATTTCCGTTACAAATACATTCCCATCGACTAACCATTTCTTGCTTGTTTCATTCATGACCACCATCAAACATGGATGAATATTTTCTAAAGCTGGGTGGTTCAGTTGAATTTGAAAACTTTTTATAAGATGGTGGTCTAACTTATTCAATTGTGTCTCTGCTGGGTTCATGTTCAAAACCTAAGATATATCAGATATTTAACACCACGACTGTAAAATGTGCGACACATACTTGTCTGTCCCTGCAACCAATGGTGGTGTGGAAACACCGGACTCGTGGATAGATTCGTTGATGTATGTACCATCAGACTGATAACTTGCTTCGCAGTTAAAACATATTGTAATCTAATATACCCTTTCAACAGCGTTACGTAATAGGAGTAGGTGATCACTCCTGACATATGCTCACACTTAAGACAAAAGCAAATGGAAATGTGTCAGCAATACAGTAAACTACGTTTATAACGAACACGCTTATAACGAACTGATCGACATAACGAACCTATTTTTTAGTCCCTGCCATTTGTTGTATATATGCTGAGTGTATAAATATGCTTTTAACGAACTACGGTTATTACGAACTAAAATTAGTGGTGCCTTTGAGTTCGTTATAATCCTAGTTAACTGTGGATTATAACACAGTAAAATAAAGTGTGCACTTAGTTTCTGCTAAAGCAGCATCACATGAATTACAGACTGAGTCAATCATGCAACAGTGCCACGCCATTGCTGTCCGATGTTTGTGAGGTGAGGTCCAAGCGACATGCATACACGTGTGTGTGTGTGTGTGTGTGTGTGTGTGTGTGTGTGTGTGTGCTGGTGCTTGTCTTGACTGATGCCGAGTTTATAGTTATATAGTTATATAGTTATAGAAGCCCACTGAGGTACCATGCCGCAGATTAACATAAATACCCCAGTCGTCATCATCACTATCTTCCAGGCTCTCCACAGTCTCCCCCGGAGCAGGGACACAGCAGGCAGGGTTGAAATACCACTTCCTCGACCCAAACACAACCACCACATCTCCATCGCTGTCCACCTCCTTCACACGACCAACTTTACCCAGGAACTGAAAATACCAACGTCGTTCTCTTAAATAACCGTGTCTTCTATCATGGTAATATAATAAACAGCTTGTACTATCAGTAGCATCAATATAATTCCAGAACCGAGTTTTGTAATTGATTGAGTTGGGTTTAACGCCGCTTTTTAACAGTATTCCAGTTATATGAGGGCGTGCCGTTTACCACTTTGGTGAAACTCACGAAAACGGGTATGGTACTGACAAACCTAGAAACATAATCGAGTCGAGCAGGAACTCGAACCGCAATCATAGGTTTCTGGCGCGCCCAAGGGACGCAACTCTGCACTCTGGACACTCTGCCTTAGACGCCTGGGTCATCCGTTCCCCCATTTTATCTGAAGTATGAGGCAGTGGAGTATCTTTTTCATAATTATTTTAGTTATTATCAGCTAGGTGCGCCCCTTGCAGTTGTCCTGCAAAAACTGATGAAGATTGTGGGTTCGAATCATAGCTTCAACATCATCATAATCCTTATCTATCAGCACCGTGCTGGTTACTGTAAACGTTAAGGTCACGCAGACCTCCTGTCACAAAACGTTGACAAGGAGCCATATAACTGAAACTCAGAGAAACAAAGTCACTTCAAGTTATTGTTTTACTTACCCTTTCCATTTTGGAGTTCCATCCTCCCTGACATTCCTGAAGCATCTGAACCTTCTCCTTGTCATCCAGGATCCGGACCACGTCGCCTGGGCTGTGGTCATGCACCTACTCCCCAGGGAACAACAGAGACGTACAAGATGAAACACAGAACCAGTATGCATTGCGAACCTAAGGGTAACAAATAATGTCATCCGTGGCTGCAAGCTTATCCCTTGTGACATCTTTATAGCTATTGGACAATGCATCTTTTAATGTTCGGAAGAAAGTATTGACAGCGTTTTCTTTAATTTCCGTCCGATGGATGCTGCTAGACGTTGATGGACTTTGACCAGGGGTTTGATCTGTATTGCATCAACAAAGCTACTGGATTCAAAAGAAATCTTCCCCTCAACAGCATTTCCTTTGCCCTTTTCTTTTAATTAACTACTGAGCATTACAAATCACATCATCAGTCAGTGATTCTTGGCCTCATGGAAAATAAATGAGAGGAGAGGGTGCTTCAATAATAATTCAACATGTACAGCTTAATATTATGACTGATCTATAATGAATACCTGTATCTCCTCAATCTCCCCCGGAGCAGGGACACAGCAGGCAGGGTTGAAATACCACTTCTTCGACCCAAACACAACCACCACATCTCCATCGCTGTCCACCTTCTTCACACGACCAACTTTACCCAGGAACTGAAAATACCACCGTCGTCCTCTTAAATAACCGCGTCTTCTATCATGGTAATATCATAAACGGCTTGTACTATCAGTATCATCAGAATAATTCAAGAACCGTCTCTTGCTTTGGCTTTTAACTTAATTGGGTGAGTGAGCTGGGTTTAACGCCGCTTTTTAACAGTATTACAGTTATATGAGGCGTGTCGTTTACCACTTTGGTGAAACCCACGAGCACGGGTATGGTGCTGACAAACCCAGAAACATAATTGGGGCGTACAGGAACTCGTACCGCAATCATAGGTTTCTGGCGTGCCCAAGGGACGCAGTTCTGCGCAGTGAATTGTGGTGCTGTACACAACTAGGACACCCGTGCCCCCGTTTATCTTAAGGTTGAATTCATTATTTTTATAAGTATAGATTAGAGCACGCGGACCTGGTGTCTAATCGTTAAAATGGTTAGAGTCCGGGCGCGGAGATGGATGACAAACTATTTAAAAATCATTTACTCCATGAAAGAAAACGATTAAAGTTTATTGTCTCAGTTTGGGTAAAACATACTAAATACCATTTACAGACAGAAACCTCTAGTGTTTCTGTAGACTGCAAACCGACCTTATATAGTTGGTCAGATTGTATTAATTATTAATCACGTCTACTGTACTTTCTGGAGTATGTTCCTTCGTTATGTGCGCACTGAATTATTATTTATTAGGTATTGGAGGGAACATGTATCTTAATCATCTAAGTTTCGACCCTTGCATTGATGATCGTGGTTTCGAATTAGAGCTGTGACCTCATCATAATCCTTTTCTATCAGCACCGTGCTGGTTACTGTAAACGCTAAGGTCATGCAGACCTCCAGTTACAAAACGTTGACAAGGAGCCATATAACTGAAATTCAGAGAAACAAAGTCACTTCAAGTTATTGTTTTGCTTACCCTTTCCATTTTTAAGTTCCATCCTCCATGACTTTCCTGAAGCATCTGAACCTTCTCCTTGTCATCCAGGATCCGGACCACGTCGCCTGGGCTGTGGTCATGCACCTACTCCCCAGGGAACAACAGAGACGTACAAGATGAAACACAGAACCAGTATGCATTGCGAACCTAAGGGTAACAAATAATGTCATCCGTGGCTGCAAGCTTATCCCTTGTGACATCTTTATAGCTATTGGACAATGCATCGTTTAATGTTCGGAAGAAAGTATTGACAGCGTTTTCTTTAATTTCCGTCCGATGGATGATGCTAGACGTTGATGGACTTTGACCAGGGATTTGATCTGTATTGCATCAACAAAGCTACTGGATTCAAAAGAAATCTTCCCCTCAACAGCATTTCCTTTGCCCTTTTCTTTTAATTAACTACTGAGCATTACAAATCACATCATCAGTCAATGATTCTTAGCCTCATGGAAAATAAATGAGAGGAGAGGGTGCTTCAATAATAATTCAACATGTGCAGCTTTATATTATGACTGATCTATAACAAGTACCTTTAAAAGGGCTTCAGTGGCCAATCTGTATCTTCTATTTTCAAACAAGACAGTAGCTACACCATCGCAGGGAAAGTCTGCTACCGTTCCTATCTCTCCTTGACACTAAAATAATTACAACAATAAATAGTGAGTGAGTTGGTATAAGTATATCTGCGGGAGGAAAGCCAAAGTTATGTAGGCTTTGAACCTTTACCAAAATCTTTATTTGAAAACTTTGAGCTTCGAATAGAGACTCGTCCCTTAGGCTAGCAAGAATCCTTTGATCGGTGGTGTGAATATAAACACAAGTCATACTACTGCTACTGCTTGTGTTACTACTACTACTACTGCTGCTGCTAAAAATAACTTCTACTTCTTCTGCTGGTGATATTTCTTCTTCATATACTACTACTACTACTACTACTACTACTACTACTACTACTACTACTACTACTACTACTACAATGTGTGAAACCCATTTCTGGTGCCTCCCGCCGTGATATTGCTGGAATATTGCTGAAAACCACACTCACAACTAATACTACTTCTACTAGTAAAATTCCATCTACTGCTAGTGTTACTTCTTCTTCTTCTACAACTACTTCTTCTACTACTACTAAAATTACTATTACTTCTGCTGTTAATTCTTCTTATTCTACTACTACTACTACTACTACTACTACTACTACTACTAAATTACTACTAATTCTACTGCTAGGGTTACTGCTTCCAGTACTACTGATACTCCTGCTACTAAAATGACTACTACTACTACTACTACTACTGCTACTACTACTACTACGAATACTTTAACTCCTACTAAAATTACGACTAATTCTACTGCTAGTGTTACTCCTTCTTCTACTACTACTGCTACTACTACTACTAAAATTACTACTAATTCTACTGCTTGTGTTACTTCTACTACTCCTCCTACTACTACTCCAACTACTACTGCTACTACTGCTACTACTACTTCTACCACTTCTTTCCTCCTCAGTACAGCACACGACGCTCTGAACATTGTCCACAAACCTCGGCCATGCTTGCTGTCCAACCGCCCTTGTCAGCCTGCACTCGTCTCATCCCATCTTTGTCCAACTGTATACACACTTTACACCCAACGTCTATCTCCGTGTTGACAGCAGCGTCTGTCCGCTTCACCACATCTATCTCCGTGCTGGCAGCAGCGTCTGTACGCTTCACCGCATCTATCTCCGTGCTGGCAGCAGCGTCTGTCCGCTTCACCACATCTATCTCCGTGCTGGCAGCAGCGTCTGTCCGCTTCACCACATCTATCTCCGTGCTAGCAGCAGCGTCTGTCCGCTTCCCGTTCATCACATCTGGGTTATATCATTAACATTTTTGATTGAATCAATGTATAGTATACGTGTACGTTACGATATGATATAATTCACTAATTATGAAAATAGTTATTGCTGATGCTTCAAATATACGATATACTACCGACAAAAAATAAGGGAACTAATGATTTGAGTTGAGTTACCGTTGAGGTGTACATTTACAATATTGTGGCGTTGCATTTAAACACAAGAACTAATTACAATGACATTTCACACAATGCATGAACAGCACGTGATGCGCGTGCACACAGAAGCCAAATGCAGTTGAGCAGAGCACACGCGTTAAAGTGCAGTGTCTGAGTGAGTGAGTGAGTATGGTTTTAGCAATATTCCAGCAATATCACGGCGGGGGACACCTGAAATGGGCTTCACACATTGTACCCATGTGGGGAATCGAACCCGGGTCTTCGGCGTGACGAGCGAAGGCTTTCACCACTAGGCTACCCAACCGCCCCTGCAGTGTCTGAATTAACAGACAAAATGGCGAATTGTGGGTACAATAGGGGTGGGAGTTGGGGTTGGAGTAGGGGTGAGGGGTGAGGGGTGAGGGGTGGGGGGTGAGGGGTGAGGGGTGGGACGTCAATATCAAAAGTTCCCCATATGTTTGACAAATCAAAAAGTATAAATTCTCGACTGTGGAACTAGTACCGTTAAACTGGTGGGGTTACAATGAGAACTGGGCGTGGCAGGCCTACAAACGCGACACCAAGACAAGCACGTCTCATTGCATTAATTGCACGAAGCAATGGATTCAAATCTGCCTCTGCTATCAACAGACCCGTGAAGATCCGGGGTAGAATAGGTCTTCAGCAACCCATGCTTGTCGTAAAAGGCGACTGGGCATGTCGTAAGTGGCGACTAACGGGATCGGGTGGTCAGGCTCGCTCACTTGGTTGATGCATGTCATCCATCCAAATTGCGTGGATCGATGCTCATGATATTAATCACTGGATTGTCTGGTCCAGACTCGATTACTTACAGACCGCCGTCATATAGTTGGAATATTGCTGAGTGCGGCGTTAAACAACAAACCAACCAACGTGTTATCAACAGAATTCCGTACAATAACCGGCAGGCGATTTTCAACATCTTCCGTCAAAATTCGGTTCTGAGCAACCCGCCTGAAACCAAATCCCCCTGAGATCTTTCCAGTAGTGCATCTGTTGGCTGTTATTGGGCGTAAAATAAAGAAAACGCTGAGATACTGCCGATGTGTCTTTAAATTTATATCACTCACCCCTCAGAACTTCTCTTAGTGAGGTATCGTATCAGAGTTAAAGATCTTTTAATAATGAGATTGCATGACATTGGCAACCGCGATCCCATATGCAAGAGTATTAGGGAAAATACGAAATATTGCTATACGTCAGACAGTTCTCTGTACACCATGTATACAAAGGTAAAATTGGGTTTGTGTTACTGTATGCGAGAGAGAGAGAGAGAGAGAGAGAGAGAGAGAGAGAGAGAGAGAGAGAGAGAGAGAGAGAGAGAGAGAGAGAGAGAGAGGTCTGCTATTTAGGTTGGTGTATTCCGATGATAACATTGTCTCCCAAATTATCAATTACGCTATCAGGAAGCGTTGCCTTAGCCACGTCGCAGGTGCGGGACATCCTGTATGCATCCTGTATGCATTGTGATGTGTTCAGGATTTCCATTCAAATCTGACAGAACGGATACATATCTACTAGGGCAAGGAGTACGGGCATCAAAGTATGATTAAAGTGCATTATGGTGATTGATGGTATGAAGAACAATTCTCGCCGTCGGGGTTCGCGGACACGCCATCAACATAGTCACCGAACCTGGGGCCCGTTCCACAAAGCGGTCGTAGCTCTAAGACGGTCGTAACTTCCATACTTTAACATAGACTTACGACTGTCGTAGCACTACGATCGCTTTGTGGAACAGGGCCCAGACCACCTGATCTTTTTAGTCGTCCCTCATGTCCAGCATAGGATTCCAGAGATTCTAACCCGGAATCCCCACTCCTGTAGATAGATTACTTTTACATCAAATTTGACATTTGTACAATTTCCTTTGTGGCGACAGGGTAAAACATGACTTTTGTATTAAAAAATAACAGCACAAATCATCATCAGTGGTTGCAGATTAAATTATTTACAGGGAAATAGACTGAAATAAAAAAAAGAAATTCAATAGAAATCGCAGGAAACCAGCCTATTCAGGTATAAAGTGCTTAATTTTAGCATCTAATGTTCTAAACAGTCAAAGCACTCCTTGAGATATGGGAAATGATACAATTGTATTGTATGATTGTCAAATTGGCAGTTTCAATCAGGGAGGGTTAATTGTGATATAATACCTGTGATTGACCAATCAAAATCGAGTATTTTCCAAATTCACGGTTGAATATGGAATATTTCTCCGGCAAAAATAAAGGAAACAGATACAAATACAGATGGGCATTACCCATAATATAATTATTCAGTGTGCACGGTAACGACGGAAAATACTCCAGAAACTATAGTAGACGTGACTGATTCACAAGGTCGGGTTGCAATCTACAGAAACACTAATTTTCTGTCTGTAAATGACATAAAGTATCTGTTTTAAACAAAACTGAGAGAATAAACTTAAAACATTTTCTCTCATTATTCGTAATGCAATATTCACATATGGACTAAATGATTTTCAAACGGCATGACATCAAGCTGTACACAATCGACAAGGTGCTCATTCCTTAGACGCTGTGTTTCATATGTTGTACTCCTTGTCAAAAGGAAAACACTCTCACTCTCTAAATAAATTAACTGCCCTTGACAAGAAAGGTCACGGTCATTATGACAGCAGGTAACATGCAAGCTCCTCACAGCGATAGCCCGTTCGCGGAGCTCTCTACACTATCACTGCCACCAGTCAAAACTCCTCACTGTGAATAGGTGGCCCCAACCATGCTTGGAGTTGAACTCGCAACCGAATGACCGTTATGTTTACAAACAAGTGACGACTGTCGTGACGCCGAATACACTTCTCGCTGCTAAATTACTTTCTTCGTTTGTCAATTTGAATTTCTGTTTCATTAAAACTATCGTGTTATTGATATAGTAAGAATGTAAGAGAGAAGTTGGTTGATTTTCCGTTAGTCTGCAATCTCGAACCAATCTGATTATTAAAACAACAAAGTAAATTCATCTGGAAAACATGGTCAGTCGTAAACCTTTTCAAAAGGAAATATCATGGCATTCCCAAAGACAGAAACAAAAGTATAAACGTTACAACATTTGGGGTAAGAGGGCAAATTTCAAGATTCTTTTAATGGCCGCGCCCACACTGGTGGCAGCGATGTTACCGAGAGTGTAACGAGGGTGTCACGCGCTGGGAGGATTGGTAAACATGGTGCTTCATTCGTCACCACTCGCCCCTTTCCGGGACAAGCTTGTTACGGAAAGGGGCGAGTGGTGACGAATGCATGCTGCTTGTGTTTCTGCTGCTATCATCTGTTATCGACTCGATGTTAGGCACAACTCATTATTGGTGAATGCGATGTTTGTGACGTGTTTTCTGTATCTGTTGTTCGTGTTTCGAAAGTACAAATGGAAAATACTCGGCAAAGTAGTCAGAAGTGATAGGGGGTGGGACGAGTCCAAATTTACTACCCAGGGTACCCACCCCCTATTACCCGACCCTACTCGGGTACCAACTGCAGGTCTCAAGAGATGTCTCAAAATGTCCGATTTTTAGCATAGCCCTGGCAAAACGTGTTTTGATACAAGAACTAAACAATCTGGTCATGCATACACTGAAGTTGACTTAAGTTATATCTTTATTCAACCATATGAAAAGTCAGAAGGAATGGGTGCAAAGTCAGAAAGAAATGCGAACATTAGTGACTTGCAGTGTAACCATAGAGTTCTAAATAATTTTTGTTATTAAACAATATATCGCGTGTCTAACCATGGGTCCGGGTTACCCGTCCCAGTCCTACAGTATACAGTAGACTCTTACAGTCGAATCGTTTTCTTCAACATGGCGACATTTGGCCGCCATCTTACCTGTCGTAAGCACAAAGCTGTTGTCGTAAACTTAAGATAACTTAGCTCTAAGACAGCTTTGAGAACAGACTTGGCTGATATTTATTTCGCGAGAACACCGTTACGACTTTTCTATCATGAGTAAGACCCAGTGCTAAACCAGTGCATAGAAATACCGTAAACTACGGTTATATCGAACTCAAAGCGACCACTAATTTTAGTTCGTTATAGCCGTAGTTCGTTATATGCATATAAACAGCATAACTACAGCAAATAGTCGGTGGCAAAAAAAGTAAGTTCGTTATATCCGTCAGTTCGTTATAAGCGTGTTCGTTATAAACGTAGTTTACTGTATAGGATATATAGGTTTGTGAATAGACCGTCTGTTGTCCAATGAGTGGTGCAGTTAGTGGTAAGTTACGCCCACGGCGCAAGAGCTGCATCCAGCATATTATTATTAAGTAAATGCTTCGTACACTGTTGGGGGCACGGGTGGCCCAGTCGCCTAAGGCGCCGCGATTCGCTGTGCAGAGTTGCGTCCCTTGGGCACGCCAGAAACCTATGATGGGGGTTCGAATCCCGGTTCACCCCAATTATGTTTCTAGGTTTGTCAACACCATACCCGTGCTCGTGGGTTTCACCGAAGTGGTAAACGTCTGAGACCTGCATCACTTCGGGCTTTCCTCCCACATTAACTCCATATAACTGGAATACTGTTAAAAGCGGCGTTAAACCCAACTCACTCACTCACTCGAACACTGTGTCATCAATATTTCTAGAGTAAAACAGAACCAATGGCCTTTTGCACAAGCCTGTATAAGTAACTGATGACAAATCATGGCTCTCTGTTGCTTCACCACCTGAATGCAAAGTAACCTCGACGCGAAGTGTCATATGGGGGTATATCAGATGAATTGAACGATAGCAACGACAACGTGATTCAGTAAAACCTTCATCGAAAGGGACCTCCCAGTTGAAAGGAGGAAAGCTGAAGCAAATATGAGGACTTTCTTAAAAGAAATGGGCAAAGATTAACAATATTTCGTGAGGAATGGCCGTGTGATCAAAATTGATAAGGATAGTCAAAATAAACTTAATTAGGGATGTGCCACATGTGTGGTGATTTCAAGGCGCGGTGTGGGCAAAACCCTGATTTTATTGCCCAAGTTGATCATATCCCGCCTCCCAATGTAATTGATGAAACTGAGAACGGACATGGAGATTTATTCACGGAATTCCTAACTTGCAGTAGTATGTGCATGTTGAACGGAAGGCTCGGGTACAATGACTTCACACACGTTTCACACAGAGGCAGGTCTGTTGTTGACTATGTTGCTGTACCATATGAACAGTTACCTTTCTGCTCAGATTTCTCTGTTACTGTCATGTCGGATATGGATGTACCTCCGTCTGACAAAATTCCAGATCACAGTGTTCTCACCTGGACGATTCGCATAGAGACGACCCCGGAACCTCTAGAGTGAGTGAGTGAGTATGGTTTTACGCCGCTTTTAGCAATATTCCAGCAATATCACGGCGGGGGACACCAGAAATGGGCTTCACACATTGTACCCATGTCGGGAATCGAACCCGGGTCTTCGGCGTGACGAGCGAACGCTTTAACCACTAGGCTACCCGACCGCCCCTTGAACCTCTAGAACTAACTGTACAACTTAAGAAGACTCAAAAGCGGCATGACACTAATAACATCCCAGAGAACTTCTTAAATGACAACAACGCAGACACTAAAATCCACGAATCTATTTGTGCAATGGAATCGGCTCTGAACGACAACGACATTGATGCAGCGTATACTATACTTACCTCCCTTGTTCACGATGAAATGGACAGTAAACTCAAACATAAAGTAATACAGCTTGGGCCTTGTGGACAGAAACGGAAAGGAAAAAGAGATAAACCATTCTGGAATGACAATCTTCAGGCTTTATTTCAACAGGTGTGTGTGAAGGAAACACTTTGGCTTAAATGTAAAGGCAGTAAGCAGGAGAGAGTAAAACTTAAAGAAGAACTCTGCATTCACCGCAGACATTTTGACAAGAACCTAAAGAAAGCAAAACGCAACTATCAACAGAAGAGAAATGATAACCAAAATCAGTTGTTAGAAGACAATGATAGAGATTTCTGGAGGGAACTGGGTAACATAGGAAGTGGTAATGAAAGAAAAACGTTTATACCGATGGAAGTCGTACAACAGGACGGTTCAGTAGCCAGAGATGTGGAGACTGTGGTAAACACTTGGGAGAGCGAATATAAGCATTTATACAACCCGACTCAGGAAGAACTTTTTACAAATAGTGTACCCAGCAGATTATCAACACCCGAAGTTAGTTCACCTGTACCTGTACTGAACTCTCCGATAACACGTGAAGAAGTAGTTAACGCCGTTAACCGTGCTAAAGTTGGAAAAGCAATGGGATTAGATAATATACCTGCCTCTGTATTGAAGAACGAAGTATGCATAGAACTTATATTCAGATTTACTTAATCATTACCTACTGTTTTGATAACGGAAAAGTGCCTGGCATCTGGAATAAAGGAAAAATAAAACCTATACCAAAACCATCAAAAGGATACCGACCCACGTGACCCTCTGAGCTACAGACCTCTCACACTATTGTCTATACCATCTAAGATATATGCCGACGTCATAAACCAACGACTGTGTAAGTACCTAGAAAACTGTGATATGTTAGTGGATGAACAAAATGGGTTTAGAAAAGGACGCTCTTGTTTGGATCATGTGTATAGTGTCTTTAGTATTGTAAGCAACAGAAAAAATAAGAAAAAAGAAACATTTACATGTTTTATTGACTTTCAAAAGGCGTTTGATACCGTTAATAGAGATTTGCTGTGGTTTAAGCTCATGGACTATGGAATATCAGGAAATATATTACAAGCTATACGTTCCCTTTATAATGACGTCACGTGTACAGTTCAAGTTAATCAGTATGAATCAAATGCCTTTCCTGTGAAGAGTGGAGTAAAACAGGGATGTGTATTATCACCAACACTTTTTGCTATTTACATCAATGACCTTGCTAATGAACTTAAAGAAAGTAACTGTGGAATAAAGATAGATGACTTAAACGTAGCTGTACTGCTCTATGCCGACGATATCGTCCTCTTAAGTCCTGACGCTAAGAGTCTACACAATCTCCTAGATATCCTTCATAGATGGAAGCAGAAGTGGAAACTGCGGGTAAATATTAAGAAGACAAACGTTTTACACTTCAGACCTCGGAACACGTCTCAGCACAACGGAAGTTTTCATTGTGGTGACAATGACCTAGATTACGCCGACAGCTACCGTTATCTTACTCTGGTTTCACGTGCATTGTGATATGCGGTATGCTGTTAGAGAACTCGTGAAGTCTGCGTCACGTGCCCTTGGATATTTAAGCCACAAGTACTTCTCGTGCGGAGATATGCACTATGACGTATTTACTAAGCTGTACGACAACATTGTTCCACCAGTCTTGATGTATTGTTCTGGAATATGGGGGATAAGTAAATATCCACAGGTATATAGTGTACAACATAGAGCATGTCGTATTTTCCTTGGGGTACAACGTAATACATGTAATCTCGCTGTGCAGGGCGACATGGGATGGACTGACCCACAGTTGAAACTTTACTTAGAAACAGCTCGTCTGTGGTGCAGGCTTGAACGTCTTCCCGTACAGAGTCTTACATATAAGATACACAAATGGTCCTTACAGTGTGGTAACTCATGGGATAAAAGAGTTCAACGAATTTTTGACAAATATGGACTTTTAGATATTTTAAGATGTAATGAAAAGAATGTAAGATGGGTTTTATCTAGAATAGAACTTTGATTCAAGTCCAATGATAATGACACCTGGCTTCAATCATTGGAAACTAAACCGAAAATGAGAACCTACAGAACATTTAAAACAGCTATTTATACAGAGCCTTATGTCCTCCTTCCCCGTTATAAAAGGTCGGCTTTGTCATCTTTAAGATGCGGTTCAAGGAAGCTCGAGATTAAATTGGGACGTTATTCTAACCCCCCCGTGCCAGTTAACCAACGTTTTTGTAAATATTGCCCTGGATGTGTAGAAGATGAAACTCACTTTCTCCTCCACTGCTCACTTTATGATGATATCCGTGTTACCCACCTTCCACAAGTATTAAACCCCACAAATGGCAACTTAAATAACCATATTGAGCTTGTATATATTTTAAATGATTATAATATTATTTCAACACTAGGTAGTATGTGCTGCAAAATGGCTGTCCGAAGAAAATCTCACTACCGATAACACCATATATATTTATATTGCTTTTTATATGTTTTTACTCAATTTGTTTTACTATGTATTATGTATGGTTTCTTATAACCAACATCGTGGGTGGCAGATATACTTAATAGTGTACTTTTATCATAATGTATGTGCCTATAACCTGTATCTCCGATGAGACAAAAATAAACAATTTGTCATTGTCATTGTCATTAATGTGATGCTTTGTCAAAGTCCTCACGCAGATCGAGCATATATAATGTACCAATGACACTTGCACTCACACGACCAACAAATTTTAATGTATTTGATATGAGTGAGTGAGTTTGGTTTAACGCTGCATTTAAGGGTATTCCAGTTATATCGCGGCGTGTTAGATTAATGTGGGAGGAAAGCCCGAAGTGATGCAGGTCTCAGACGTTTACCACTTCGGTGAAACCCACGAGCACGGGTATGGTGAGGTGAGGTGAGGTGAGGTGAGGTGAGGTGAAATTGGGTTTAACGTCGCGTCCAAGATTATTGCACTTATATAGCGACGTGCATGCACGTGTGTGTGTTTGTGTGGCTGCTTGTACTAGTCCGGACTGATGCCGATTTATAGTGCTAGCACACTGAGATACCATGCCGCAGTTTAACATGAATACCCCACTCAGAAACAGTATACTGACTCCGAGCGCCAGACAGGGTAAAAACAAGTACCATCTTTTAACGTATTTTGGTATGACGCGGCCGGGGATCGAACCCCGGAACTTCCGCTCTCCGGGCGGACGCTCTACCACTAGGCCACGGAGGCGGTCGTATTTGATATGAACCAATATATGAAACTGTATCTCACCCAGGACAGGCAGGTTGTCCCTGAAGTAGTGCATCCATGGAGCCTCCTCCACGTACTGGAGGTCCACTTTGCCCTCATAACCCAGCCGGTACAGATTGGAGGGACCCACATCCCACTTCACCCTCACTGTGGTGCCTGTCCTTCCGGCCTTGGGCTCGTCATGCATCTCAGTGATCGTACCCTTTTTTCCGCTGCCGCCTGTTAGGGCAACGTACACTGGTGTTAATATTTCATACATGTTCCACCTTGGCAATAAAAATAGTAAATAAAGAGTAGCACTGGTTTTTCGAGCTTATTTGATAGTTTCTGCATAAATAATTACAAAACTATGTCGCGTACATAGCGTTGGGATAACATTCTCCCCACTTTGTTACAGACCCGTGAACATCCGGGGTAAAATAGGTCTTCAGCAACCTATGCTTGCCGAAAAAGGCGACTATGCCTGTTGTAAGAGGCGACTAACAGGATTGGGTGGTCAGGCTTGGTTGATGCATGTCATCGATCCCAATTGCGTGGATCGATGCTCATGATATTAATCACTGGGTTGTCTGGTCCAGACTCGATTATTTACAGACCGCCATCATATAGCTGGAATATTGCTGAGTGCGGCGTTAAACAACAAAACAACCAACCATTTTGTTACCGATGCAATTTTGAATATCAACAGGTTTGTTTTGTTGACTGATTGGTTGGAGACATGGTTGGTTGTATCACTGACGTACCGTCTTGATTCCCCCAGTTCCAGTCCTCTCCCCTCACAACCCTGGCCCCGGGGTAGAGCCCGAGAGAGCGTAACATCAGAGAAGTCGTTCTTTTGTTTACCTCAACTCTGAAACGATGCATTCCAGTAGTAGCCTAGTGGTTAAAGCGTTCGCTCGTCACGCCGAAGACCCGGGTTCGATTCCCGACATGGGTACAATGTGTGAAGCCCATTTCTGGTGTCCCCCGCCATGATATTGCTGGAATATTGCTAAAAGCGGCGTAAAACCATACTCACTCACTCCAATAGGAGATAAATACAGCATCAGTGTATGCAGTAATAACTGATAATTTTACTGAGTGAGTGAGTGAGTTGGGTTTCACGCCGCTTTTAACAGTATTCCAGTTATATCACGGCGTGTCAGCTTAATATGGGAGGAAAGCCCGAACTGATGCAGGTCTCGTTTACCACTTCGGTGAAACCCACGAGCACGCGTAATTGGGGCGAACCGGGATTCGAACCCACAATCATAGGTTTCTGGCGTGTGATAATTTTACTGAAATGCCGATGTTTCAAATGTTTCAAACGTCAACATCAGTGAATAAGCAGTCTCGAATATCTGCCGAAACAGATCCACAGATTATAATAGGCAAGATATTGATGAACATTATATGAGTGAGTGAGGTTTTACACCGCTTTTAGCAATATTCCAGCAATATCACGGCGGGGACACCAGAAATGGGCTTCACACATTGTACCCATGTCGGGAATCGAACCCGGGTCTTCAGTGTGACGAGCGGACGCTTTAACCACTAGGCTACCCGACCGCCCCGAACATCATATGAACAGATAACGAATTCTTATATATACATGTATATAAACTGCAAAGAATAAGTATACACCCATGTTTGAGGATGACTACATGTGAAAGAAGGAAAACATGGTTATTCGATGGTTTTGATATTGGTTGCATGTGGTTGCTTTTAGCCTGGTAACATTTTAATAGCGTTGTGATTGTAGAAAATAAACGATATGTCTACGATTTTCAGACTATGAATGCCGAGGTCGGCCAGATTGGATGCTAGGGCAACGTTCCTCATCATTCAAATTATGGATTGTGCTTTTCAGTAAAACCAAACCACATTGCAAAATTGTGGTTATCTGCCATCGTTTCCAGTTGACATCAAGACATTCCCCATACCCGGTATCCCCAGGGGTGTCGTGACGAAGGAACACGTGACTTGTGTTGTGCCTTTCTGTTGAGTAACACATTGAACACAGATTTGTCGTGGTGCATTGTTTACACGCCCATCTCGTGCCGTAGAAGTCCGTTGTGTCACAGCCCTCACACGTGACACCCTCGTGACGTATTCCTGAAATTAGATATTTTACATGCTAGAACTTTGCAATGAAAGTGAGAAAAACATGTTCATGAGAAGTATTTGCTGAGAGCAGAGTTACTTGTACGATTATTTCATTAGCAGTGATCGAGTGACTGAGTGAGTGAGTGAGTTGGGTTTAACGCCGCTTTTAACAGTATTACAGTCACATCACGGCGTGTCAGCTTCATGTGGGAGGAAAGCCCGAAGTGATGCAAGCCTCAGACGTTTACCAGTTCGGTGAAACTCATGAGCACGGGTATGGTGCTGACACACCTAGAAACATAATTAGGGCGAACCGGGATTCGAACCCACAATGAAAGGTTTCTGGCGTGCCCAAGGGACGCAACTCTGCACGGCGAATCGCGGCGCCTTAGACGATTGGGCCACCCGTGCCCCCTCCTATGCTTGTACAAGGCGACTAAATTGATGGGGTTACAAGGTAGGTTGACTTGGTTAATTGCGTGTCATCTTGCCCCGATGTTGTGGAAAGTTGCTCGTACTATCAATCACGGAGTTAAATGCAGGCCACCTTCATATTGCCGGAACATTGCGATGTCAAACAAACAAATTAGATCCCCACCTGTCGTCCCAGAGTCGAGGATTCTCAGGTCATGTTTGCCGTCTTTCCCTGCTCTACACGTCGTTCTCTGACCACCGTCCCAAATGACGTCAACACGACCTGCGCCCTCTTGTGCCACAACAGTACCCACGTGACCTTCACCTCCATCACTCTCTGCGCTGGACCAATCAGGACCTCGCACAACTCGGAGACCCTGGTACATTATGCTGTCATGTGCCTTCCTTCCTGTTTGAAATACGAAAGAATATCAAAAAAGATACTAAATATAAGCGACAAAAGCGATGTCCATGATCATTAGAAGATTCTATTGTACGATTTGGATTTTAGTAGCAGGGGTTTATGAATGCGAAATAATGTTTCCGTATTCGACGTAATTAGCGCTCAGGGCGCTCTCAAAATTCGAAATAGGGGGCTCTTATTAGAATATTATTTTGGTGAAATAAAACAGTTGAAAGATAAATTTCGTGGTTTATGCTGACAGCCTGAAATATTTATATACGAGAGAAACATTTTTCCAGAATTTAATTGCCCATAATTAAGGGTGCATATAACACACGAGTGCGTATTATACGCGAGATAAATAAGTGTTGTGTACATTAATCAATCGGAAGGGGTGCTAATTATAATTGGTATTTCTCACTAGCCAATATATATGCATATATCGCCGTTGGCGCATATTAGAGCGGGGCGCTTATTTCGTCGAATACGGTAATTGTTAACACTAACTGCGCATGCTACATCAATTGTTCCTGTTGAAATTGAGGAAAAGTGGTCAGCAAGTGAAGTGTGTGTTATTGTGAATAATCAATTTATTTATAACAAAGGTTATATTTGGGATAAACACTTTCTTAGTAAAGTACAGACTCTCGTACTTTCGGGGGGGGGGGGGGGGGGTTGAGTCCCGTTCGGGATTTGAACCCACACCGCCAGAGAAAGCCCGACAACTGGTAGTCTTGATCACGTACTTTATGTACCCCTCTGAAAAGTGTAAATTGGCCTGGGTCACATGGCCGAAAGTTATGGACACACAATGCCTTTCAGAAAGTGATCAAATGTAACAAAAGTACACACAGTAGGTGGTCTACCCGTTGTCGGACTTTCATTTTTGTGGAAGCCTCGGTGGCTGAGTGAGTTAGATGGCTGACTTTGTGTGCCTCACTCTGGGGGCCTGGGTTCGAATCCCGAACGGGTCTCAACCCCCAAAAGTACGAGAATCTGTACTTTACTAAGAAAGTGTTTTCCCAATTATAACACTTGTTACATTTGACCACTTTCTAAATGGCATTATGTGTTCACAATCATAATTTTGTAATTTGAATGTTAGAATAAAAAACCCGTGTTCGCTTATATGCTTTTCAGCCGTTATTTACAAGTGATACTTCCACCATGGACTGCAATAATCGCAATTTCATTTACATGAGTCAGCATATTAAACAAGAGTAATAATTAATAAGTAATAAGGCTATAGCTAACCACTGTGTACACAATAAAAACCAAAGCCTCCCATGAAATATCATTTGTCCTAATATATATCTCAGTGTGAGAAACCCAAAACACAGTTGAACATATTTCGTATGTGATTTTTGTTGCACACGTCTCGAGTGAGTGAGTATGGTTTTACGCCGCTTTTAGCAATATTCCAGCAATATCACGGCGGGGGACACCAGAAATGGGCTTCACACATTGTACCCATGTCGGGAATCGAACCCGGATCTTCGGTCTGACGAGCGAACGCGTTAACCACTAGGCTACCCGAGCGCCCCTCACACGTTTCGAGATGCATGTCGAGTGTTTCTGAGATCCTGATATGTATCATTAAACGGAAAGAGAAACCAGGGTACATGCACTTTTTTCCTTAATGCACACTTAAATTTAATGCTGTTAAGCATGCATTCTAAGGCAAATGATAGCGATTTACCAACATGCATAGAAACCAAACTGACCTGATATGTATGAAACATCGGATACTGTAATCACAGGATATGTATCACCACAAAGAGAGCAAAGATCACTGGCGTTAACATAACCTACACCATCATCATCATAATCATCATTATCATCATTTTAGGGTTTTACGTCCATTTCTGAGAAGTCCAAAATGTGGAATCTGATCACTGACGAGCAAACGGGTTGCTAACATTAAGATTTAGTCATACGAAACAATGCACCCTTACGACTTGGTAACATCCAGGAAACTTAAACCATACACTGGTAAGCAAACAAGTTATGGTACACCCTATGTTATACAGGATGTTATGCATACAGTCGGAAACAGAGATGCGACAGCTGTGCACGATATATAAGCATTCATAGACATATTTAATATATATATATGAAGTTTCGTGTGGTTATTCGCCATATTCCTAATCAAATAACGTACCTGAACACGATAATAACGACTGTCCCAATGTTATTCGCTGATGACGTGCGGCTATAAATAGCTGCACTGGGAAAAACATAGATTCGCTTTGAGTGCTATTTATAGAAGCAGAGCAGTCCGTATTCCTTGTCGTTTCAGTTGAGCTTGTCGTGGTACAACGCGGTGCATCGAAAGCGAAAATAGCCATGAGCCGTACAGTGAACACGGAAGAGACCACTTAGAACTCGTGGGGATAACTCTAGTTCTAATCCAAACTTGGACTAGTCACTTGTTTTCGGAATATTTTAAGTCAGTGGGCAAATATGATCAAAATAATAAAGAAACATGAATTGAGGTCACCCCCTTAAATGATCGGTAAGTGAAATAAAAGAAATATTATTTTGATTAAAAATTAAAAGCCTACCCTTGCTATATGAACATAAGGAAGTAGCAATAATGTTTAAATTTCTATTTCTGATTTATACTGGGTCGGTGGATGTCTAACAGAGTAGTTACTGAAAAAATGAAACAACCTATTTTATTATTAACATAATGAATATAGGGTCCCAATATAGCAACATTTCTTAGTGGTAAAAAAATAGGATATTAGGATGCCTTTGTGAGTGAGTGAGTATGGATTTACGCCGCTTTTAGCAATATTCCAGCAATATCACGGCGGGGGACACCAGAAATGGGCTTCACACAATGTACCCATGTCGGGAATCGAACCCGGGTCGAGCGAACGCTTTAACCACTAGGCTACCCGACCGCCCCAGGATGATCTTTGTGTTCTCTGCGCATCTCTCTCGCGGTACAGCCGAGAATGAAAGACTCTAAGTCAAAGATACGGCATTACACTTCAAACAAAGAGTGAATTAATTCCCATTTTACAACAGGTCGCGTATTATTAGGAAAAAGGGAATAGGAGTAGAGCCCAAACGTCCTGCTATGACCTCGCTACATTGTAACATCGATATCGTTGCGTGCACCGTCAAGGGAATGTCGCTGCGCGTTAGTAATTGAGGAGTTATACATAAATGTGAACTCAGAAAATTTTACACAAATCAAATAAATTATTTTGTTTTGCTTTATTTTATCTATATGTGTTGAAACTGTTTAAAAAATAAATATTTCAATCATACTTTTAAAAAAACTGTCGACACAGTGAGTGATTTTCCTGTGCCTCTACAGTTGAGTGTGAATTTGGCGCTGAAGATAATAAGCGCGCCTTGCACAACAGAATGCACACTAACCGATTCTTTTGTAAACTGGAACGATAGATATTATTTAAATACCCCACTTTAATGAAGTTAAATCCTCTGGCAGACATCCTGATCAAGATTTTTTCAAGATCCTGTAGCATGTTTTGTAACTCGCAGTGAAACGTTTTCATTTTTATGAATCCGTGAGTTTCATCCTGTCATTGTCATGTATTTCCTCTCATTGTTATATTGTAAGTACGTAGGCGTAACGTTAGTCCAACATTGTTGATATAGCCTACACTGGGCTTCACACTATTGGGTGACCATAGCACATCGAACGCCCTTAACATGGTCGCTTTTTACACTCACATCACTGGTATCTGTATGGTAAATGTGGTGGTGGTAGTGAAATGGGGTTTAACGTCGCGTCCAAGATTATTGCACTTTTGTAGCGACGTGCATGTACGTGTGTGTGTTTGTGTGGCTGCTTGTACTAGTCCGGACTGATGCCGATTTATAGTGCTAGCTCACTGAGATACCATGCCGCAGTTTTACATGAATACCCCACTCAGACACAGTATACTGACTCCGAGCCGACCAGTCCTTGTTTTAGCCCCTTAATGCCGAGCGCCAGACAGGGTAACAACAAGTACCATCTTTTAACGTCTTTTGGTGTGACGCGGCCGGGGATCGAACCCCGGGCCTTCCGCTCTCCGGGCGGACGCTCTACCACTAGACCACGGAGGCGGTCGTATAGTAAATGTAAAGTTGTCCCCTGTGTATTGTGAGCGAGTGTCAATCACCGCTTCGTACATACTTATCTTCTATGGAATACATGTGAAGGACGTTTCCAAATTAGATGCATTTGCAGTGAATAAAACTCCCAAAAATTTCAGTCGGATAACCGGAATGGCAACTTTGCAAGATTACCAAACCAGATAATATAAAATGTTGCCAGTCCAGAATTTTCTAGACTGGCGAACAAAAGTAACAAAGGGAAAGCATAAGAATAGTACTGTTTAATGTTAGTTCTCAGAAAATAACAATAAACTGGTGGATTGTCAACATAGTAACTTTATCAAACTCCCGACCATCGGACGTGCAACTTTTCAAAAATGGCCGCCCGTCAGCAAAATAGACCGTCTCAGACTGTCGGGCAGGCGGGTTTTCTAAACACTGGCATTTGTGATAAAATTTATGTCCGAAGCAACTCCCTATTTTGACTTATACCATATGCTCCGGTGCCTTTTGGGTTAACAGTTGCCTTGCCTTTGCATGTGTTTGTGACGGGTGCCAATGGTGGTACAGGATTCGCTCATCTTTTAGCGAACACCTGGTATCATCACTATTTGAGAGTGATTCATAAACAATTGCTCATGACACAGTCGGAATCGTACAATGGACTCTGCTGTTGGCATTTATGTCTTATGGCCACGGAAAGGATTTTGTCACTTTTACTTCAACAGAAGTGTGATTTACACATGAACGACCACTGTGTTAACCTGCTGATGATTGTAGGGTTGGTCTACAAACGTATATGTGGCAGGCAAATCACTGCGAGAGCTACGTCAGTTTCTTTTCTCATTCCGTAACAATGACGTCACGATGACGAGTCACCTTGGGCGAGTGAATTTGGTCCATATACGCCTCTGCTCACCCATCAGCGAATAGTGATAGTGATTAGGTTGGTTTGTTGTTTTACGCCGCACTCAGCAAAATTCCAGCTATATGACGGCGGTCTGTAAATAATCGAGTCCAGACAATCCAGTGGTTGATATCATGAGCATCGATCCACGCAATTGGGATCGATGACATGTATCAACCAAGTCAGCGAGCCTGACCGCCCGATACCGTTATAATAAGTCGCCTCTTACAACAAGCAAAGTCGCCTTCTACGGCAAGCATGGGTTGCTGAAGACCTATTCTACCCCGGATCTTCACGGGTATGAAAGGATGGGATTGTATTGTGAATATTAACTTTTCATATAAATCTATGTTCTTACAAAAGCCTTTTGACAAGTTTGACGTCGTGTTTGTCAACCCTGAGTAATATTTTGTTGTTGTTGTTGTTTTGTTTGTTGTTTAACGCCGCACTCAGCAATATTCCAGCTATATGACGGCGGTCTGTAAATAATCGAGTCTGGACCAGACAATCCAGAGATTGACATTATGAGCATCGATCCGCGCAATTGGGATCGATGACATGCATCAACCAAGTCAGCGAGCCTGACCACCCGATCCCGATAGTCGCCTTTTACGACAAGCATTATCGCCTTTTACGGCAAGTATGGGTTGCTGAAGACCTATTTTACCCCGGAATCTTCACGGGTCAAAACGTAAAGAAACGTTGAGTAGATTACATGTGTCTTGCAAGATATGACAAGCGTATAGACTAGTAGGTAAACTTGATTCCCATTAATGTGCTTGAAAACTAGCATGTATAAAAATGTACATTACTGACATTATGGTAGTGATTTGAACGCATATTATCGTCACGTGTCGATTCCCAAATTGAAAGAATATGTTAACCCAGAAATCTGTATGACCAGGTACAGTATGTAAAAGAACTTGTGTGAACAAACAACCAACAAATGGAAAACAATCAACAATTGTATAATAAATTAACTTTTACAATGGCGGTACACGATTTAATATTATGACAGTTGTCACTATCTACAAATATACAGTGGTGATAAATCTCGGGAAAAGGAGATATTATCTCCTTCCCCCTTGTCCCTCGATGAGAGAAACAGGATATTTCACTCGACACATGAAATATCCGCCATATAACCTACATAAGAGTCACTAAATGGGGAAGGCTACCGTGAAGGGACCACGTGGTCGGTCACCGTTTAGGAGCAATCAACTGAGGTAAAATGTGTGTGCTGTATGAGTGAAAAAAGACTTACTTGTAACGTATGGACTGTAACAATTATGAAATCTGTCAATTAAAGCCTTTAAAAATGAAATTGTTTAGAGGTATCATAAAAGTACCACATAGTCGGACGCATGTGTTTCCAGCATGAGTGTGAGTGAGTGAGTTTGGTTTTACGCCGCTTTTAGCAATATTCCAGCAATATCACGGCGGGGGACACCAGAAATGGGCTTCACACATTGTACCCATGTCGGGAATCGAACCCGGGTCTTCGGCGTGATGAGCGAACGCTTTAACCACTAGGCTACCCGACCGCCCCTTTTTCCAGCATGAAGTGAGCGCAGAGACGTCTCAGAACAGGGAGAGAAAGCAATATTTTACGTTCGCTTCATCGGGCACCGTTCATCAAACCTCACAGCGTCACATCGATCGCGATCTGTTTCTTACTGCCCCACATATGCTCCGACAATGCTTCCGGTGGAGGTTCATTGGACTCACCATTTGATTTGGTTGGTTGGTTTGTTGTTTAACGCCGCGCTCAGCAATATTCCAGCTATATGACGGCGGTCTGTAAATAATCGAGTCTGGACAAGACAATGCAATGATTAATATCATGAGCATCGATCCGCGCAATTGGGATCCATGACCAAGTCAGCGAGCCTGACCACCTGATCCCGTTAGTCGCCTTTTACGACAAGCATAGTCGCCTTTTAGGGCAAGCATGGGTTGCTGAAGACCTATTCTACCCCGGATCTTCACGAGTCCTCACCATTTGAACATAAATAATATGCAATATATATGATATGTTCACGGCAGTGCGACTGGAAAACATTGTCTTAAATAATAGCAATTATGGCTTTAAAAAAAATAATAAACGTTCTGCTAAATATCATGTTCGTATCACGACCAAATGGTCCCTTTAAATTAAAAGATGTATTTTGTCTCTTGCATCTTTCTCTATATAAAACAAATACAAATTTGTCGTAGAAATAAGTATCTGCCTGTATGAGAAACAATAACAATTGTTAAGGTGGTATTCCATACTGGTTATGGATAATGGGAGTCCAGGTTCTTGACGTCAGCTTGATAATAAAATGTTTGTCCTTTCAATTGCATACTCATCTTAAATGCATCCATTTTATCAACAAATAAATTATGTAATTAACAAAATCCAAGTTGTTCAGTCCATGGGCACAATATTTTTTGCGAGTATTGTGTTTTATCATTGGGAGTTGATTACGTTTAATACAAAACTGACGGTCTTAGTTATAACGAAACCACTTAGACCATTACGCATGCGCGCGTTGTTTAAGCTGTGTTTTACGTTTTTCAATTTAGCAAGGTTATACCTTTGCTAATAACAAGATATATGCCGATGAGCACACGGTAACGTTTTCATAATTATTGTTTTCTGGTAAAAAGAAAACAGCAACAATGTCAGCACACGTTTCCTCACTTAAACAGATTTCTCAAATTCCCATCATACTATCTTTGACAAGGCACTACACCGTCAGTTTTAAAGCCTTTTAAAGCTTCCCCAAATATATAAGCGACAATTCGCTTCCATAATCATAAGAAATATCCATTGTTCGATTCCCACAACATCCTAAATATCTGTTTATGAATCACTATCAAATAGTGATGACAACAGGTGTTCGCGAAAAGGTGAGAGTGTCCTGCACACCAGTAGCATCCGTCATAAACACATGCAAAGGCAAGTCGAGTACATTATGTCAAAATAGGGATCTGCATCGGACATCACTTTTGTCGCTATTGCTTCAAATTTGAATTCTTCCATAAAAAGATTTTGAAAGCTTATACCAAGGCCTTGAAGGCTGTAATACTGAACGAACAAAGCCTGAGCAAGCGTCATATGTAAAAAGCCTTTTAAAAAGCTACGACTTTCTTGTTAATGCAAAAGACGAAACACATCGTCCCACTGTCGTAAAAGGCGACTAACGGGATCGGGTGGTCAGGCTCGCTGACGTGGTTGATGCATGTCATCGATCCAAATTGCGTGGAACGATGCTCATGATATTAATCACTGGATTGTCTGGTCCAGACTCGATTATTTACAGACCGCCGTCATATAGGTGGAATATTGCTGAGTGCGGCGTTAAACAACAAAGCAACCAACCAACCAATCATATATGCAGAAGGCAGAGGGATAATTGTCGCTCAGTGAACCCAAGGCCCATATGTGAATCCATTTTTTGGTGTATACGTGCCTTGATATTCATGGAATATTGCTTAAAGCGGCGTAAAACAATACTCAGTCATTCAAGCAGTAAAACGAGTATGCTGTACATGATTTGATCCAGCAATAGTTTAATTTAAGTTGTGTTTATTACTAAATGTATTTACCTGTAGATGTCAGTAGCGGTTTTTTTTTTGGGGGGGGGGGGGGGGGGGGGGGGGGGGGGGGCTACTGCTTCAGAGAAGGCAATCTATTTTTTCAAGGAAAGTAGAAACCGTACACACAAGTTTTTACAACATTTGTTTTATGAGCACAAAGATCCAACGATCAGGGGTGTAGCTTTGGAAAAATAAAATGTAAGCAATCATGTTGAAGTACAATTGTTTTAAACACTTATCCCGCTTCCCTTAAGAACTGTAGCAAACACAACAACATCGAACCACTCATCAACGACATTTTTCACTCTGGTATCAGAGTCAACCTGTACATTCTTGTAACTATAACAAACAACTGAAGGTAGAACAACTATAACAAACAACTGAAAGTAGAACAACTATAACAAACAACTGAAAGTAGAACAACGATAACAAACAACTGAAAGTAGAACACACTGCAGTACATTCTTTTAAAACTTGGACTAGATCTTTTTGTAACGATTTCAAAGTGTGAACAATTGCTTTTTGTACCAGATAGAAGCTACGCCACTGACGTATAATTCTTTCTGTTAGTTAAAACCTGAGCATAAAATATAATATTTAATAAAATCCATGCCCCTTCTTTTGGGCAAAACGCAAATAGTTGAACACAATAAGAGGAAGAAAAGGTCTAGTGAATGAGGATGGGGAGTGTGTCGGAAATTGATTGTTTTGCCCAGCCCCTCCGGACCTCGAAGAAACATAGACAGCTCCTTTACTTATATCCAGTACGGAGAAGAAATGCCAAAAAAGGGTGTAGGTAATTTGCATGTCACATTCGCCATATTACGATCAATACTGGTATTGCACGGCTGTTCTTCACGTTGCATGTTACCATATTAATCAAATCGGTCATTTATTGATAATGAATTGTACAGTGAAGAATCAAATCCAATGCGGCTTTAAGTTTTAGAATATTATCAAGCAAAATGAATTGCGCAATCCGTAGCGATCAATGTTTCCTTTGCCACGCGATGATTTCAAAGGGAGATAACTCTGTTGATCATAGCGAATTGATCATGTCAAAGCATTGCACTTCACAAAGCTGAGTGAGGCGTTAAACAACCAAATAACCAACCAAAACAGTCACGCACGCACGCACGCACGCGCGCACATTTGCTGACACTATGGCCGAGTCCTGTTTCTGAGGACTGCATCCGATATGCACGTGGTGGTGTGATTTATATTGTGAAGAAACTGTTCATCCCCAGGTAGAATATGCTCGGCACCTTCGGGATAGAATGGCTTCGTGTCGAACTTATAAACGGACCAGAAAACGTACATGGCCACTCCAATGGAGAGGATGCTCAGAAGGCCTATGGTCAATATTATTTTCTCTACCCTGGTCTGTGTGAGCGCAGCAAGGACAAACATGTGATCCCGTGACGCCTCGTCATTTTCCATGTTTTCCTGGAGTTTGCCTATTCCCAACACATAGTTGAACACTCTCCTGGCAATACTCTGAGGGGCTGTGGAAAAAGTAGAAACAATTCGCATAGTCAATTAATGTAATTTCTGATTGATTTTTCTGCTTAATACAAATCTACACTCTTCAAAAAAAGAAGCGCACAGGTACATTTTTGGTAAATTTATTGTACCTAATAAAGTCGATATATTTGATTTAATATCATAGATACAAATATGAAATTTTGAAGTTCGATAGTCACATGACACGATAAACACGTTGTCTTCCATCTCGCCGGTGAAGTAGAAATCGTGATTCATCGCTTAACCAAACTCATCTCCATTTTCTCAAATTCCAAGGCTGTATCGGCACCAACGCAAATGTCGCTGTCGATGAATCTGTTTCAAAACGGGGACGGTAACTGGTCTCCTGGGTCGGATTCCAGCCTCGCGAAGATGGTTCCTGACAGTCTGGTCCGATATCCTCCTCAAACCAGGGATGCGTACTGCAGTCTCCGTCGCTGTTGCACTGCGATGACGTGGGTGGAACAGTCGAATGTAGCGATCCTGTGCAGGGGTGGTAACTCTTGGTCGGCCGGTTCTCGGACGGTCTGCAGTGAAACTGAACTGTGTGTATCGGACCCAAAGGCGGCAAATGTTGATGTGGTGGACGTTGAAGTGGCGTGCAACAGAAGACTGCGATTCCCCTCTTTGGATACGTCCTATGGCGATGTTCCGATCGGCAGCGCTGAGTCTCGGCATTTTCGAACTTGAAAAATTTGTTTTACTGTTTTCCTCCATGACATTTTTGAACAAGTCTGAAAGCCGTTTTAGACTCTGCAAATTGACAATGGCTGCAGTTTTGACGCACCGGTTGTCGAATATCAGGCTACCAACATTTCCTAATAACCAGATTCTTTGTGTAGTCAGTTTTAATGATCTACATACTACCTGTGCGTTTCTTTTTTTGAAGAGTATATTCTATCCGAGTCATGTTGGGGACATGAGTGGTTGGGCTGGGTCGGGTAACTTGCATTGCAATTGGGTACTCGGGTCGGGTGGGTACTGAGTAGGCCCCGGGTACCCACAGGACTACCCGGACACGTGGTAAGTCACGTGATATATTGTTTCATGACAAAAATTCACTATATAACTACAGGGTTACACGACAATTTTAAGTCTCTAATGTTCGCATTTCTTCATGACTATGAACACGTTCCTTCTGACTAATGTATGTTTGAACAAAGCTGGAACTTCAGTCAACTTCAGTGTATGCATGACCACATCGTTGTATACGTGTCTCTATATACATTTTGTCAGGGCTACTGTCAAACTATTCCCAATCGGACATTTTGTACCTATCTCTTGACACCAACAGCGGGTACCCGGGTAGGGTCGGGTATTAGGGGTGTTGGTACCCGGGTAGTAAATTTGGACAAGTCCCAGCCCTAATGAGTGGTTACTTGTATAACTGAGAGTCATGTGATCTGTACCACGAACCATAACGCATGTATCAAATTGGCAATTGAAAAGCTGCATGAAGAGACGAAATCATCAAAATGCAATGGTTATTTGGACACTGCGGCCACACGGGAGATGCTCAGTCCCTTTGCAAAATGTATTAGATATTCCAGAGACAATATGGGTATATGGTCTGTGGATATTCCCACTGATATTTGTTGTTTTTTATGTTCTTTTAACACACTGAGTCAGTGAGATAACATTCACGTTGTATCATCACACACACAGACTATGTTGTGGTGAGTGAGTGGATGAGTTGGGTTTAACGCCACTTTTACCAGTATTCCAGTTATATCGCGGCGTGTCAGCTTAATGTAGGAGGAAAGCTCGAAGTGATGCAGGTGTCAGACGTTTACCACTTCGGTGAAACCCACGAGCACGGGTATGGTGCTGACAAACCTAGAAACATAATCGGGGCGAACCGGGATTCGAACCCACAATCATAGGTTTCTGGCGCGACCAAGGGACGCAACTCTGCACAGCGAATCGTGGCGCCTTACACGACTGGGACACCCGTGCCCCCCTATGTTGTGGTAGTGGTAAATTGTGTTAAGTCGTAATCACCTGTTGTTTCTACGGGAAGCAGGTCGCCACACGTCTCTACCATGTCATTCTCGGCAGTCGCCAGGGGAGCAGTATTGTCATGTGGCGTTATGGAATTAGCTTCGTGGCAGCCAGCGGCGTTGATCATCTCCTGGTCAACATTAATGCCCTGACTACCGTCGGCGTACGCTTTGCATTTGTTGAGGTAACTCCACAGGGTTGTGTTCCGCAACTGGGGAAAAAGCGAATGTCCTGTACGCAACTTTGATCATGGTAGAGTTAGTCATTTCGTGTGTGTGTGTGTGTTTGTGTGTGTGTGTGTGTGTGTGTGTTTGTGTGTGTGTGTTAATGGAAATAAATGGAAATGTTAATGTTTCTTTGAAAGTCCATATTTCTGCAAACAACATATCAGACGTACAATCAAGATCTTATGCAAAAGGCACTTTTAACAGGGACACATTTTTACTATTTGTTCGCGAGTGCATGAAACTTACATTGCGACGTCCCGTGTGTGCGTGTGTGTGTGCGTGTGCGTGTGCGTGTGCGTGTGCGTGTGCGTGTGCGTGTGTGTGTGTTAGCTAGTTCGGATTTACGCCGGTTTTATAGTGCCAGCCAACTGAACAACTGAAATAATATGCCACAGTTAACATGGATGCCCCACTCTGACACAGTGTACTGTGTTATAGCCACTAAAAGACAGGAAAAAAACAAGTACCATCTTTCAACGCCTTTTGGTATTACGGAGCCGGGGATCGAACCACCAACCTTCCGTTCTGACAGGCGTTCTGTCCACTTGACCACGGGGGCGGTTTAATGTATAATGATGGAAGTCGTTAAAATTTGCTACTAATCTGTTCTAAACTCACGCAATTCTCTGGTGGAGGCGGTGTCACATAACTGATGACAAGGGCTATCAGACCAGTGGACAGGAAGAGGAACAGGGCGAAGTACATGTAGTGCATGTTCCTCACAAGTGCCGGCATTATGGAGGTAGATGGCGCTCCACAGTAGCCTTCTCCCTGGAAGGACAGGACCAGGAACAGACGCACCACCCCGACCAGGAAGGCGTACATCAGAGACCAGAACACTCCCTGCAAGCAGTGCCTCTTATGGTCACCACAGTTTCCAGAACAAAGAGTCATATGCCCTGTACTCCCCTCGTTCCTACTGAATTCGAGGAGGAAGGATGTTTTGGGTGAGATTTGGGTGACAGTGAGTGAGTCAACAGGAAAATGGTATTTAGTCAACAGGAAAATGGTATTTAGTCAACAGGAAAATGGTATTAAGTCAACAGGAAAATGGTATTAAGTCAACAGGAAAGTGTCACTAAGTCAACAGGAAAATGGTATTAAGTCAACAGGAAAATGGTATTTAGTCAACAGGAAAATGGTATTTAGTCAACAGGAAAATGGTATTTAGTCAACAGGAAAGTGTCACTAAGTCAACAGGAAAATGGTATTTAGTCAACAGGAAAATGGTATTTAGTCAACAGGAAAATGGTATTAAGTCAACAGGAAAATGGTATTAAGTCAACAGGAAAGTGTCACTAAGTCAACAGGAAAATGGTATTTAGTCAACAGGAAAATGGTATTAAGAAAATGGCTCAAGGTAAACATGATGACATATGTACAAAGAGCACACCTTTTCATTGACTCTGGGAACCAGCACAGCCAGAAGAAACACAGCAGCGAAGGGTGGGGTGAAGTAGTTGGTTATCTCCCTGAGGTAGACGAACAGCTGACCTCTCTGGGTTTCCTTAATCACGGGTACCCATGTTATAGATACCGCAACCATTATCACAATAAACACCCTGCAGTGACAACACATCAGAACTTGGATAAAACTACAAACGAAATTGAGGAACGAAAAACAGCATGATACTCTCCCTAGTGATATATCTGACTGAAGACGTTCTTTAAAGGTCCTTTCTTGTCCATATTATTCGTAATTCTTTAAAGTAGTTTATGTAAGTCATTGAGGGCAAGGTGAGGGTTCGAAAGTACGCTGCTTTCAGCGATCTTATAGTTAGACCACAGCAGTCAGTAAGTAACCGATTCTCACATATCAGTGATAGCAAATGTCAGCCTCCTCATGATGGGAAATGACGGGTACGAATATGGCAAATATTATGGGAATCTGTCACCTATTTGTTCTCTACATATCTGGTATAGGGTGTACAATCACCTGCCAACTAGCATCTGTTCCGTAACTGATGCCGCCTTTCTGATCCGCTTCCATATGTCAATGGTGAACAGCGTACTAGCGCTGTTGAAGATAGAATCAAGGTCACTCATGAGGGCTGCTATAATAACAGCCATCATCAGCCCTCGGGCACCTGTGTGAAGACAAAAGGAACTCATTCTCAGATAGGTGAGGTGAGGTGAAATTAGGTTTAACGTCGCGTCCAAGATTATTGCACTTATATAGCGACGTGCATGCACGTGTATGTGTGTGTGGCTGCTTGTACTAGTCCGGACTGATGCCGATTTATAGTGCTAGCTCACTGAGATTCCATGCCGCAGTTTAACATGAATACCCCACTCAGACACAGTATACTGACTCCGAGCCGACCAGTCCTTGTTTTAGACCCTTAATGCCGAGCGCCAGACAGGGTAACAACAAGTACAATCTTTTAACGTCTTTTTGTATGACGCGGCCCGGGATTGAACCCTGGACCTTCCGCTCTCCGGGCGGACGCTCTACCACAAGACCACGGAGGCGGTCTTCTCAGATAGGCAATCACATGCCCCCAAAAGGTACCTGCTTCGACAAGAGGAAACACTTCGTCACACAGACAGACCATATTGTCATCAAAGGCACCCGTGAAAACAAGACTAGAGACATCGTCATGCACAGATACACTCTTCAAAAATAAAAAAAACACAGGTAGATTTTTGGTAAATTTATTGTACCCAATTAAGTCGATATATTTAATTTAATATCATAGATACAAATATGAAATTTTGGAACTCGATCGTCACATGTTGTCGTGGTACAAAGTGAGTGAGTGAGTATGGTTTTACGCCGCTTTTAGCAATATTCCAGCAATATCACGGCGGGGGACACCTGAAATGGACTTCACACATTGTACCCATGTCGGGAATCGAACCCGGGTCTTCGGCGTGACGAGCGAACGCTTAAACCACTAGGCTACCCGACCGCCCCGTGGTACAAAGGCATTGAACACTGTTCATTGACGTGCACGTCGATCGACTTCTTCCCAGAGGTGTTCGATTGGGTTGAGATCTGGAGATCTCGACGGCCAGGGCAAGCCTTGGATGTTGGCATTATGAAGCTAGTCTGCCGTGACACTTGCTTTGTGCGGTGGAGCGTTGGCCAGTTGAAACTGCTCCCTCTGGCGATCAATGATTAGAAGAAGTTGAGGTTGAAGAATTTGATTCATGTAGCGATATGCCGTCAAGTTTGCCTGAACCAAAACCAAGTCTGATCTCGTGCTGTAGGATATGCCCCCCACACCATGACCCTACCGCCACCGAAATTGTCGACTTCACGTACATAATGTGGGGCAAAAAAGCTAAATTTCGACGACGATAAACACGTTGCCTTCCGTCTCGCCAGTGAAGTAGAAATCGTGATTCATCGCTAAACCATATTCGTCTCAAGTTTCTCAAATTCCAAGGGTGTATAGGCACCAACGCAAATGTCGCTGTCAATGAATCTGTTTCAAAACGGGGACTATAACTGGTCTTCTGGGTCGGATTCCAGCCTCGCGAAGATGGTTCCAATACCCTCCTCAAACCAAGGATGCGTCCTGCAGTCTCCGTCGCTGTGGCATTGTGATGACGTAGGTGGAACAGTCGAATGTAGCGATCCTGTGCAGGGGTGGTAACTCTTGGTTGGCGGTTCTGGGACGGTCTGCATCGGAATTGAACTGTATGATCGGTCATAAAGGCGGCACATGGTGATGTGGTGGACGATGAAGTGGCGTGCAACAGAAGACTGCGATTGCCCTCTTTGGATACGTCCTATGGCAATGTTCCCATCGTTAGCGCTGAGTCTCGACATTTTCGAACTTGAAAAATGTTGACAATTGAATGACAAATTATTGGCACATGCTTGCCTTTTTATGCCATAACTTGCACGTGCATTTTGCTTTACTGTTTTCCTCCAAAACTTTTTTTAACAAGTGTGAAAACAATGCCGTTTAAGACATTGCAAATTGACAATGGCTACCAACATTTTCCAATAACATATATCCAATTTATATACCGGATTTTGTTTGTATCAGGTTCAATGATCTACGTACGACGTATGCGTTTCTTTTTTTGAAGAGTGTATTTAGCATTGTCATCATCAACCCTGAAGTACCTGTGTTTAAACAAGACAAAACACATCGTTATGCACGGATATATAGTATATATACTGATGGAAACGTCACCATGGATAGATATATGAAAAACCTTATTTGTCCAAACACTGTAAACATACTTTGATACATATTAAAAAGATGAAACTCGGCAAAACTGATCATTACGGTGGAAATTAAAGTGTCAAATGTTCTTAAAGTGAAACACAACACTAGTTTCTGAGAAAATGGCATCACAAGTCAGTATCTCGTGTGTCCGCCATGTGCATTGATGACTGCTGTGCAACGTCGATACATGGAATGGATGAGGCGGTTGATGAAGGCCAAAGGCACTTGAGCCCTCACTCTGAGGAACGCCTGATGAAGTTCAGCTGCAGTTGTCGGCCTTGGTCGGACGTCATTCAACCGTCTTTGAATCTCGTCCCACAGGTGCCCAATGGGATTTAAATCAGGACTGAGGGCAGGCCACTGCATGGTTCTGATGCCATTCTGCTGGAGGAAGTCGCTTGTTGCTCTCGCAGTGTGGGCACGGTCATTAGCATGCTGAAACTCGTAGTTGCGGCGACGTGGCAAATGAGGTATGGCGTGTGGTCTCAAGATTTGATCAATGTACCGGGCTGCTGTGACACCATTGCAACAGGGCACAAGCATCCGAATAAGGTTCCCCAGGGCATCGTCAGACTCTCTGCCATCTGCTGTTGTGATACAGTAACGGCTCTGGTCTAAGAAGAGGACTCTTCTCCACTGCTGGTGGCGCCAATGTTGGTGCTGGGTTGCCCACTGAAGACGGTCCCGGCGATGACATGGTGTCAGAATGGGTCCTCGGTGTGGCCTATGACAGTGGAGTTGTCTGCTCGTCAATCGTCGACGCACAGTGCCCGCACTAATATGTCGCTGGTGTGTCCCCATGGTCTGTCGAGCAGTTTCCGCAGCAGTAACAAAGCGATCTTGAAGATGCTGACGATCCTGACGTCAGGTGGTGACCCTTGGTCTTCCACTACGTGGTCGGTCATCTGTAGTCTTGGTGGTCTGGTACCGTTGCTGGAGCCTGTATATGGTCCTTACGTGGACTTGAAATGCATTGACTACTTTCCGGGCGGTTTGTCCAGCTTACAATCGTCCAAAGGCTTGGTGTCGCTGATTTCTTGTCAATCTTGGCATGTGGTAGCAATTCAATAACGAATGAATGTTATCCGATCTGGATGGATTTTTATAGGGCTAGAAATGAGGGAACGCATGTGCATTTCAATTTGCACGGAACTCACGTGTATCGGGTTATCATGGCCGTTGCCGTGATGCGTTTGGGCGATCGGTTTTATTGTCATCTGCTTTGTTTTTTTTATCATCAAATTTCATTTTTCCGGACAAGGTAATGTTAATTTTAGAAATTTTGACAAAAATTACCCAAATGTTTCAATGACAACTTTTCATGCAACGTTACTTGGGGTGACGTTTCTTTTGCGGTTCAGAATATATATGTGTAGAAAAGATAATTTTGAATGTTACGGAGCATGTTGTCAGAGGTCGTTTATTGTACATTTACTTTGTGCGCAATACACATGGAGATTAATTCAACCGATTTGAGATGACAAATGAGAGAACAATTACAAACGACTCACCATTAGGCATAAGCCCCAAGACCAGTCTAGGGTAAGCGATGTTGGAACAACCTGCTTTGCTCTGACACACAGACATACAATAGTCAGGGTTGGTGCAAGCAATATCATCTACAAATGAAAACCAAAAATAGAATTCCATGTAAATACATACTTTGCCATTATAATGCGTTTGTTTGTTTCTGTAATGTTATGATACTTTATTCCTAGCCCGTGAGGTAACCGAAAGGAAATAAATGGGAGTTTGTCTTGTGTTAGTTCAAACCTTTCATCCCCAGCAATATGACGGCGGGGACACCAGAAATGGGTTTCACACATTGTACCCATGTCGGGAATCGAACCCGGGTCTTCGGCGTGACGAGCGAACGCTTTAACCACTAGGCTACCCGACCGCCCTCCTACCACTGAAGTATCCAAATCAAGAGTGACCCTCTTCCGATTCACGTGCAAAGTGTCAGGTGTGTAGGGGCGTTAGGTTTGGACTCCGTATCCTTTTTTTTCTTAAGGCCGATCAGAACATTTATATTCCATCCCCAACGTTTTGGGGTATATGAACCCAATAACATCACACTTCCCAGATGAACCGAGGAATCGTGCATTAAGTTAGCTCACCTGGATACAAGATTCTACTGATCATCCCCGGAAACACCATTAAGAACAGAGGAAGTATCTTGATGAAGCCAGCCATTAGTGTTGCCCCTTGAGCATGCGATAAACTCTTAGCCGCCAGGGCGCGCTGAACGAGCACCTAGGCAACACATTGTTGTCTGTCAATGATATGTTAATATATTTATTCAGGACGTCACGCCTGGGACAAGGAACTGTTTAGGCACGGGTGTGGGTGAGTTCACACTCACACATTGTACCCATCGAACCCGGCCTTAGGGGTGATGTTTTATCACTAGGCTTTTAACCACTAGGCAACCGATGTTAAGGCATGGGTTTAATATGTAAACACAATTGTCAACAGTGAAGTAGTAAGGTTAATGTTGAGTTTTATCTTCATTGATGGAAGTAGGGAAACACGTAAGAAATGATAATATCATGATTGAAACCGAAAGGAAATAATCCTTTTGGAAGTGAGTGAGTCAGTGAGTGAGTTGGGTTTAACGCCGCTTTTAACAGTATTCCGGTTATATCGCAGCGTGCCAATTTAATGTGGGAGGAAAGCCCGAAGTGACGCACGTCTCGGACGTTTACCACTTCAGTGAAACCCGCGAGCACGGGTATGGTGCTGACAAACCTAGAAACATAATCGGGGCGAATCGGGATTCGAACCAACACTTTTGGAAGTGGGAACTCGGGTAAGACGTAAACAGTGACACATATTGCGATTCATGAGGTGGTTACAACAATTATTCAATCTCACAGTATCAGCATATAATGAATCTCGGGCCATATGGTCATTTGGGTCATCGAACATCAACCCAACTCACTCAATATGGGTAGTCCGTTCGGCAGGGATCGATCTGCTAAAGGTAGAATATTTGAACCTGTATTTGTTCGTGGTGTTTCTGTCACTCTCTCACCTCTCTGGTCGGTACACCAGTACAGTGTTTGAAACTATATTTGTTCGGTGTCGCTCTCCCTCTTCCACCCAGGTCCGTGAAGATCCGGGGTAGAATAGGTCTTCAGCAACCCATGCTTGCCGTAAAAGGCGACTTTGCTTGTCGTAAAAGGCGACTAACGGGATCGGGTAGTCAGGCTCGCTGACTTGGTTGATACATGTCATCGATCCCAATTGCGTGGACCGATGCTCGTCATATTAATCACTGGATTGTCTGGTCCAGACTTGATTATTTACAGACCGCCGTCATATAGCTGGAACATTGCTGAGTGCGGCGTTAAACAACAAACCAACCAACCAACCACACTTCCACCCCTGTTACCTGGTCGGTACACCAGTACCAGATGGATCCTGGCGTTTGTCCGAGGAGGAAGCCGAGCCATGGCATGTAGTCATCCCCTGCCCCCCGTAACATACGGAACGCCTGCTTGTCGGGGTGGTGACAGGCGGTACCGGGCACAATGGCACTGACGTTGGTTGGAACTGCCTGGGGATACTTCTCAAGTAGCCCCGAGAACCCACCGATTTCATAGAACCCTGACGATTAAATATCAAATGTCAACGCTAGAGAATAACCGGTCTCGATTATCCAACGAAACAGATTCCATTGGGTGGCAAAATAGGGGTGAACAGTACATGAAGAGATCTCTGAAAATCACTGATAACACCAGGTATTCGCGAAAACGGTAAATACGTCCTGCTCTACCGGTATCACCCAAAACATTGTTGAGAATTTGGAAACGTGCCACAGGAAACCCACCTTCAATTCAATGAGTAGTTTGTATATGTATAGTATGTAAAATACTGTCATCACTTTAAAATGTGAGGTAACAAATATGTCGCCACAATATATAACAAAAACACATCCAAATTTTAAAGTCTGTTGGTTTCAGCAAAGGACGTGTGACATGGCCAATTTTGGCATTTGTTAATGTTTGAATCTGCTGACCTAGCGTGATTGAAAAAGGGTTTTCTTTCAAACAGTTCCCACTTGGCTCACCTCACACCCATGTCCTCTAGATTTACTCCATATACTTTTCGATTCAAGACAGACTGGTTGTTTTAGATTTTGAGTAGGTTGTATACAAAGGTGCAGCAAAACATTCAATCTGTTGCACCCCTCCACCAACCCCCCCAACGAGGTAGAACCCGTCCTACAATCAATGTACATGTACATGCTGCTTGCACAATGTCAGTGCAGATGACTGCAGTCAGACATACCTGCTCCCATGAGACAGTCAGACATACCTGATCCGATGAGACAGTCAAACATACCTGCTCCTATGAGAAGTCAGACATACCTGCTCCTATGAGACAGTCAGACACCTGCTCCCATCAGACAGTCAAACATACCTGCTCCTATGAGAAGTCAGACATACCTGCTCCCATGAGACAGTCAGACACCTGCTCCCATCAGACAGTCAGACACCTGCTCCCATGATACAGTCAGACATACCTGCTCCCATCAGACAGTCAGACACCTGCTCCCATCAGACAGTCAGACATACCTGCTCCCATGAGACAGTCAGACATACCTGCTCCATGAGACAGTCAGACACCTGCTCCCATGAGACAGTCAGACATACCTGCTCCCATGAGACAGTCAGACACCTGCTCCCATGATACAGCCAGACATACCTGCTCCCATGATACAGTCAGACATACCTGTTCCCATCAGACAGTCAGACACCTGCTCCATGATACAGTCAGACATCTGCTCCTATGAGACAGTCAGACATACCTGCTCCCATGAGACAGTAAGACATACCTGCTCCCATGATACAGCCAGACATACCTGCTCCCATGATACAGTCAGACATACCTGCTCCCATGAGACAGTCAGACATACCTGCTCCCATGAGACAGTCAGACATACCTGCTCCCATGATACAGCCAGACATACCTGCTCCCATGATACAGTCAGACATACCTGCTCCCATGAGACAGTCAGACACCTGCTCCATGATACAGTCAGACATACCTGCTCCCATGAGACAGTCAGACATACCTGCTCCCATGAGACACTCAGACATACCTGCTCCCATGAGACAGTCAGACACCTGCTCCCATTAGACAGTCAGACACCTGCTCCCATGAGACAGTCAGACACCTGCTCCCATGATACAGTCAGACATACCTGCTCCCATGAGACAGTCAGACATACCTGCTCCCATGAGACAGTCAGACACCTGCTCCCATGAGACAGTCAGACATCTGCTCCTATGAGACAGTCAGACATACCTGCTCCCATGAGACAGTCAGACATACCTGCTCCCATGATACAGTCAGACATACCTGCTCCCATGAGACAGTCAGACACCTGCTCCCATGAGACAGTCAGACATACCTGCTCCCATGAGACAGTCAGACATACCTGCTCCGATGAGACAGTCAGACACCTGCTCCGATGAGACAGTAAGACACCTGCTCCCATGATACAGTCAGACATACCTGCTCCCATGATACAGTCAGACATACCTGCTCCCATGATACAGTCAGACACCTGCTCCGATGAGACAGTCAGACATACCTGCTCCTATGAGACAGTCAGACATACCTGCTCCTATGAGACAGTCAGACACCTGCTCCCATCAGACAGTCAGACATACCTGCTCCCATGATACAGTCAGACATACCTGCTCCCATGAGACAGTCAGACATACCTGCTCCCATGAGACAGTAAGACACCTGCTCCCATCAGACAGTCAGACATACCTGCTCCCATCAGACAGTCAGACATACTTGCTCCCATCAGACAGTCAGACATACCTGCTCCCATGAGACCGTCAGACATACATGCTCCTCTGATAAAGTCAGACACCTGCTCCCATGAGACAGTCAGACATACCTGCTCCCATGAGGTAAAGGGCCCCTCCAATCATCACTGTAGCCTGCAGTGTGTCTGTGTAGATGACCGCTGTCAGACCACCTGATGCCATAGCAACACCATGAGTTATACCAAAGTCTCGACCATTACACATAACACAGATGAGTCTATATCACAAAACGAACATAGCAGGACTTTCGACTCGGGAGCCGGTGTTAAAGGAATCAGAGCTGCAATAACCGTAGTGGTAAGATCACTTTGTTGAACAGGGAGCTGGACTATTAACAACCTGGAAATAGGGTTTGCACCATTGGCAGTTTTTTAGTTAAGCTTGAAAAATCTGGTAATACGAGTGCATTCACTGGATAATGTGATAAATAGGCAGGTCCCCCTTGTGTCCAAGTCAGAACAATATATTTAAAATCCAAACATCACATTTCAGACAGAGTACCAAGAATATATGGAAATGCATCAACACAATAATTTCTGCCTGACATACTACCAGTATTTGCCGTCTGACTACAGGCGACACTATCTCTGATATCGTATATATAGTAGTTATACTTCACTACACTAGTCCACGCGATTTGTGGATACGATAAATATTAAGAAAATGTTTCAAAGAAATCAACAGCATGTTCAAGGTACAGTACAGAAAGGTGTACTGCAAAGAGGAAATTCACCTGTAAATGTAAGGACGGCAGTGATGACGATGAGGAGCACAATGCTGACATACAGGTCCCAGTTGAGAGCTTGCTGGATGAACAACGCACCAGTGTAAAGATTTGTCTAAACACAGGGCAGAAATACCACTTTATTATGTGAGTGAGTTGTGTTTAACGCCGCTTTAAACAGTATTTCCGTTCTATCACGTGTCCTGTTGTCTTTGTGACAATGCCGCCTCCGTGGTCTTGTGGTAGAGCGTCCGCCCGGAGAGCGGAAGGTCCGGGGATCGATCCCGGGCCGCGTCATACCAAAAGACGTTAAAAGATGGTACTTGTTGTTACCCTGTCTGGCGCTCGACATTAAGGGTCTAAAACAAGGACTGGTCGGCTCGGAGTCAGTATACTGTGTCTGAGTGGGGTATTCGTGTTAAACTGCGACATGGTATCTCAGTGAGCTAGCACTATAAATCGGCATCAGTCCGGACTAGTACAAGCAGCCACACACACACACACGTGCATGCACGTCGCTATATAAGTGCAATAATCTTGGACGCGACGTTAAACCCAATTTCACCTCACCTCACCTCACCTCACCTCACCTTTGTGACAAGGCTAGTGCACCACCACCCTAGTCCACCCAACAGTTTTTTCTTCGCCTTAAAGGATGATTTTGTGTATTGGATTTAGTCTCACAGACACAACGACTCACCGAACACCTTGTCAACACGTAGAGAATAAGACTCAACACTGCGTAATAGATCCGCAATCGATTTCCACCAAATCTCATGGCGAGGTACTGCGGCATTGTGTAGGTCTTTGAAAGTGAGAATAACTTTTGTTAATCACATTTAAATGTATTATTTCTGACAGTGAGTGAGTATGATTTTATGCCGCTTTTAGCATTGGGCTTCACACAAGGTTAGGGTTCAGAATAGGTTTCAATTGTAATGCTTATCAAAAAAGCTGATCAAATGGGGTTGAGTGAGCGAGTGATTGAGGGAGTATGGTTTTACGCCGCTTTTAGCAATATTCTAGCAATATTATGGCGGGGGACACCAGAAATGGGCTTCACACATTGTACCCATGTCGGGAATCGAACCCGGGTCTTCTGCGTGACGAGCGAACGCTTTAACCACTAGACTACCCGACCGCCCCCCAATTGGGGTTGAGTGAGGCAGGTTCTGTTATTAATCTGAATGCACGTGGATTGTTGCTCAGGTTTTTAGACATTCGTTAAACAGATCTGGAATCGATTATTTACAGACACACGTGTTACAGAATGAATATTGCTGCCTAATCGCGGGTGATAAAGGAAGTAATGCAACTCTGCACGGCGAACTGCGGTGCCTTGGACAACGGGATCACCCATGCCCTCGTTAGTCATAGACGTTCAAAAGGGCCAGTGAAACCAGCGAAACTTTAATAGAAATCAAGATTAACACTTACATGTATAAGGATGCAGCTCACAGCCAATCTTACAAAACAGATTATGACAAAGTTATTCTAAATTGCATTTATGCTTTCCTGTCAGTGTTACCGTCAACCCTCGTTTAAATAGAAACGTATAAAGGGGAGATCATGGACATTGAATCTAGACCTGGCTGAGCGTTGTATCATACAAATGATCTCTTAATAAACAGCTACTCACTCCGCAGGATAAGTAAACGGGTATGAAGATCCACCCAGTCATCTGCAGGATCAGCAGAGCCTGTAAACAAGGATTGGTTGGTTGGTTGGTTGGTTGGTTGGTTGTTTAACGCCGCATTTTACTCACTTATTACCTACGTATGGCGATTCCCCCACCGCCAGTCGGGTAGGAACTGGTCACATAACATCATAAACACGAATCGATAAAAGATTAAAACGCCGAGGCTTGACAATGGGTTGTTAACTTATATCGATTAGTGTTGATATATAGAGAATCTCACCCGAGTGTCTTTTGATATCAAATATATCAACACGAGTTGATAAAAGTGGAAAAATTCCGAGGCTTGCCGAGGATTTTGGCCACTTTTATCAACGAGTGTTGATATATTTGATATCAAAAGACACACGGGTGAGATTTTATTTATCATCCAACATCATTCTTCCAACCTTTTCAATTTGTAGACTGTAATTAGCAGTGTCTTCAGTGTAAAAAGTACTGCTAACAGCTTCAGTAGCAGAGCCATTAGTGATGTCATTTGATTGTGGCGTCATGGTAACCAGTGACGTCACAATGGTCTGCAAAGCATTGTGATGTAATTTCATTGCAGCGATATCTACAGTGTACTTTTCAATTTCTAAAGAGTACCAACCAGTGTCTTGAGTGTACAAAGTACAGCTGACCTGCTTTAGTAGCAGAGGGAATAGCGATGTCATTTGACAGTGACTTTGATGATAACCAATGACATCACAATGGTCTGCAAACGAATCTTGGTTTTGTAAACAATCAGGCAGTCTTGGTTACCTTTCGTAGGTTTCTTTTCTCATTCGGCAGTTGGTGATGTACCACCATGCAGACGTTGTAGCCAAATAGCATGTACGAAGTATACCGGTATGTTATGAATGAGGTGAGGTGAAATGGGGTTTAACGTCGCGCCCAAGATTATTGCACTTATATAGCGCATGTACGTGTGTGTGTGCTAGTCACTGAGATTTTTTACCATGCCGCAGTTTAACATGAATACCCCACACAGACACAGTTTACTGACTCCGAGCCGACCAGTCCTTGTTTTAGCCCCTTAATGCCGAGCACCAGACAGGGTAACAACAAGTACCATCTTTCAACGTCTTTTGGTATGACGCGGTCGGGGATCGAACCCCGGACCTTCCGCTCTCCGGACGCTCTACCACGGAGGCGGTTGCGAATGAAGACTAGACCCTACCCGATGGTGAGCATAGCTGCTTTCGCTTCCAGTGATATAGCTTTGATCACATATACATTGTATCGGTCATGGTAACTCGTGATTCAGTCACTCACATTGAGTTCCCATGCTCCAACACTGATGCCGCTTGCAGCACCCGAGCCAGCGAGCCCGATGAAATGTTCCGTTCCTATATTGCTCACGAACAGAGAAGCGCCGATCTGCAAGGAAACATATATAATCGTCCAACTAGATTATAGCTAAAATGGATAGACTTATAGAGAATACTACACTCATTCTCGTTAGATACCATTTTTACGAAATGAGCGGACTTTCTATGGTATCTCACCGAGCGAAATCAGGCATACTTCTACGGAGTTTTCGAATGATTTGTATCGGAAATGTTCACTTTGAGTGATCTCCCGAAACAGTGCCACAAAATACGCTTCGAAGAGGACACTGATTGCGCAACCGGATCATCCCAAGTAAGTCTAGATATCTGTCAAGATAGTTTAAAAAAACTTCATTTCACCACGCTAATCCTTTTACGTAAAATCAAATTGGAAGTAGTCGGGTGCGTCACGCGTCACGCTCATTGGGACCCTCGATCTATTGAACGGTAGTAGTACATTGTAAACGGATATAGCTCGAATATATAATGCCCGTGGAAGCTCAATGCATAACTTATATAGGATGCAAACCGAATTTGATGCGTGTGACAATCTTGTTTGGTTTAATAGAGTGTTTGTTAATATCCCTCGCTCACATGAGATGGTTTCAGTTCTACCTTGTAGTTGAAAAATGAATGACGTCTCGCGATTTTTTATGAATGAAAAAAGTAGTCCCGGTGTGACAGAGGTCACGGTTATCCAATCAAAACGAATAAAACAAGGTCAACCTTGTACGACACACGTGTGACCACACTCCGTCGCAGTGGTGACTCCGCATAACACCACTCTCACAGGCTAATTTGCATATCACGCGACCGGACTTTTCTCTTGTTTGTAAACAAACGCGCTTTTTCAGAAATCAGTAAAGAACGGACTAATGCAAGTATTTGGGGGCGCTTTACATATTGTTTTGCATAACTATATAGATATGCTACTACAACTGCGACAGTGAGTTGCATGACAATATATATTTATGCATCAAAGTGACCGTGTCGCTAGCTCTCCGTTGGGCTTCGATGACAGCACGTGGAGCCGTACAACCAATGTAAACATAGGATAACTACGCAAAAACAAGTAGATTTTTACGTATTTGCATACTTTCTCAATGAAAGTTAACCATTCTTTGACATTTGTTTATGAAAATGTGTAGACTTGTCAAACATGAAACGGATGAAAAGCATATGCAATATCTTGAATGGACTGTGAAAGATGTGACGAATCGTCACATGGCGCTGGCCTGTGGCAGAGGTACTATGCTAGCTGGCTGCCGGCCGCATGGAACTCTGGGTAGGAGAGTGACGTGTGACGTACGGATTTAGTATCTTTCCACCTGTATCTTCACCACGTGGGTAATAAATCATTAAACCGCCCGCATGTTATCAGAAATGAGCGGGTCATTGTAACTTGATAATGCCCTCATATTGTTTGACGACGGGCCATTATCACGTCCGTTGTAAGGTGACGTCATAGGGATAGGGAAAGGTAACGTCACGTTCACTAGTGACGTCATCTGGTTTATTCTATGACGTTTCCATATTTGTAAAAGTGGGTCAGTGACATTCGTGTTGATTGCACTAAATGTTTCATAACCGATATTGTTGTGTATTTTCATATGATAACAAATTCTATCCATTTTAACTATATTAACGGTAACGCTATTTTTCAGAGCATTATCATTTGCAGAAGCCGTCGGGCAGTTAATGGAAGACCTCGGGCTTCTGCAAATAATAATGCCCTGAAAAATAGCGTTACCCTTATAGTAGGAAATTCAAGGCAGTTGACAAGAAGTTATTTCATGTGAACGCAATTTGATTATTTATTTGAAAACAGGTAAAGTCATCATAGAATCTCATCGGGAAAACCTTTTAACTCTAAATTACTATTACTTTAGTTTTTAACTTGATCATTTCGTGGCAAAGATTTATTGTTAATTGGCCGTTGATCTCCACGCGAAGTTCTATTCACTCCTACTTTTTATGGACGCTTTTGCTTCGCCTAAACATAACTTTATGCAACTATCGCGACCGTTATTTATCTCACGATTTCATGGAACATGTATTTGTTCATGATGAGGGAGTAAAAAGGACACGCAGACACAGCTGTTGGAACAGGTGTACTGATGCACAACTGCAGAACTCGAAATCAGACGCGCATTCTGAGTGGTGACGAGTCTTCTTGCAGGTTACGGAAAGGGGCGAGTGGTGACGAATGGGTCTTGTGTGCGCAACGCTCCCCTCTCCTTTAATTGTCTGGCTTACGTCACCATTCGTCAATGTCCGGCAGTCGTCGTTGTCCAGTGCCTTTGCATTCCTTGTTAGAGAATGAGTGACCGGTATATTTTATTCTCCAGCGATTTAATGGCACATTGCTATCATGCATTGATTGTACATGTATAAATGTTAGTTCCTATATGTTTGCTACCTTTTTCATGTGTTGGCAATGTTTCTGTGACTTACATTCAAACATTATATTTCTCACGTATTTGTTGTCATTTTTGCCACCTCTATAATTGTACATATCTGGTTCTCCAGTCTACTGTGCATTTCTAGATAATGAAAAAGCCTTCGACAGGGTATGGCAAGATGGACTTTTTCTAAAACTTTATGACCTTGGTATCACGGGTAAAAAATGGCGAATACTACGTAGCTCTTTTATGTCTATGTACTCCTATGTCAGCTTTGCAGGCTGTAGATCAGACTTGTTTCATGTACGCCAAGGTGTTGGTCAAGGCAGAGTTATATCTGCTTGGCTCTTTACATTATATATCAATGATCTGTTATGTGAGCTGG